GGATCCCTGCATCACGCCTGTTCTGGTAAAGCTTGACTATTGTAACAATGCATTAAAATATTTTGACAGACGAGTAGTAGATAAAACTAAGCACTGAAGAACTAATAGGCTGTTATTAGCTGAAACAGATAAACTGAAGGTATTCATTTGGAATAATTGGTCAAAAGACGACGGCATGAAGTCAAGGGGACAAATAGTAGACATGGATACACAAAACACTCATGCAGATGCAGCGTTTTGTGTCTATATCAGGGGTGGCCAAGCTGCGGCTCGCGAGCCGCATGTGGCTCTTCGCGTGTTAAAGTGTGGCTCGCGGCTCCCTCCCTTACCTAACCCCCTTCCCCCACTCTCCCGCCTCCCTCCCGGCACACGAGCACTTCCCTAAAAAGAAGAGAAATGGAACACGTTTTAAATCGAAAGACAGGTTGCAGTTCGGTGGTCTTGTGCTACTGCTACATTACGTACAGTTGGATTGCTTCTGATGCGGATAGATAGAAAGTAGTTCAACTTTCGTTTACTGCTCTGAACAAAAGTTAGCACCCCGCCCCCCCTCCCGTGGCTCTTAGATGTCTCATGGTTTTGTTTGCAGCTTTTAGGCCGGTCAGCCTGGCCACCCCTGGTCTATATATTCATACTGTTCTTTTCTTATTAAGTATAGTATTTTATTTTTTTGCAACGTGGCAGAGTTTTCAGTCTGACGATGTGTGACCAGAAAGGCTTTAGTAACCAAATGAAGCGGAGAATGTTTTTTGGCCCTGTACCACCAAACCTTTGCCCAGTTTTATGCACCACCGTTTGCTTGTGAGAAAATATTCTCCGAGTATAAATATGCCATATACTTTCCGGTTTTAACAACAAAAAAAAAACACTGATAAACGTCAGTCAATGTTAAAAATACAAGATCAGCTAGAAAGAAAACAAATTAAATGATAAACATCTATTGGTGTTAAAAATACAGAACAGGTTCAAAGCTGAAAAACAGATTTCTGGAAATGTTTGCTCCAGCTAGGAACGTGCATGTCAAAACTCCATCAATACCTCGAGCATAGCCTAATTAGTGGCTCTTGCTTGTGGTTTTTACCGAGCCCCCTTCTACTTGCAGCTTAACATGTGCTCGAGTCCCATCGGCCGAGTGCGCTGCAGCGAAGGCAGCACTCCAGACAGCGAGGGCATGCAGTTGTCCCCCATTTGCAGGCAGCGAAGTGTCAGGAACCCTGGTAAGCGTTCACTTGTTTGGGTGGAGTGCTCTCAACTCCAAAAGTGTGTGAATAAAGGCCCGTTCACACTCTTGCAACCGAGTACGACCGAGAGAGACGAAACCGGTTTTTAAGCCTCTTGCGACTTCTTAGGACCAGGCACGCTGCTGCGGAGCTGGTCCTAAGACGTCGTAAGAAGATTAAAAACTGGTCTTGTCTCTCTCGGCCGTACTCGATTGCAAGAGTGTGAACGAGCTTTAACGGTTTGAATCGGATTGTGCTGCATCATTCATGGCTTTCGCAGTGCAAGGAAGAGCCACTCCAAAGTTTCTAGTGCATCCACTTTCCCGGGAAAGTGGGAAAGCAGACACACTGGATTCCTTAGAGTGCAGGGCATACCGGTTCTCCTTGTAGTGTTGAAACTAGTAATACTAACACTGTACCACTTGAATCAATGTGAAATTCTCACACCCCTACTTTCAACGCACCTCTCGTTTCTTTTCTTGTCAGGGACACCCTTACAGCGGAATCTCTTTGGTGTGGAGACGCCCAAGCTTTCATTCATTCGTAAGTGTAACACATTACAATTCAATGTAGCGTACTACTCTTTCTTCATTCCCTTTTTTGTTTTTAGAATAAAATACATTATTTATGGGTACATACAAATTGTGTTGGCCCACTAAAGCAGATCCTGTGTAGGGTCAAACAACCAGCAGAATTTCATATACACACAAAAAGATACACATTCGCGGTTGCCATCAGGTCATCAGTGCCAGAAATGAGGCTAATTGAGTGTCAAAGAGGTGGAGAGCTTCCCGGTGGTTTTTGGCACTGCAACTGCCAAGACATTTTTACAGTGTCTCAAGTAAAGTAGTATCTCTCTTCTCATGGGACAGCCTTAGAGGGTGTAAAAATGTATTAAAAACAAAATCAGAAAAATTGCGGGTTCCTTGCAATGGCCTGTACACAGGCTAAGCACAATCATTCCACCACCATTCAAAATAGCGCATTTACTCGCATAATGAACTGATCTTCGACAACTAATCCTTTAAAAGTCGATAATCACGGAGGAAGCGGCTGGGGTCTTTGGAGAGAGAACCTCAGGAGAAACCATCTGATCTCCCAGAGTATGTCACTCGAAAGGCGACGTGCAGAGTTGAGAGGCACTTTGACCTTCGATTTGTTTCATTTTTTAAAATAAAAAGTAGTGCTCGTAAGAAAATACGGTTTTCTGTTCTTCGTTTTATAGTTGACACAGATTAATTTCCGCAGTTAATTGGCCAGTCCGAAAATCGTTGTGCTGCCCCTTAACCGAGACAAGCATACATAGCTAGACAATCATGTACCAAGCACTTGTAACTTTTTCCCTGATCTGTTTATCAATGTTTGTAAAACTTGAACAGATTTATTGTAAAAATATTTAAAGGTAGGAGTCCATCAGCTGCTGCTCAAGCTTAAAAAAAATCTAAACATGAGCGCTCTTCTTAAAGGACACATGCAAAGGAAAAAAACATTTTTTTTAAACGGCTTAGATGGAAAAAGGACACCATAAAACGATTTTACAACGAAGAAAAAAAATTTTTTACAGCTATATTTACGGCGCAAAACGAATTCGTAGTTGGCGCCCGCGGGCACCGCGTAAAAGTGGTCTGTATTTATCACGTGACTGGTCTTTATTTATCACGTGGTGCTTGCGCTCTTTCGAAAGCTTCCTATGGCCTCTAAATGTAACTTATTCATCTTTCTTTGAAGTATAACAAAAAACCAAGACGAATAAGGAACTTTTAGAGCCCAAAGGAAACTCCTGAAAAAGCGCAAGCAGACGCGATAGACCTGTGCGCCGGTCAGACGACGGCGGCGGCGCCCCGAAGCAGACGAACTTGTGCGGCGGCGGCGACGGCGGCGTGGAGAAACGCGTTGAAGCGGCGTTCGCACAACGCTCAGCGTGCGGCGGCGACGCAGCGCGGCGGCGCGCGGGCCTACCACGTGACCAGCGGCGGCTCCCGCGAGCGCCAACTACAAATTCGTATAGCGCCGTAAATATAGCTCTAAAAATTTTGTTTCTTCGTTGTAAAATCGTTTTATGACATCCTTTTTCCATCTAAGCTGTCTAAAAAAAATGTTTTTTTCCTTTGCATGTGTCCTTTAACTAATAAAAAGCAGACCCCCTTTTTTATGTTGTGTGTATGGTGGCTTCTGATATTAATTCAAGTTGGAAACCATGCTGAAGAAAGGCTGGTAGTGCCTCAGCTCGAGAGCCATCCTGAAGAAAGACTTCTGGTACTTTCTTCAGCTTGGAAGCCATAAGAAAGAAGCTTCCAGCACTTTTTCCACCTTAAAAGCCATGCTGAAGAAAAACTTCCAGTACTTGATTCAGCTTGGAAGCCATGTTGAAGAGACTTCCGGTACTATAAGCCATGCTGGAGAGACTTCTGGTACTTCAGCTCGGAAGCCACGCTGAAGAGTGTGTCAAACTATCCATTTTCAGGAACGGTCTCGACCGTCACCAGGAGCGGCCGATCGGCGTCGTCCCGAAGGGCTTCCCTCATCCAGTCGATCGGCATCTCCAATGAACAGGACGCGATGGCAACCAGCCCGTGCCGGCCCGCCTTGCCCGACAACCTAGAGTCCAACAAGAGTGACTCGGCATCCTGTTCCAACTCCGACGAGATGGCGACCGGCCCGGACGCCTCGTCGTGCCACGACGAGCTCTTTTGACGCGTGCTCTGCCTAGACCATCTCAACAAAACGGAATGTGGAAGATCTCGTGCCTACGTGGACTCGCATAGAGACGTTTCTTGCCGGCGACCGAAAGCTTTCGAGAATGCAATCCTACATCGCTAGCTTCTACCTCAAGGGGTCCTAAGCCCGGCCCCACACATTTCCGTTTGAAGTGTGACCGACCGCCTTGCAACCATGTACAACAAGAGAACTTGCTGGCACCATCTGTCGGGTATCCCTGGCACACTTCCAACCCGTGTATTGCTAGACTGAAGGTTTGCCGGTATTTGCAGGATCAGGTCTACGCACTATTCATGAGAAACAATCATGTACAACATTGTCTGAATTATTTCACACACACGGTGGAAGAATGACGCACAAAATACGAGCAAATCGGATGTGTTCCGGGGCCACCCGATAGATGGCGCCAGCACGTTCTCTTAACGTGAGCAGTCGACCACACTCAAACCTTAATGTGCGGACCGGACCTTAAAACGACTCAATTTTACAAGTAGTCGCTCACTGCAACTGCTTCCGGACGTTCTGCCTTTAAATGTTGTTGAGCATCCCGAGCTTTGAGGCAGGACGTGCAATCAAAACGCTGCAGAACAGGCGAGAGGCTCATGTTGAAGGCGGGACAACCGAAACCTTGTCAGTGGTTGCCGTGCCTTTGGCATGTCCTTTGTTCTATAGTAGTGTGGAGAGTACTTAGATTCCAATTGTGCGAGAGGAACTGAAGCACCCCTTTGAACGACTCTGCATGTCTGAGCAAGAAGTTGTGTTAAGTTTTTATTTTCTTTAACCTACGACGAGTCATAATGCCGAAACAAAAAAATAATAAACAAATCGGCAATGGCTAGAGGGGTCTTAGTACTTACCACCATTCCACATGTGCCAAGCTAATTTGAGGCGGAATAACGATCGGTTCCTGAAATGACGAGCGTGCCCGTTGCTTGTCGCATCTTGCTAACGGCCTGTATCCCGAAATGCGATGTTCCAACCGTCCCTCAACTAGTTTTGTGTCTGTTCCAGAGCGTTTCATTGCTGCCCACCCAGCCATTCCCAATCACTGCCACAACCATCCCATCTAGAACCATGCATGTTTTAATATGACAAAGCACATTCATGTAATATACCGTGTATAAAGAGGTTTTAAATTGTCAACCTGTACTTGGCATTTTTCTCTACCATCACAGAGGGGGCTTGCAAACTCGTTAGAAATATTACGCTGCCAGTTCAACAAGTGTTCATTGCTAGGTCTGCTAGGTCCTGTGCCAAGCTCTTCAGTTCGAGGTTGTTGTCCTTCTTTGCAATGGTTGCCACGGAGTTCTTCAGCTTGTTTGCGGACGAAGGCGTCAGAACCCAGACTACATCTGCCGCTGCAAAAAAAAAAAGAGAGGGCCAATGTTGAAACTACAAACATTCCACGAGAAGACTGACCACCAAAATTTGTTTGGCGAGATACTGTAGTCCAATCACAGATGTGATCGGATGGTGTCCGATTTTAATTGTAGATGAATGCACTTTCTTTGAATGTTGGCAAGGAAAAAAAAAAAATCTACAATCATTCCTGTACTATTTAAAAGATGGTTGCATAAACATTCCAAGATGTTTTTTTACAACATAATGATTAAACGTTGCATATGGCATGCTCCCCTGTGGCTGCCATATTCGCAACTCCAGCAAACTATAGGGGGCGCGCTGGTCAGGCAGAATGGCAGACGAAAGGTCGTTTTCGTCAATCAGCACACGGACCACCATAAATTTTCTGCACTGTATTTTAAAATCTGTGTTGCATATGAAAGCAAAACAATTTTTCGACAGTAGAAACATTTTTCTAGTCAGTAGGAATGACATGGTGGAGGTATAAAAATAATTACTGGAAACCGTGTTTGTTTCTATGCTGCCTACGAGAACCAAGCAGCAATAGCAGACGACAGAGTCGAAACGACCTGCTCTTCTGAGCATTGCCGCTACGCGGCATCGATTTCGCTGGAGTCTCCAATAGAATGGCAGGATGTTTTTGGTTTGGAGCAAGCTCCATTTTCAACAACTTTTAGCAAAAGTTAACATCTGTATTGTCTATCTAGGGCCCGGTCAACAACTTTGTCCAATGACATAAAGCTTACACTTCCTAACTCTTGCACCAAGAAATCCTAAGGCCCACTTCAGATGCGGCAATTTTAATGCTAAAACATTAAATGTCTCATGGAGCGAGCCATGCCAAATGGCGCCTTAAATCCCTTCTCCAAGTGAAGCCAGCTCCCAGCTATGAAACCACGCGAAAAGCTAGCCACGGCACCTAAATTCCCTGATCCCAAAGGAGCGGAGTAAAGCTGAGAGATTTTCGGCTTCAATCCCACTGGCTGGCGCGCGTCGACAGGGCTCCCCATTGGCCGCTGCACATCAGTTTCAACGACCGCTCGTCCCATGGCGCTGCGTGTCCGTCAGTGCACCATCAACACTGATTGTCCAAGGTCAGTGCGCCCAGGAGAGCGCGCGCGCTGAGCAGCGACGAAAAGTATGCAGCAGACGAAATAAAGGAGCGGACGAGCGGCTTGCACGCTTTCGCATTCACAACTCGTTAAAAGTATTTAGGTGTACCTTGAGGCTTTTCTCCCAGTGTTTCGATGTTGCAACACTAGTTTCTCACATTCACGCGCAGCAACCGCTAAATTTGAATTGCAACGTTTTGCAAGTGTCGTCATTTCAAATTAAAATTAAAGACACAAAGTTATGCATTATTAATGTGACTTTAACCATTAATTACAAATCCAAACCAAGTTAAACCTGATGTCCGGTTATCATCACCACCACAGGAGGGCCACGTGAAAATACTGCAACCCCCATTGGCTGCTGCTGCTGCTTCGAACGTCAGAGTTGCTCGCCCGTTACGAGATAGACCCAATCCCAGAAATTCGTCTTGCAGCACGAGGATCTAGGGAACAACTCGCCAGCAACCCTAAAATTGCTGGGAAAAGTGCCCACCTGAGGCAGGCCTAATCAATCGATCAATGATGTATATAAAGAAAGGCAGAACGAGCACCACCTTTGATCTTCTCCAGTAGGTCTTTCATGAGTAGGAGAGCCTCGCTGGAGAGCGCAGCATACTTGGTCATATCTGGGAAGACATGATCAAAGAATCAAAACATTAGTTTTTCGGACGATTAGTGATGGTGCACACAGACCTGAGCCACATTCGTGCCAACTTCGTACTAATCCAGAATGTTTTTACCAGTCGTTTTTTACGAGAAAGTCGTCATGAACAATTGACACGCTAGGAGATTATAGACATTGAGGTTACGTATACAGCTTATACAGTCGAACCTCATTATAACGAACTAGCATCAGGAGCAAAACATCACTCGCTATATGCGATATTCGTAATAAAAGTACACAGAAAAATTGACGTGAACGTTCCCGCAATTGAGACTTTGCAAGTATGAGCACAGCACCGAGATAAAAAAACGTGCCATCGCAGACCACGAGATGCTTAGCCGTCACTAAGCAGCATTAAAAAAATAGCTCGGAACATGAGGATATCAATTTGCAACATGAAAAACGACCTTAGCTGGATTCATTATTTTATTTATTTGAAGAAAGGTGTGGTTTTGGGCTGGTGCCTCTTCGCCTGGAGCAACCGCAATGCAGCCAACCGCCGCTCGCACTGAAATCATCATGCCCTAACAAACACGCCAGAGTGATTGCTTTCATCTGAAGAAGCTGACCATACACCGGCAGATTTCGCACCCTTACGTTCTTAAGCCATGAAAACAGGCCCAAGATTTTTTCGGTCAGTGTTGACGGTGTTGTTTGTATAGCAGTCCTCGATCCTTTTCTTTGTACTCAGGATGATAGATATCGTGCTTGGTGCACACTCGAAGTCTGCAGCGATGTCTTTTTTCTTCCGACCGCTGTCAACCGCACTCAAAACCTTCACTTTGGTCTCCAGAGACATAGCTTTTCGCTTCGTCGCCATTTGCAGCTCTGTACTATACCTGCTTTCACCTCAAGAACCGTAGTAAAACAAGCCCGGCTCCTCGGAGAGCATTACTAATTTCCCCCTTTATGTGGATAATTAAGATATATGTAGGTGAGTTTTAGATTAGATAAATGTCGTCTTATCAAGAGGTACATCATCCAAACGTCAAAAGCATCGCTTTTTCCTTCGAAGACCAAACCTCGTAAGAACTACTTTGCGCCGTGTATGAACAATGAGCAAAACTTGCTTTTTTCTTGAGGTGAAAACGGGTATATAGTGGCGCGGTTGGCGGTTGGCTTCAGTCTGTACTCGTTCTTGATGCCTCGCATAGAGGCCAGCAGCGGCGCAACCGCCGTTGTTAGCTCGGTTCATAGGTGGCGCTATCTCCCGAAACGTGCATTGTTGCACATCAGGCGATCTAAACTTCCTGAATCTTTGTGTTTACAAATTTGTATTTCTTCAACTTTTTAATAACCTTCGTAGTATTTTGTGATGCAAGAAAAGCAGGAATTGCTTCGCTATAACCGATAGCCCGTCAGATTTCACCGTTTCGGTTTCGTCATATAACTAGAACTCCCATTCAAATAAAGCATGACCAACCAAACTTCGTGATTAGTTTGCTATATCTGATAATTCGCTACATCAGTGTTCGTTATGAAGAGGTTTAACTGTATATGAAGCAAGAGCTCCGGCAGGGGTCGAACCTCGGCCTGTGGGTTGACAGTCAGATGCCATAGTCACTGAGCTGCCAGCACAGTTGGTTTAGAAGGGTAAATGATTTTATTTTAATGCACACGTGCCGGCGAAAGCGGCAGGTTTTGGATAAACAAAAAAAAAACAAAAAAAAAACACCTAAAAATACATGAATATTAGAAAAGATAAAATGAATGAACCATCTAGCACAAACTATGCAGAATGTGGTCATTATCAGCATAATCAAGCCTGTATAATTTTTTTTCTTTCCATAAAACAGTAGTCTATGCTAATCCTTTATGCTTTTTTTCTAATTTGGTTTGTTGACCTATAATTGAAAAAACAAAGAACAGCAGAAAACATTCTCAATATTTTTTATTTATTTTTTTTTGTTGCCAGAGTATTTACGGTAGTGACTCGATATATCCTTAGTTGATATCTGGGAGGAGCCTCTGACGTGGGGGAGCGTCTAGGTTAGCTCAATGGGTTTGGAAATTTTGTTCACCCCTAGGTTGAAACTCTCTGCTTACGATTATAGACCGTTCCATGACCTAAAACAACTGTTCTGAAAAAAAAAAAAAAAGAATGCTGACCTATATTTGAATAAATATAGTAGTCGTTTGCAAGAAATAAATAAACCATCTATAGGCTCCCAACAGCGCTAATGGTTGTTACTTTATCCCAGATCCCAAGTCTATTTACTGTGGTCCCGAGAAGAACATATCGACGGGGCTCTAGCCTAGTATGCCACTGTTTGGCTTCACTACTCGAGAATGTGTGCATGAGCACTAGAACTCGCAACTGCAGCACATGAAAAGCAATGAGCACACAGCAAAACCTAACTTCAAGGAGACAAGTTCTACTCTAACAAATGTTAGAGGAGAGCACATTGCAATCTCTCCTTGTTTTCTCGGCACTCATCACTGCGAAGTTATATCCCAGTCGATCTGAACACTCCCAGAGTAATGCATTCGTTGCGTCTACTTGAACTGAAGAATTAGTGCCTCTCAAGCTTGCTGATTGGTCAGATTCAACCATCTTGAAGCCAGAAGAAAAATATTGCTGCAGAAACCACTATGGTTGGTTGTCTATGAATTGCGATAGCATTCGTCTAGAACAACTCCAAGGATGACATCCCAGAGGACTTCATTGACGACGTCTAGGACGATCTCAAGGACGACCTCTAGAACGACCTCCAGGGCAACCTCAAGGGCGGCGTCTAGGGCGACCGTAAGGATGACGTCAAGGTCGTCCGGTCCTTCAAAGAGGGTGCGAACTTGAAGGAGTGTAAGAATGTGAGCTGAAATGGTCTACTGGGCATTAGGAGGCCAGAAAGTCCAAGAAATTTGGGGAGGGGGGGGGGGGGGGCGAAAGAATGCCATCATATTAAAAGAATGTATGTACAACGTTCAAGCAGGAGCTTTGAAGAGAGGCGTTCACAGATTGGTGAGCAGGTTTTGTCACGTTTGCCTGCACAGAGCAGTCATTTTGAAGCCACCAATTGCAAAGGGCAGCCATTTTGAAGCCACCAACTGCAGTACCGTGACACAGTTCTGACATAAAAGCTTGGAAAGTTTAATTCTGTGAAAACTGCCAATGGACCATCCAAGGGATGAGCTACACAATGCCAATACTCTAGCAAAACTACCGCACAAATGAATGACTAAGTACCCAAGGCTTGGCAGGCGACATCCACGATTCCGCTCGTCACCGAGGTCAGGCCGCTGTCGTACTCCGTGCGCTTTTCGGGGCTGAGCCACGACAGCCTGAAAACAGGGCCCACAGCCAATCACAGCCTTGCACCCCGGGAACAAATTGTTACCCAAATCGTTGTGTGGACTGTTGTTCAAACACCATAGACGTTTGCAATCTTGCACGATGAAAACATTTCTAATTTTTTTTTTTAATTGAACTGCTTAGGAATTTCTGTTAGAATTCTAAGAATATTTTTCGTCATTGTCCAGAAAATCTTCCATCACAATTAAAACCAATTCACACAATTCTCTGATCTGTCCACTTCTCGCGGACGGATCTCCCACGACCAACCAACGACTTTCGTTGTAGCATTACTACGATTCAGATATATCTCTCTTACTATAGGGATATAGACATAATATGTAGACATATAAACACAATAATACTGAGCTGATAATTCAGCATGTCAAAAGCTGCGCGCGAGTCACAGACTCAAAAGTGCATAGGGTCTGCTCATAAACACTATCGCATTATTGAAAAGGGACGCGAGTTCACCTGACGAGGAACTTGCGTAGAGCCTTCAGAATGGACAGCTGAACCTTCCACGTGCTCGCCGGGAAGCTGGCGAGCAGCAGGTCGCATAGCCTCGCCTGGTATTTCTCTGCGCCCAAAAGATGCGTCTTCTTCGCAGCTTCCAAAAAGGCGCTACAAAATTCACGTCGGCTACTCTGTTTCACCTTACAATCTGTACGGCTACAGATGCTATGAGTCACCAAAGCCAATCCATGGCCAGTCCACGCCGAGCGTGAAGTCACTTGGCACGCATGGAGCACTGGACTGGCTAACATGGCTCATAACCACTGATCTCTATTGTAGTAAGCTGGACCGCTAATACGGAGCCCGGCAGTAGCAGGACCGGCAGCCATTACTTGACACCAGGCAATACATGCAAGTCTATGGAAGGAATGAATAAAAATGAACTTTTTGAAGCTTGTGTAAAGTGTCTTGTAAAGAGACTTTTACAAGGTAAAAGGTTTTGTACGAAACCTAACTTTTTCATGTTTTCCCCATAGGGCCCAATGCATTTGCTGGTTTCAAGCCACTCGACCGCAGCAAAACAAGGCCTGATCCGCGATCCAGCCTACTGCAATAGACATTGATGCTCGTAACATCCATTGCAGTACAATGCAAGCTGAAACGAAACACAGAGGCACGAAATCCTTTGCCACTATATCGTGGCCGGCCCAATGAAGCTTTATAGTCTTTCATAGGTCCCCTATTGTGTGTTGATACACAACCTAGATTAGTCAAAGCATCTGCAATAGAATTTTGGGTGTCATCATGGTGAGATCGGGCGGGATTGGATACGAGTGATGCGTCGACGTTCGGCTGGACCTCGCGCTTGGTCAACGCGTCGAACATGGAGGTAGGAAGAGGAGGAGGCGCCATACCGACTCTAGCCAGCCAAACGAGAAAATCCCGAGCGAAGCCGGATGTAGAGGTCGCAGTCAGTGGGAATGCACCCAAGGGCATTCCCACCGACCAAGGGTGTCCTTTCCGTCCAATAGCGTCTTTCGGTTTTGTTGGTTTTCGGTCGTCGTTGGGGGGGGCGTGTCCCTCCAAATCGGAAGCCTCCCCCGGCTTGAACTCTGGTGGCGTCGTGTCATCTCCAGGGTAATGCTCTGGAGATGACACGACGCTTCCTACCTCCGTGGCATCGAACTCGGATCCAACTGCCGAGTTGGCGCCCTCCGACCAAGACAATGTTCCGTGAAAAAAAGAGGAAGATGTTTGCAAGCCTCGCTGGTTCTAATTGGTGTTGCCCTTACGCAAGCAATATACTTAGCTGATTTCCGACCGTTTTGCACATAAATAGGGTTAAAAGTTTTCGGGGATTATTTGGTTTGGAATTTGGGAAAGTAGGGGTTCACTTGTTGTTGGCAAGAAATCGTTGTTTGTCAGGGACTAAGTTGAAGAAAACGGGACGCAGCCGTGGCCTCCAGGGAAATCGTGCATGATGCAAATACTTGAACAACGTCTCGGTACCGACGAGAGAGGGAAACAAGACAAGGGTTGCGAATGCCGATGAAAAAAACCGGCTTCGCGGACGATGCGCTCCGGGCCATGCTTTGGGCCAATAAAAGTAAAGCATCATTTAAAGATCTCTTCCTGAGAATCTCGGAATCCTCTCTCATCTAAAAACAGCCGCCATATTCAAGATTTTTCTCTATACCCCGATTCTTACGAAACCGGCTCTAGGATCCCTTTCTGAAGGCCGGTTCATACACTTGTGACTGTTTACGACCGAGTGCATTGAAAGTATACTTGTGATCTCTTACGACGAATTGTCACACTAGTCCCATCTGTCGGATGGTCTTCGAACGCTTGGGATTTTCGGATATCTCCCACTTTTTAAGGCGAAAGCCCTATATGTCCCATCGCGCAAAAAGGCGCCGGCGTTGTGCCCGAAGGATGGCCATAAAAACATGTCATCAAGCACGCGCTGCTTAAAGGGATGCTGAACCGAAATTTTGATTCCACAAAACACGTGGTAAAAGCGTGCAATGGGATGCTACAAACACCAAAACATCACTCATACTGCGATATCTCGAACGGATGACCGTATTTTTCAAGAAAAGGAGGCGCATTTGAAAGAGATGATGTCGTCATGTTTCTCTGAGAAGGAGAGGGAACGTCCTCGCGTCTTCTCCGCCTCGCGGCCTTGAGGGAGCAAAGCGAAGAGAGGAGAAAACTCGGTATATTGACGTCACGCGCCTTGTCGGCCTGGTTCAATCTCGACCTCTTTTTCCAAAAATACGGCCATCCATTCGAGATATCGCCTTACGAGTAGTGGTGTAGGGATTGTAGCGTCCCGCCTACATTTCCTGCATTGCTTTTTCTGAAATCGAAATTTTGGTTCACCATCCCTTTAAGGTCAAAGCAGAGGCACCTCAGAAATAAAACACAAAGAAAAGCACAGCAACGCAGATGCTTCGTCACAGAAGCCGTGGAGCCGGCGGGGGTGCCGCGCCTGCTCAGTGGGGGAGCGTGATGTCATCGCCGGAGCAAAACATTTCACCCGCCGGACTACCAATGCTTTCACATTCCTAAACATAAGCACTTTTAAGTGTTCTCGGCGTGTTTTTCGCGCATCATTCTTTCTTTATTGGCGTGAAAACCTTTTGAGAATATAAACAAGCATTTCTCATAGATGGTACATATGCTTGATTTCGCAAATGCCGCAATTTTTAGCAAAATGCAGTTCCGGGGTCAGCTCATAGATGGCCCCAAAACTGCTCGTAGATCGCGAGAAGAACTCTGTCGTAAGCAAATGCAAGTGCGCGAACTGGTCTCGGGGTTCGTCGCCATGCGCCAAAAACGCAAAACCCTAGCCATAACCTTTACATTTTTTTTTTCTTTGGCCCGTCGGCGTACGAGGCAAGAAACAGCTTTTTCGCTCACCCTGGGTGATGGGATCCTTGGGCCAGGCCTGGCCGAGGGCTTCGAAGCCCACGGACTGGAACCGCAGCTGAGACTCCAAGTCCCAGCGACCTTCGCTGTCGTCGTCCTCGCTCGAACGCTTACGGTCGGCCGCCTGCAAAAAGGTGTTTTTTCAAAATATTAAAGTTTCATGCTATGCAGACTATCTATAAGCGCAAGCTACAGTACGAGGATTTGTTTTTTTAATATCTTCTGTCGCGTCTCATCGCGAGGAATTTTTGTGGATAACACTTATATAATGATGATTCTTTTTATAATACAAACTTTGTGCGCTAATAAAACGGGCATTTTTTATGATGGCCCGTGTAGAAGAATTTTTTCACATGCAGGGTATGCACCAAGTGAGGACACTGCACAGGGTACAAACTATATAATAAAACAATTTTTTTTTTCAACCAAAATTTGCATTTGCACATAGGAGGTATTCCCATTTCATTAGAAATAAGGTAAGACACAAAAATTTGTGTCTTCCCTTATTTCTAATTACCATTACTAGCAAGCTTTCCATTTTGAGTATTCTTATGTCGTCATCAGCACAAGCGGTGAGTAAAGCCACTTATGGTTTGCCACGAAAAATAGTTTTGACAACATGAAATGGATCTGGTAAACGCTTGCAGTCAGCATGCGCTTAACCATGAAGCGCACAGCTATGGCCTATTTCTGGACTACAGTTCTTAAAATACAGTATTCTAATGAGGTTTCTCAAAAGTCGCATGAAGCTCAACCAGAGTCTGTGAAGGAAAGACAGACAAATCATAGTTGAAACTCAACCTAACAAAGTTGAGAGCAGTCTCAAAATATTTTGTTAAGTCGGAAAATTCATAATATCGAGGAAAGCGTATTTTGGACATCCGATTCGATCAAACCATGGTTCCAACATAGCGGCCTTTAAGGGGTGACACTACCTGGGATTGTCCACTTTTGAACCGCTCACCCAAGCGGTGTGATACTTGCAGGTGGTGTTTATAGCCACAATGAAGGAGGGCATGCAAAGTCCCTCCTTCCCTACGACCCAATTTTATGAGGTACTATACTCCCAGAACGAAAGAAAGCATAGCTTTGCATGGAACCTGCTCAATGAATCAATCGTTGAGAAATGGTGTTGATAACCACATATCTTTCTGGTGAAATGCATACTGGAATACCTGTTGCTGGTTACTATAAAAATAAATTTAAGAAAAAATGGACTTTGCAAATAAAAAAAAAAAATGTTTGTTTTGTTTCACATTTACAATGTTCCGCAAATTAAAGTTTTTCATAATAAAGGAACATGAAAATGAAAAATCTAAATTCATAGTAACCGGCTCCATAAAATTTTGGCATATAAGCCGCAAATATTAAGTCTCTTAATGGTTTCGTACTGAAACAATAGTTTTATTAAGGTGGGATTAATGCCCAAAAGTGGATTGGAGAAAAACGCATTCGAAGTGCTCGAAACTCTACCTTTTTTTTAGCATTGGCGGACTGAAAATAATTTGTAAAAGAAGAAACATGTATTGTAAACAAATGAAACTTTCTGGGAATACTCTATGTTGGCAGATGTGAATAGGGCATTTTTCAACATGAACGTTTTTTGCAGAAATCTTTTTTTCTGGGTAGTGTCCCCCCTTAACAAGCTACGACGATGCATCGTGTATGCGCAGTGACCACATATAGAAAATGTAACCCAGATGTATGCGAAATTAGTTCGAAAGGGCGATCAACACCACTTGCACAATAAAATTTTTTAACTTACCTCGAAGCTTTGCATGAGTCTGACTGACGCAGAATGTGTCGTGTGTTTGCGTTGACCTGCTTTGATTTGTTTTGCACATTTTACTTTTTCGGGTAGCCTCCTTGGAGGTACTGACACAAAAACACAACATATTCTGCAACAAATGGCTTGATGGGAAGTATCCAGGTAAGCTTACAATTTTGCGACTGACTTTCAATGAGCCGCATGGCGAAACCGCCCTTTTTTTTTTAACTTCCTGTTCCTTCTGCTACACCATTCAAAAACTGTTTTTACTGAGGATGCACTCTGGTGCATCCTCACTTGCCTTTACGTTTTGAAAGGCCAATGGATTTTACCAAGCCATGCTCCGATGCTCTAAGTCGCTCCTAGTTATTGCAAAGTTATGTTCTGACACACTGATTGGCTCATAGTTTTCACCAAGCTTTCTGCCACATTATGTTCCAATATTCTGAGTGGCTCCTAGTCCTTACTAAGTTATGTTCTGACACTCTGATTGGCTCATAGTTTTCACCAAGCTTTGTTATGTTCTGACACTCTGACTGGCTCGTAGTTTTCACCAAGCTTTCTGCCATGTTATGCTCCAACATTCTGAGTGACTCCTAGTCCTTACTAAGTTATGTTCTGACACTGATTGGCTCATAGTTTTCACCAAGCTCTGTTATGTTCTGACACTCTGACTGGCTTGCAGTTTTCACCAAGCTTTCTGCCATGTTATGTTCCAACATTCTGAGTGGCTCCTAGTCCTTACTAAGTTATGTTCTGACACTCTGATTGGCTCATAGTTTTCACCAAGCTTTGTTATGTTCTGACACTCTGAATGGCTCATAGCTTTCACCAAGCTTTGTTATGTTCTGACATTCTGATCCGCTCCTAGTTTTCACCAAGCTTTCTGCCACGTTGTGATCCAACATTCTGAGTGGCTCCTAGTCCTTACTAAGTTATGTTCTGACACTCTGATTGGCTCATAGTTTTCACCAAGCTTTGTTATGTTCTGACACTCTGACTGGCTCGTAGTTTTCACCAAGCTTTCTGTCATGTTATGTTCTAACATTCTGAGTGGCTCCTAGTCCTTACTAAGTTATGTTCTGACACTCTGATTGGCTCATAGTTTTCACCAAGCTTTGTTATGTTCTGACACTCTGGTTGGCTCATAGTTTTCACCAAGCTTTGTTATGTTCTGACATTCTGATCCGCTCCTAGTTTTCACCAAGCTTTCTGCCACATTACGATCCAACATTTTGAGTGGCTCCTAGTCCTTACTAAGTTATGTACTGACACTCTGGTTGGCTCATAGTTTTCACCAAGATTTGTTATGTTCTGACACTCTGACTGGCTCGTAGTTTTCACCAAGCTTTCTGCCATGTTATGTTCCAACATTCTGAGCGGCTCCTAGTCCTTACTAAGTTATGTTCTGACACTCTGATTGGCTCATAGTTTTCACCAAGCTTTGTTATGTTCTGACACTGATTGGCTCATAGTTTTCACCAAGCTTTGTTATGTTCTGACATACTGATCCGCTCCTAGTTTTCACCAAGCTTTCTGCCACGTTATGATCCAACATTCTGAGTGGCTCCTAGTCCTTACTAAGTTATGTTCTGACACTCTGATTGGCTCATAGCTTTCACCAAGCTTTGTTATGTTCTGACATTCTGATCCGCTCCTAGTTTTCACCAAGCTTTCTGCCACGTTATGATCCAACATTCTGAGTGGCTCCTAGTCCTTACTAAGTTATGTTCTGACACTCTGATTGGCTCATAGTTTTCACCAAGCTTTGTTATGTTCTGACACTCTGACTGGCTCGTAGTTTTCACCAAGCTTTCTGCCATGTTATGTTCCAACATTCTGAGTGGCTCCTAGTCCTTACTAAGTTATGTTCTGACACTCTGATTGGCTCATAGTTTTCACCAAGCTTTGTTATGTTCTGACACTCTGATTGGCTCATAGTTTTCACCAAGCTTTGTTATGTTCTGACATTCTGATCCGCTCCTAGTTTTCACCAAGCTTTGTTATGTTCTGACATACTGATCCGCTCCTAGTTTTCACCAAGCTTTCTGCCACGTTATGATCCAACATTCTGAGTGGCTCCTAGTCCTTACTAAGTTATGTTCTGACACTCTGATTGGCTCATAGCTTTCACCAAGCTTTGTTATGTTCTGACATTCTGATCCGCTCCTAGTTTTCACCAAGCTTTCTGCCACGTTATGATCCAACATTCTGAGTGGCTCCTAGTCCTTACTAAGTTATGTTCTGACACTCTGATTGGCTCATAGTTTTCACCAAGCTTTGTTATGTTCTGACACTCTGACTGGCTCGTAGTTTTCACCAAGCTTTCTGCCATGTTATGTTCCAACATTCTGAGTGGCTCCTAGTCCTTACTAAGTTATGTTCTGACACTCTGATTGGCTCATAGTTTTCACCAAGCTTTGTTATGTTCTGACACTCTGATTGGCTCATAGCTTTCACCAAGCTTTGTTATGTTCTGACATTCTGATCCGCTCCTAGTTTTCACCAAGCTTTCTGCCACGTTATGATCCAACATTCTGAGTGGCTCCTAGTCCTTACTAAGTTATGTTCTGACACTCTGGTTGGCTCATAGTTTTCACCAAGATTTGTTATGTTCTGACACTCTGACTGGCTCGTAGTTTTCACCAAGCTTTCTGCCATGTTATGTTCCAACATTCTGAGTGGCTCCTAGTCCTTACTAAGTTATGTTCTGACACTCTGATTGGCTCATAGTTTTCACCAAGCTTTGTTATGTTCTGACACTCTGATTGGCTCATAGTTTTCACCAAGCTTTGTTATGTTCTGACATACTGATCCGCTCCTAGTTTTCACCAAGCTTTCTGCCACGTTACGATCCAACATTTTGAGTGGCTCCTAGTCTTTACTAAGTTATGTACTGACATTCTGACTGGCTCGTAGTTTTCACCAAGCTTTCTGCCATGTTATGTTCCAACATTCTGAGTGGCTCCTAGTCCTTACTAAGTTATGTTCTTACACTCTGATTGGCTCATAGTTTTTACCAAGCTTTGTTATGTTCTGACACTCTGATTGGCTCATAGTTTTCACCAAGCTTTGTTATGTTCTGACACTCCGATTCGCTCCTAGTTTCCACCAAGCTTTCTGCCACGTTATGATCCAACATTCTTAGTGGCTCCTAGTCCTTACTAAGTTATGTTCTGACACTGATTGGCTCGTAGTTTTCACCAAGCTTTTTGCCACGTTACGTTCCAACATTCTGAGTGGCTCCTAGTTCTTGCTAACTATGTACTGTTTCGACAATTCGATTGGCTTATAGTTTTCGTCAAGTTATGCTCCAATACTGATTGGCACAGATTTTTTCCCTTTGTCATTGTACTTTGATCGGCTCATAGTTTATGCCAAGTTACGCTCTGATGCTCCGAGTGACTCCTAGTTCTTGCTAAGTTATGCTCAGACACTTTGATTGGCTCATAGCTTTTGCCCAGTTTTTGACAAGTTATACTCAGACACTCCGATTGGCACATATTTTTGTCATATGCCACTAAGCTTTGATCGGCTCATATTTTCTGCCAAGTCATGCTCCGACGCTTTGTGTGACTCCTAGTTCTCGCCAAGTTATGGACACTTTGATTGGCACATATTTATGTCATTTGCCATTACACTTTGATCAGCTCATAGTTTTTGCCAAGTTACGCTCCGACACTTTTGATATTATATTTCATCCTCTGCCAGTTATGCTCCGACACTCTGACTGCCTCATAGACTTTGCCACAGGGCTTTGGTTATTTGCCAGGTCATAGCTTCTCTAATCTAAAAACTCTACAATCTATGCGCTCCAGAAACCATTCCATTTTAACAGCCCATCAGGCTGTGGTTCCCCTTACCTTCCTGAGCTGTGGCTCGAGGATCTCGAGCAGTGGTGCAAAGTAGTCTAGTTCGTGCTTCTCCACGAGCTGCGCCAGGCTCAACACAGCCTGCTCCTTGTAGGTGGGGTTCTCTTTGCGGCACTCTCGGACGAGCGCCTCGGAAACCTGCACAAACAATGCATTTCGAGACGAATCAGGAAGTTTGGGCAAATTGGTTGCCTTTTGTTGAAAAAACCAACGAAAGGCATCTGGCACGCCCTAGCAGAGGACCGAGAAATAATTTCGTTTTGAAGTGCAACGGAAATCTTGGTTACACGGCGTCTTTTTTCGCCTACAGTGGGCCGGAATACTGCAGAGTATGGGCAGACGCTTCGGCATTTGCGACGTGCATAAAATAATTAATTACTTAACTATCAAAGTGTTAGGCTTACAATACGAGTAAGGTATCAGCATGCCTCATGTTTCAGTCTTCAGCTACTGTGCATCTATTTAATTCAGTTTTCAATACGAAGCATCGCTCACTAGTATTGTGACAGAATTGTGAAATAATAAATGATTGTATTGAGAAAGAGGGAAGGCATAAAATTTGTAGCAACAAACCTTATTTAGAAAGGCACTCCGCATTGGCAGGTTATCCCCAGAATCGCCGTTTGTTGCCCTGGAAAAGTATAAAAAAGCAAGCTAATATTAGTAGAACCATGCTAGCCAGAATGGAAAGGAACATCTCTCATACAAAGCTGGGGACTGACATATGCTAAAATGCTTTGAAAGTTAGAATATTAATGCAGTTGATGCTCCACACCTGTTGCAATAGTGTGGAGCAGCAAGAGCATTGTATCTGCTCGGGTGTAACAGATGCCATTGATGAGGAAGGCTTGCATGGCTGAATTTCCACGGATCATAGAAAACGTTAATTGCTACAATCTGTGCAAATGACAACGTTTGGAAAATATTGCTTCCAGGAATTGTGGTTTGCACTTGACTCTTGAGACGGTAAAACGCTGCACTTAATGCAGCAGCATAGGAGGCGTTGTTGTGCAAAAACAATGTCAACGACCCATGATTTGCTGAGGTGCTTGCAGTAATTGCAGCAGTCGACATGCTCCACGGGAAAGCAACGCACGACCATCGTTCATAGACATTGTGTGTCAGGATCGAGAAAATCTTGCAATCAATATGAATAGACTCACACTAATTGTCACAGAATCTGGTTGAAAGAACAGAAAAGCCTCGAAGTGGGCAAATCTGATCCCAATGTAAGCACCTCTCAAAAAATATAGCGCAGTCCTGAGAAAGTCAACGTACCTAGAATACGTTTCTGGGCCGGTAAGTGTCAGTGACTCTCAGTCACAGAATTACATGGTTGGTGCGACCCATGGATCGTGATGGCAAAAGGGATGTTTTGTAGCATCATATGTGACACTGTGACGCCACATTGTGGCGTTAAGACATAATACAGTGACCTTCGTGCGATCACAGGTATTACATGACCACATACCGTATTTTTCTGGTTTATAAGTCGCTTGTTATACATATTTGTACGGTCAGCGCGGCGAAACTACACTGATAAACCTGCATATGTGTGCTATGATTGCGATACAGGCAGAAGTGGAAGCAAGTTTATATATTGTCGCCAGTTAGCCAAACGAGAAATATAGCTTCGCTTTTCCACTTTTCCCCCGCTTCCTCCTCTCCCCCTTTTATCTACTGTTGCCTCTTTCCTCCTCCCCATGGTGAGGAGGATCGAGGATCTTCTGCCTTGCAGAATCTCGAGTCTGGTCGCCGGCCTTTAAGCTTGCTATTTATAGAGGAAAAAAATTGGTAGAAGTTGTACCATTGCATGAGGTGCACCAACGAAAATCTTTGAAGAAAAACTGCAACTTATACACTGGAAACTAATGATAAGTCACATGACATCGCACATGCCCACTCCGCCCGTGACGTTTTCATTGTGTGGGTGTATAATTATGCACGCAATGTTTGTGCGATGCTTTTTCGCAATTCTGGAAAGTGCCTAGTTCTCCCCTATGATGTGTTCCATGTTAAAACGAGAATAAAAACAAGAAGACAGGAGGAATCTTACACGCAGTTGACGCCAACAGCAGACAACGCCTTGAGAAGGGACTCCTGCGGCAAACAAAAAGAGCCGTCCACAACAAAGAAAAAAGAGGCTACAGGCGACACACTTCTTCCAACAGTCACTCTTCACCCCCAGGTGCCGACAGCTTTAGAAATTGTCGAATCCTTGAATGCGAGCCCAAATGAGAAAACACGAGAATCTGAAACGAACTTGCAGAAGGTTTACATGGAGCCTTCAGCTGCTCCACTTCTTGCACATGCTCATTGCCTTGTGTGGCACTTTGACCACACGTACGAGCTCAAATGTCATGCAATGCCAGAATGTCAGAAAACGCATTGGGCTCATGCTGTGAATAAGATGTCTGGAAGACCTCCATTTTGGTTCCAGTTGCTTATTACAATAGCAGGCAATACTTTCCTTCTCCAACTGCAATGGCATCACACCTTTCTGTTTTCTGTGCCATTTATGTACTTTAAATAGCTGGGAAATACTGCCCTATATTCATATCAATCTCTTTCAGGTGTCACCGACATCTATACTGTATATATATCAACTTGGACTAATTCTAAAGTTCAAGCTCATATATATATATAAGTATGTACCAACAAGCTAAACTCTTAACCGTTATCTATACTGTGTTACCCCTGTTTACAGTTCCAGTATAGAATATTGGAATTTTAAAACAAATTACGCCTATGGTGTTCTACACCCTACTCTACACAACCTCTTCCCCTTATAGTTCAAGTATTGACCAATCAAATTTTAAAATGAATGATACCTATAGGGAGCATGCGACATCTAAATGGGGTACGCTGCTCCGCCTCGGCATCCGGTTGGCAGCTCCACCAACGACAGTATCTGCATCACGTCGCACAGTGAAGTGCCACACACTCCGGCAAACTCACTCTGGAGTAAAGGTTTGGCACCTTGACATTCGAAACCCTATCCGCATCCAGCACTGCTCTGTTTCTGTTCTCAGGCCATTCGACCTGCAGGAGTCGCTCGGAGCTCAGGTTCGATCATGTCCCATGCAGTTGTAAGTGGCAACGACGTTTTTGTTCGTCTGCGCTGGATTACGCCTCTACGAAGCGCCCCGTGTTTGACGATCCTAAAATCACTATGGGACGACAATGACCAGTGCCAGTACCTAGTTAAATAAATTTTTGTAAGAAGTATTTTTCGCTTTTCCTACTACCAGATTCCTCTTTGCTCGCAGCGAGATCGAGTAGACACACCGAGATTGAGACGATCTCGGCTCTTTTCGCCAGTACACATGTTTTCGACATCTGGGCCTCTCATAAGAAAAGCTGGCCCCGACTGTGGCTCGGAACGTTTTGCATAGAGCTGAGGCAAGCCGACATCGATTAGAAACTAAGGTCGGCTGCTACAGATGATGTAGCAGCCGACCAAAATGCTTCTGCTATGAGCCCCACTGTGGTGCTGCTATTTCGTCGCATGCTTCTAATACTTGGAAACCAGTCCACACTATTCCGAAAGGCAAACCTTGTAACCGTTAGTCCCATTTGTATAAATTAACAGGGCATATTCGTTGCTGTCCTAGAGGGTGCCACGCAAAGTCTCAAGCTTATATATTAATCCTTTAACAAGTTTCATAAAAGTGCATTAAATAAACGCTGCATCCACTGAGGAAAACTATAGGTTAAAGATGGTAATGATAATGGACACTTTTTTCGGCGAAATACGCAGTATAACACCTTTGTCATGTAACCAGGGAAATAACTTGTAGAATTGACACAATTTGATTCAAAAATAAGAATCTGGAAATTTTTGCTTTTTCCATGCATTAGGTAGAAGAAACCAAGAAACCACTACTTTACGTAACAAAAAAAGCATAAAAATACAGAAACTTTACAGCCACATTCCTCAGAAAATTTAAGCATAGAAACTCCAGAAGCTAGCTCCACGCAGCATTTTATTATAATATTATATGTTTTCCTGAACCGACATGCGATTCTAAAACGTTAAGCTAACATAAACGCGATCAAAGGCCAAAGGGTTTGCTCTTTAGATAATGTCGGCAAGTCGAAAATATTTTCTTCTGGAAAAAATAATTCAGTTACAGAAATGAAACTTCCTGACAGCATTGTTTAGGAGTTCTACATGCTATAAAGACTATCTGTAAAAAATACAACTTAAAAACACAATTTTTTAGGTAGTGTCTTTTTTTAATTTTATGAGTGCCACGCTCGAGGTATACCCAGGCAAGTTCCCCCGTGGTTTCAATTTCAGTTTTCTACCTGCCCCTCCCAACTGGGCAGTTATTTCTTTTTTAGATGTAATGGCAAACACGAGCAAGCAATGAAAACATTGTTTGATCTTGTGGTGTTGCTTTTTGATGATGTGTAATTTCGTTTGTTCTGGCGGCTTCTGTTTTGGTATGCTTTTTCATTGTTACGGAATGGCGAATCTATCTTGCCCAACCTCACACAAACATTGAGATCTAAAAATTACGAATGAACTCTGTATTCGAGGGCTAAAAACAAAGAAGATCTGGTTCTGAAAGTACAAGGGTTACTCAAACAAGTATCCTCGGGGTGCGAGGTCAATGTGCCACTGCATAATATTGTGTCTCGAAGAGTACAATATAAGAAAAATGTTCTTTGTTAGAGGCATGCAGACATTAATTAACTTTTTTCCCATAAAATAAGGTCTTTCATTAATAAATTTTCATCGCAGTGCATGCTACAGTGTTACCGAGATAAAACATTTGCGTTTGGCGTGCAGGAAAAAAAAGACCAAAAGGGTTAAAGAGAAGGAAGAGATCCCACCTTGCCGGCCCAGGTGCGTCCCGAGAGGGCGGCCAGCAGGGCGGTGAGCAGCAGCTCGGTCCAGGCCCAGTCCAGGAAGGGACCCAGGGTCTGAGCCAGGGCGCAGGCGGTCACCCCAGCCTGGGCCCGCAGGGGCCACGAGGGGCACTCCAGCCCCTGCTGGATCAGCCCAACCACTTCGGACAGGTACAGCTTCAGGCCGGACTCGGTCCCTGCGGCGGGAAATTCCCCCGCAAGCGGAGATTGCGGAACACTGAGCACGAACTGGAGCGAGTTTAGTGCAAACATGTCGGATGTTTCTATGGAGACTTTAAAAAATTCCTACCAAGAAGGTGGTTGAGAAAAAGGTTAACTCTTTTCGGGAACGAACTGTCAACCACGACAGACGTCAGGGATTGCAAAAATAAATTTACAAAAAAAACTTCTTATTTAGTAAAAATGAACATATGGTTTCGGTTAAAAACTTGCCAAGCGTCATCCCAAACCCCCTATATTATCATCTGCGTTTTTCATCGCCAGCCTTGTGCCTCCTGTGCAAGTGCTAACTCTCCCATGTCTGTAACCTAACAAAGAATCGCTTACGCGGACGAAAATAGGAAATGTAGCAATCAGTGTCACGCAGGTAACCGCCGGCAGGGCCGCAGATGGCTTATATTGACATTGAATTTTCTGGTCTTCAAACACGCTGCTTGGTGGCATGTCCAGAAGTGACTTCAGGTGCAAGAAGCCTATAGCATTTATAGGGCCAGCTCTTAGCGCTTTCGTGCATGTGGCATGTGGCCTCGATGATGACGTCACGCTGATGACTTCACGCTGTTCACGAGACGCCGTCGGCGTTTTGGAAGGTTCACCGCGACGTCATCTGCGTGAAAGTAGTCGCGTGATGCCGTGACATCATACAATGTCATGTGACCTGATGTCGCGGCGTTACACGACATCAGATGACACAATTATGTCATAGGACATATAAATGCTGCCAATTTAGAGCACCTTTCGTTTAACCCTTTTCCTACCTATTTTTCTTACAAACATGCGCTTTTAAATTTTGTTGCAGTGCATCAAAATGTAGAAAACTAAATGCTCTTTTCAACGGTATAGGCACGAAATAAGAGCCCAATAAATATATACAAGACTTAATTTATGGAAACCAAAATTACTGTGGCGAACTCAACAAAAAAATGAAAAAGGTATGCAGATATCCCGGCAAGAAGTCGCAACAGAAAAAATTCCAAAATACATGAAAGATGCCAAGTTTCAATAAAAACAAAGGGCTACAAGTTGCAGCTATCTACTGTCAAGACCGGCTATAACAAAGTCGGTTATAACGAAATAGCGGCTACAGCGAAGCGATCACGATTTCCCAATCTTTTTTGCACTTCATTATAACCGAAGTCGGTTATAACAAAATAGTGGATATAGCGAAGTGATTTCCGATTCTCATTGACTTCGTTATAACCGGTCTTGACAGTATATCAAAGTCTTGTCAAGTTCTTCTACATAGTTTCAACCCTTGTGTCGTGCATGCCATTTGGTGAAGCAGTTTCTAGGTGTAAAAATTGAGCAGACCCATGTTAGTCCACAGTACAGTTAGTGCGATAGCTGCGACACGTCACGGCAAAGTCGTTCGGCATCAGCGTCGCGTTCACGCACTGTGGGGTGCGTGAACAAAAGTTTTCAAAACAAAATCGACATCCGACCATTTTCTTTCAAATGCTATGTTTCTTTTTTATTCTGGAGCATGTGAAAGCACGTCTCCTGGCACATACTCTTGGCACTGACATTGCTACAACGGCATTCTATTATTGGCTATTTTTTTCGAGAGAGAGAGAGAGCACGTGTAGCGGGCTGTTTACGCTGTGGCGCAGCTTTGTGGCAACGCCTCCGCTTCGCACGCAGCAGACGCGGGTTCGATTCCCGCAGGTGACGGGCAATCTTTTTCGAGGATTTGGCAAAATCGACAATGGACGCCCTGCGATGCCACCTACACAACATCAACAACAAACGTCACTCCCAGTGGTGGGAAGGGCCCATAACAGCTATCGCTGTAAAACACAAATAAATGTTGAAAGCATTGCAGAAGACATTTCTTTTGTGCTCAATTTTGCAGTCCTGGCGCGATGTTTCGAGTTTACTGGACGAATCATCGCTGCCAGACCTGAAATCTGATGATCCGATATCATTCTCCGACTCGCTCGTGCAACTGTCATGAACAAAACTGACCACAGACATACTCGAATCGCGAGATTTCATACGCTCCTGAGGAGGTGCGCGACATTCGCAACGCAGAGCGCTCTTTCTCGGCTGCGCGTTCCAACATAATAAATTGGCGCCTCGAGGAAAAAAAAAATAACTATCTAGAAAATGAAACTAGAGTGTCTAATCTAACCTCCAGATGCCGTAACACATCCAGAAACGCATCAAAGGCTTTGTAATGGGGCTCACAAATCGTCCATCACAACGGATCGACTACGATGGGCGCAGTACAGAAAGAGTTAAATATTGATCCTTTAAATTTGTTTAGAAGACATAAACAGTCATTTCAGGGAGCAAAAACCATTTTTTTTTTAATTTACCCACTAAATATAGCGGGGAAACAGACTTGGTGCATAGGTCACGTACCGTCAATTTCCTCGCTAAATTGAGCGCGGAGACTGAATTGGTGTACAGGCCACGTGGCACCCAATTCCCCACTAAATTTAGTGGGAAATCCAGAGACGGATGAATGAACGGACAAAATTTTGGGACTAGGTAGTTTTGTTAAAAAGCATTTTGTGCTTTAAAAAGGGAAAAGTTCTCAAGACCGAGAGCTTCCACTCTCGCCACCGACGTCTCGTTATCCGGACCTGCCCCGTCTCAGAATTCGTCAACAAGCACGATTATTCATCCGCACGCAGAAATCTTAAGGACGTCTTTACAGGTGCAATTCAGATTGCCAAAGAAAGAGGCGGGCTTACCCGCAGTGAACTCGACCCAGACTTCGTCCCAGAGTGGTGCAGGAGACTCTTCTTCTGTCTTTCCCTCTGAAAACGCAGGCACGAGCCGTCCATTGACAGATCACAGGTTTGGATGTGCTAAACGTGGCCACGCGCGCAATGGGCGGCACGACAACGTCAACCTTCCAACTACAATGCCTAAAACGCTTCTCCAACCGGCGTGTTTAGCGCAAACATCCACTCGAAATTTGAAGATACTAATCATGTAAAACTGAGGGATGGGCGCTCCTTAGGTCAACAAGATGTAAAGATATGCCCTTTGTGTATTTTCCAGAAGTTACAAAATTGAGGGGCGGGCGCTTGTTGTAGGATGGGTGGATGCTTGGTATTTTACGGTAGAAAAACCTAGTGTGTGATTATGCCGATTGTAAATGCAAATAACCCATGCCATTCAACTATATACTCCATTCCAGCTCATGGCAAACCGCAGAGTACATCGCAAGCCGTCGAAGCATATCCACGCCACGCAAACTTAACGTGACTTTCAGGAGAGCAGCGACACATGGGGCGCAGGGTAATGTGATATGTTTGTAGCGCAGGATTGGCTGCGACGGCTCGTGGCGTTCACTGCGGTTCATCATACGGTGAAACGGAGTACACAATGTTCCCCGCTACAGTTCTATTTTAATCTATCGATCAGCTCGTCATATGCAGGATTGTTTTATGAGGAACGCAGCGGACGCCGACTCCAGTCTCAGCCTTCAAAGCACATGACACCGTGTCTTGTGCAACCACGTCCTTCTTTTTGTACCATTTTCTTTACGTTATCATTTTCTATGTTTTTTGCCACTGGTGAGATCTTCTCAAAGCACCTTAGAGTTCTTAATCACACATTTCTTTATTTCATTGTCAGCCGCGCATTGTGTGACCAGGGGAACACACGACGCATGAGTTTGGCAGTCGGCCAACTCTCTTCGAGTGTGACTTGTAGTGGCAGGATTCACTTTTCGAAGCTAGATCAAAGTCAGCTTCAGTGAGAATGCAACAGACCCTTTTCAAAAAACCCATTGAGAAACATTGGTGGTCGCCGTTTCTTGGACACGACAGATGTGACTGAATCCGAGTTCTCCCCGAACGCTGACAGTAACACCAGCACAAGACGAGCGCAGACGCAGCCCTTGTGAAAGATACAAGTTCAGGGTATGGGCCCAAGCAATCAAGCCATCGGGTAAGCGGTGCAGGGGCTACTAGATGGCGCACATTTTTGAAAAGGGTCTATTCTTCAATTCAAATGAAGAAAACTGCCTCGTCGGCACACGATACTTGCCCAGGGGCTTGGCGTGCTTGGCGAAAAATGCCAGCGGTAAAGCGGCCGTGGCGTGGGCACGCAGTACGTCGGGGGCGTGCCTGGCCACGGACTGCATCGTGTGGGCACAGGCCCACTGGACTGCTTCGTCTGCTCCCACCAACGAGGAGCCCAGGCAGAAAGGGAGGGAGGAGGCATAGTCACAAACTCTGTTCCTTACACACCATGCAATCGCACAGATTGGCAACAGTGTGCATTTCAGGAGTCTCTACGACGCTGCTCCCAGTGTGCCTAGACTAAAAAAACATCTATGGAGGGCGACCCTCAGTCGAGATAGATAAAAAGAGAAATTTCCCCCTTTCCCAACAGCCACGAACAAGCGAGCCAAATCGCAAAGACAAGCCATTGGGTGCCCCAGCGTGGTCCACGTGCCACTCGCGACTTTTCTCGTCTGCGAAGTTTGTATGAAAAAATTAACAAACATGCTTTGCATCACCAAAAATATTTTGCAATTCGGACATGTGACAGCCAAGATGGTATCACACTGCAAAAGATGCGCAACTAAGAAGCGGCCCTGCACCATCTGACCGGATATGATGAACGTAACAAACGCACCAGGTGTAATGACATACAAGAGATTGCCGTAAAGCGCGAGACCCAACAATTTATGCGCCGTTAAAGTGTCCGACAGGACGAGAACAACAGGGCAACTCCTTCGGATGGCCGGCCTTTGTGCTCGTTGCCTTCTTTCGCGGTTGGGTTGTGCGTGCACGCTTGAATCTCGCAAAACGCCTAAAGCGTTCTCCGAGGTGGGAAGCTCACGTTGGATGCAGAATAACCGAAAGGCCTCCCTGCGGTTTTCATTCTGTCAGTTATTACAACTATGGTGCCTGGAGCACAGACGTAGGAAACGCACAAGTCGAAGACGACTTGTGCGTTTACTAGTCCGAAAAATTGATCCCTCGCTTTTCGCCCAATGACGTCGTAGAGGCGTCATGCTGTCGCCAGTCGCGATCCTAGCGGCGACACAGCGGCGGTGGTGGATGTGGCAGACGGTAAGCACACCAGTCAAAGACATGTTCCAGGCACCATAATAATAACAAATCTTCTTCAACAACATCTGCGCAGTGCCATCTCGAATTACTTGTAGCTTTCCCCAAATTAATTTTCAAAAGAAAATAAAGACATCTCTCAATGTAGCCGCCGGGCCGCTCCGTCGCCGAATCCTGATGCTCGTGGTGTCTCGTTCCGTCTGCTCGCACCGACCGGTTTCTTTCTAATCGTTCCGGTAGGACCGCCAGTACGGCTGCTACGGTTTCTTTTCCTCGAAGCCCCGGAAATTGGGAGAACAGCGTAGCCACCCACCGTCAGTCTCCATGTACCAGGAACGAAGCTTGGCCATGAGCCTGTCGACGTCACTCTCCTTCGCCACCTGACAAACGAGGCAACAAAGACTTCGCTGGGCCACGAGCATCAAATGCGAGGTAAAGCTCCATTTTGAAATAAGAAACTTTACTTATGCAACACCGTCTGCAAAACTTTTAATTTTTAATGAATGCCACCTACCTTAATCCATCTTTCGATACAATCCCCTTCGACGAAAAAGTAATTGCGTGTAAAGGCCCGTTCGCAGTTACGTTTGCCTACTCCCGTGTTCTCGTGGTCTCTTGCAACGAGAGAACAGACTGGCACACTGGCACCGTCTATGAGCTGACCTTGCAACTGCATTTAACTAGATCCGATGTTTTGCGGTATTTGCGAGATAAAATATGCATACTATCACGAGAAATTGCTGTTTATAACATTGTCAAAAGTTTTTCCGAGCCAATAGGGTAAAGAATTATGTGCAAAAAGAAAATAGGAAATATGTGGAAATGCCAAGTGTTCCACAACTGCTCGATAGATGGCGTCACTCTCGTCGTAAGAGATCCCAGGAGGCACTCGATCGTAAGCGGTCGCAAGTGTGAGAGCCAGCCTTAATTAATTCGGCCCCAATGGGTGCCTGGTGTCTCCTTTGTAGACTAGAAATTTAGCCGGTGAGGTAGAATTGATGTTTAGTCAAGCGCCTTCATGACGGAGGCCTCTACTATGAAAATGCCCGTTTAACGAAGTAAAATAAAGTCCCGGCCAATATACCATGTGTTCAATGTGTATATCTGACTACTACAACAAATTCCTCAAATATTTCTTTCTAACAAAGCGATTGCGCGACCCCACAAAGCAAACATGACCGGTATTACAAGTTTTCTAGGTGAAAAGTAATCGATTATATAAGTAAATTGTCACTCGAAGCACAAAGAGAAATGATGTAACAGCGGCGACGCTTGACACTGCTGCCGCGCCGCCTCCTCCGCCCCCTCTACTGTCGCCGCACCGCATATTCTCGGTTTTGTGTCTAAATAATTTGTTAGAGTACAACCTTGTGTCTAGATGGCGCTACATGACTATTTTGCTGCATAGAAAGCCTGTACACAGCAACGTAGTCACGTAGCGCCATACAGACCCCACAATGTTGCACACTAACATATTATTTGGACAAAAAAAGCTAAAACACGCAGCACGGCAAATGCGGTGTTTTGCTCACGTTGTTGATTGAGCATGTGCAACACCGCTCCAAGATGAGTTTATCTTTTTTTCTACGATTCGTTCGGGCAATGTGTGCACTCTCTTATTTTGCATGTGTGTCAGTGCATCTGAAAGAACCCATGCAAACGAGAGTAAATAAAAAAAACTTTCAGACTTTCCACTTTGGTGAAGAAGGAAGACCAGCAAGGCTGTACTATGGTCAGACGACCTCAAGGACAACTTTTTGGACGACCTCAAGGACGAGGCCTAAGGACGAGGCCTAAGGACAACGCCTAGGACGACCTCAAAGACAATGTCTAGGACAACCTCAAGGATAACTTCTAAGACGACCTCAAGGACGCCGCCTAGAAGACGACCTCAGGGACGACATCTAGACGACCTTAGGGACGACGTCTAGGACGTCCCCAAGGACGACTTCTAGGACGATTTTGAAGACAACATCTAGGACGACCTCAAGAATGACTTCTAGGACGACCTCTAGGACAACCTCTCGGACGACATCAAAAATGACCTCAAGGACGACGTCTAGGACAACCCTCAAGGACAACTTCTAGAACAACCTCTCAGACAACCTAAAGGACGACCTCAAGGACGACCTCGAGCACGACATCTAGGACGATGCCTAGAGAAATTCAGCCTCTCCACTCCGGTGAAAACCAGAGTGGAAGGGCTGGAAAGGTTGTCACCGTCTATAAGCAAGGCCGGCAAGCCGATTATCTGGTTGCCGCCATCGCTCATAGATGGCAGTGGCTGTGCAGAGTTTTGTGTCGACATTTCTTTGCGGGGGACACGATCCTGGGGAAACTAGCCCTTAATGGCCCCGCTGTAAAGAAAAAAAGTATTTTCATGGACACTCAAAACTTTTTAGGGGCGAAGCTCCTTAGGGTCTAGCCTTGTCCGGCGTCCGTGCTCACATCGATTGCCATCCCATCTGTCTCCTTAAGAAAAGAAAAAATGTTTGTGCAGTCGACAGGATTCGAACCTGTGCGGAAAGACCCCAATGGATTTCTAGTCCATCGCTTTAACCACTCGACCACGACTGCGGGACGAGTACGGGGCTCCGAGATGTGGTAGTAACTGAAGAGCTAGGGATGTCATGGATGAAACGTTGCCTGTAGCCGCTCAACGTCTATACAGGAGAGGGCGCTGCGGTCAAATGTGTATATAATCGCGTTAAACTTTGCATGCATTGGCTAAATGTTTATAGACGAGAGGGCGCTGCGGTCAAATGCTCAAATGCGTATATAACCACGTTCCATACCACACATTCTCTTTCTGACATGGATGAAAACGAACGAAAAGCTCGGCATGCTGCAGCTCAGCGTCTACGCAGAAAGCAAGCTGCTCCGGAGACCAGGGCGTGAGAAGCTGCTGCAAAGCGTCAAAAACGCCAAGAGGACACGGAATTGAGAGCTCGCACCACCGGAGCTTCACCCCAATCAACATCATTCACCACGTGGAGATGCGGTCATTTTTATGTCTTGGCACTTGTTGGACTTTGTTAAAGAGGCATTTAACTGTACCCCTTGCACCCTTAAGTTGCCAGTGCGGTGGAAGCTACATGCCCTCTTGGACCAGGTATACGTCTATCCTTCGTCACGTGATCCCGCTCCTGCCCCTACCCACGCACAGAAAGCGGGGTCGTGTGATGAAAGAGAAGCGGTTGATTGGTCCGGTGAACACACAGCTACCACCACACTGTCAGCTTAGGGGTCTACAAAGTACAGCCCAAGATCTTGAATGTGCATCATGCAGGGGTGATCAGTAGATGATTGCACGCCAGTACAGTACTCATCCAGATTGAAAGGTGCGGAAATGAGGAGAACAGCGCGAGCTTTCGCTCCCAAGCTTGGAGCTGCCATGTGTTGGCCCGCCCAGGTACTGATCCCCCTCAACGTTAAGACATTTGTCATATTATAGCACATGCCTTTTTTTTTTTTTTCCTTCTCAATGAGAGTCTGCTGCCTGAGTATTAAGCCAGCCCATCTGATATTCAGCGTGAAAACAAGTTGCTCTACTGATATGCTTTGCGATCAATTAATAAAGTAATGACTTCGAAACTTCAGTGACAAATGTTATAAGATCAAAAGTTGCAAAGTGTCGGTTCTCCAGAATTTTTTTCGTTCACTGCCCCCAGACCGTCCGCATCTAGAAACGACCCACTTCTCCTCAACGTACCACGAGGGCCCCGTCGCCCATCATTCCACATTCGGACCTATTTCCACACCATTCCTTCGCTCGTACTGTTCAGTCCGTAAATTTCGCAAATTCGTCGAAGGACCCTTCACGGTCTGCATTGTCTGCCATTGGTCGTGTCTGAAAATCTCGTCGCAAAGTGAACTTCGGAGCCGGCGGACTGCACTACTGACTTGCACAAATACAAGGAACTTCAGAGCGCCATTCGGTTGTTAAAAAAATCCGAATAAATAAGTAAGTTGATGCAGTGCAATTAAACTTTGCACAAAGGTGTTTTTAGGCGGTACATTTATCGTACACAAATTTTGCGACTGTAGGTTTTCGAAAAACAAATGCAAGAAAAGAATACCTTGTCGTTTCCTTACAAGCGGGAAAAGAATGGAAGAAAACCCCGTCTGGTTGACGCTGCCAATCACAGATGGCACCACACACGCTCGCATACGCTGGACCAGCATTAGGATGTTAATCTCTAAGAAGTTTTAAAGCTTTTGCACCTTGTGGTGCCATTTGTTAGTAGCAGCCTCAACCCAAAGGTTTGCTTCTGTTTCCTTCGTACACACTGGAAATACCAAGTTTTTCTTTTCTCGAAATTTTACTCAGACACCTACCCAAAAATTATTCGAAAATAGGTCGACCCCTTTATAAGCAGACCTGTGCATCTACTTTCCTGCGGAACCCATGGAGACTAATCATCAAGACTTACAAAAGGAGACGGCAAATGGCAAAACAGAAATAATGTGTAATAAAAAAAAATGCAATCTACACAGATCTTATATCTGCGTTCCGACGTTATCGGCATCTCGTCATTTGTCGGGCCTCTTCTGTAAATCGCAACGATTGGCTCTTCTTGAGCGTTGCAGAGAAATACATGTGCAGGCGTTGTTTGTGAAGAGGTTGACCTATTTTCGAATAAATGCAGAACCCTACGCCGGCGAAATTTGAGCATGATAAAGGCTTCGCCGTAAGGCGACTTCATGCAAAGTTTGACTGCACTGCACTGATTGGTTTATTTAAACTGCTTTTTTAACAACTGAAAAGAATAGCGCTCTGGAACTGCCTGTAAAACGGCATGCATAAAATCTCCCCGTGACCTAGCACCTCAAATGTAGGTAACACTTTACACATATTTTCTTTTTTTTTTCTTTTTTTTTTTAAATAAATGTTGAGCTCACAAATTTGAGACGAGCCCCACATACCATCAAGCTTCCTTTGGCAGCTTTTTGCCTATGTGCTCCGTTGGCTTTGAGGCCATAAATAAAATGATTGATTGATTGATATTGTACTTGTTTCTGAAACCTACCTTGGCCAGGTTCCCCACTGCTGTGGCGCAACAGCGACGCACGGTGGCATTTCGGTCACTCAGCCCATGCACAAAGGCACGTAGGAGCTTTCCTGCAGCAAATGAACCACAAATGTTAAAAGTAGAAACTTGTGTCAGGCGAAACACCCCCCCCCCCCCCCCCCCATTTTGCATTATATACAATAACTGAATAAAATTTTCACAGCTCATAGTGCTTGATCTTTTTAAAGCACAGCTCTTAGGGGCCCGTTTCCAGCCTGAACGGCGTCGGCGTCGGCGTCGCCGTCAGCGCAACCGAGGGGGGGGGTGACCCCCCCCCCCCCAAGTCACGTCATCCCCAAGGTCACGTGACCCCCCCCCCCCAGGGTCACGTGACCCCCCAGGGTCACGTGACTACCCGCAGGTCACGTGACCCCCCTCAGTACCCTTCCCTACTCCTCCTCAAGAGCTGCGCTCCAATTCGGCGTTACAGGGATTTGTAAACGGCTTTCATTTTTTTTATAAACCTTGCATTGGTCTCGATATAGCTTGGTATGCTATGTTCTGGATGCAATGCACATGCGAAAAAAGCCGTATTCTTGCACACACATATAAGTCATGAAACACACTTAAAATAGTCTGGTAAATTAAACTAATTCTCCCCTTTTAAACCACTGAGTGCAATGAACAACAAAAATAATGTGCGTGAGACCTCATATCTTAAAATAGTTGCAAATTGCAAACAGCATTTTCAAAGGGCTAACAAAAGTTTCTTGAAGTTTTCATATTAAAATATATCTTCTAAACTTTGAAACTTGCAACCTACATATTTTAAAGCGTATGAATGGCAAACTGGGATGCGATAGAACAATTTTAAATGGGCACTAAGAAGGGTTCTGCAATCGTCTGTTCTTGGTCACAGCTAATTCTACAGGCCCTAAGCATCCCAAAAATCCAAAAATTGCAATCACACGACGCTAATTTTTTAATAAAAACATGATGAAAAGTCCGGACACACCCCCTTTTTTAACAGATTTTTCCGCTCAGGAAAGGCGGGGCATACTTCAGCAGCGGTGTCAGTGCGGTGACGATGGGCGCTCGTCGGCCAATCACAAAAGGCAGAAAGAGCCGGCCTGCGATTGGCCGACAAGTGCCCATCTTCCCCGCGCTGACACCGCTGCTGGGGGATGCCCCGCCTCTGCCGAGCGGAAAAACACGCTCAGAAAGGGGGTGTGTCCAGACCTTTTGTCACATTTTTAATAAGAAAATCGGTGTTGCGTGATTGTAATATTTTTTTTTTATTTTTAGGATACTTAGGGCCAGTAAAATCAGTTATGACCAAGAACAGACGAGCGCAGAACCATCTTTAGTGCCCCTTTAAGAACAAAAATTATTGTGCACAAGCTGCAAAGATGCCCCAAACTTAGAAAAAGAAAAATGTGTTTGTATATTGCTATGGATGTGTAGCAACACTGTTTTGTGAAGAGAAAAAGAATATTTTTTTTGTTTATCTTTTATGAGAAATTAGGCTACAGAAGAATGCGATTGAGAAGAGACGGCCGACCTCTCCGTGGTGCACAAAAAAGATGATGGCGGGCAACGTCATAACTTGAAGAAGAGTGCACAATTTGGAGAATCACAAACGCATATTTGACTAATTTTGCTATCATATTTGGTTCTAATTATTGTATACATAAAACATTAAGATGCAAAGGTAATAAAACACCCTAAAACACGAAATCACATTTTTTTCAAAACAATGCCGTGTTTAGGCTTGCATCTCCCTTAGTTCCTCGGTACTTTAAGTATGGCCAAAAGTTGACAACACAGAAAGGAGCGTGGCTTCACAAAGAAACCGATCAATCGAGAGCAGTTTCAGTCAATCTTAATGAACCCGTACGACAGACCGCAATTAAAAGAGACAAAAAACACTCTGTGCAAGCTAGCAATACCAACTGTTGGCCCAAGTAGCATATAAAAAGTGTTGGCAGTTAGCGATCGTCACGGTCAAAATATACGACTTCCCAATCCTTACAAGCTCACGAGATATTGTTTTGCTCAGTCACGGACTGTTTTAATACATCTGGGGGACAGGAAAGCGTTTCCCACAATTTCAGATAAAGTGTTGAACAACTGGCAACAATGATTTTAAGCACTAAGATTGTTTTTAGTCTATAGGTGGCGCAAGCTACCGCCCGTTATTAAGGGCACAGCCGATATTGTCCATCCGTCCATCCGATGTATTGTGTGTCGTTAATCTGAAGCGCAGCTTCTTTAGAGGCTTTAGAGCCAGCTGTATTCAATTCAACTAATTTTATTTATTCCCATATCACAAATGGGCGATAAGGGCGAGGAGAAAAGCTGAAGAAGTACAGACCGGCAAAGCCCTTTGCCCCCTACTGGCAGATCGGCCGACAGGAATAATACAAATTTGTAAGGCAAAAAAAAAAAACAAAAAAAAACACAAACAATTGGCGATATATAAATAAAACACTTGTCAGAAGGAGGAGAATATTTTGCGTATTGCTTTCTCATTTATCGTATACATACAGACATTTTATTTTTTTAAATTTTGTTAAGTTTGAAGAGTGTACTGAATCATCCAAAGCCAGTAATTAGTTCAAGGACGAGGCAGTCTCCAGAATCCGGCGCTGCGCACTCCATATATGATATATTTTATGCTTACTTTAAAAATTTGGTTCGATGAATGATTGAATTTATGGTAATGGATGCTGTGTATGTTCTAATAAACATGATTCACAATGTGCACAATACGACGCATTAACTACAACCTGAATTGCTTTCTTTTGCAATACAAACAATTTGTTCGGGTTGAAACTTGTCATAATTCCCCAAACTACCGTAATATCCCCAGTCATCGCCCACCCCCCAACCGCCTGAAGTTCGTTAAAAAAGTGGGGTGGGCCATGTCTCGGTGGGTGAGCACAAACACTTGAAAAAAAGCGGAAAAACCGCCTATTTTTCTCTGCGTATCTAGCGCTGATGCACAAAAGATACATCAAACTCAAAACTCGATTTAGTTTCATTGTTTTATAAAAAAAAAAATGCTCACGAAAGAATATTTTACTATAGCGAAGTCCGTTGCTTGCATACGCGCTAGAAACACCGCCGATCTGCATATAGCACGAACGTTTGTTCCGTGAAAGAATGTCACCATTATGTTCTCCTAGTTAGTAAAAAAAAAGAAAGAAAAGTCTACAAGAAAATAGAAAAACCGACCAGGCGCAACGAGCGAGCGAGCGAGCGGACCAAAGAAGCGACCAAGAGCAATGCTGGGAAAGCGTGAAAGCCGGCGGTCGCGTTGGCAAATACTTTGGCGTCGGGCCAAGTCGGGCGCCTTGTCAATTGCAAGCTCTAGCGCAACTTTCTTGTTTGGTGCGTACATACGTGCGTCCGTGCACGGCGGGCTATCAATGCACGGTTGGGACGCTCTGCAAACGTCTGTGTAGGGCGTTCCAGCAAAGCTTTATTTACGCGTTGGCTTTGCCTAAAATATTGCACAACCGCGGTCGCAACGGGCGGGAAGAAGGAGCGGGTTCGTGGTGACCTTACTTCGGCGGAGACAGACTTTGACCTAACACTCCGCGGTTACGTTAACAGACTCTTATTTTGTTATCTCCATCGTTTTCTTTTCGCACGGATACACGACCGGGGTCGCTCACGGAGGAAATGCGTAAACAAAAAGAAGTGTCTTTCCCTCCTTCGTTTTACTTTGTGACGGACGTCCTCCAACTGTAAGGTCCGCGGCCGCGTCATTCGGGTAGGATGAGTGTTCGCGGATCGCAGAGTCCGCGCTGGGGTATTTGAAGGGGTGGGCGATGACTTGGTGTTTTTTCGGAAATCGATATTGGCCCAAAAAATGGGGTGGGCGATGGCTCGGGGATGGGCGATGACTCGGGATATTACGGTAGATGACAATAGGATAAACGAGAATTGAATAATGCGTTATGAAACAGAAGTTTTACACTAGTAGGCCAGGCATGGCAATGCTTGTACAGAAAACCTACGGTATGATAGTGGAGACTCATTAATTCAAACTCCAGGAAGCCACAAATTCTGTTTGAATTATCAAAAGTTTGAATTATCAGACATGCATCTAAATATGATGCAAGATAAAATTGTGATTTGTCATGTGAATGGCTACAGATAGAAAGCAGATATTTGATGATTCCCTCTACATAAGCCTACTGACCAGAAGCAGGTAAGCAACACAAGAAACATTTGTGAAATGTATGACACAAGTTAATTTATCCCTCAAAAACTGTGTTTATTGTGGAGTGTCTGACAGCACATGAAAACTCAAAAGAAAGTTTGTTCATCAAGCCAAGAAGTTGTCTAATCAGCACCATTAAGCAGAGGACACACGAGCAATGAAAACGGGCATTGCGCGGCAGTCTTCATAGCAACCTGCGCGAACGCTGTGACGTGGACCTATGCCATGCCACTACGTCACAGCGTCCGCGCAGGTTGCTACGAAAATTTCTGCGTGGTGTCCGTTTTTATAGCTTATGGTGCCCTGCTTGAGCCCTGTGTAGTGCGCTCCACACCGAGCACTGGTGCACTGCGGAGAAGCAACACCCGCGGAAGCAAGCTCTGCGGGTGTTGCCTCTTTGCAGTGCACCGGTGCTCGGAAAGAAGCGCACTCGACGGGGCCGAAGTAACAAAAAGTATAAAATGCACGAAAACGCTGTTCGAATTAAGCGACTTATGAATACATTAAAAGCATAGCGGAACAACCAAAATTTTGAAATTTGCTTGAATTAACTAGAAGTACGAAATATCCGAGTTTAAATAATCGCGAGCCCACTGTATTCGCAATTTTAAGAGTAAAGTTTTCACCTTACTCTTAAGGCATACTGTGTTAAGTTAAAGAAAAGTCCAAGGTGTTGCTCCTGAGTATGGTGCCTGGAACGTGTCTCCAACTGGCGTGTTTGCTGCGTCCTCAAAAGTGGCGCCTCGATTTCTGTCTGATGACGTCGCACAAGTAACAAGCTGTCAACTGCTACAATCTGTTGCGGCAGACGTCTGTTCTGCTGCAGATCGCTCTCTAGCGGTCCATCGGAGCTTCAGCAGCCAGGAGTTGACACGCCACGACGATGGCGACGCTCACATTCTCTTGTGCTCTCTGCCAGAACTTCCACAACCAACAGCCAAGACTGCGACATCCGACAGCATGACACTTCGGCTTTTGCAACATCGTTTGTTGCAGCTTTGGGACCTCTTTTGATGCACGGGTGGAATAGGACGCTATTCCGCCCGTGCACCATTGCTTTGAGTTGTACTACACGGTTTGTTTTGTATTTTGAAAAAGTTAAGACCAATGCTGACGAATATATAAACTCTATACACTATACACTGTTCTCATTGCTGATGTGCTACTGTATCACCTTATATTTTTTTAATGTGTATTGTTTTCATATTCAACTGCTGAGCAGTGTAAATGGTTAATAGGCCCACGTCAGGCAGAGTCAATCTGCCTTTTGCCCTTTTACCTAGTATCTAAATAAAATCAATTCAATTCAATTCAAACCCAATTCAATTTAAATCAATTCTACACACCAGTCGGAGATACATTCCGGGCACAGTACTCCTGAGCAAAGTCTCCTCAAATGTGACCTTTGTAAGACTCCTGGAGAGAGCCGAGTAAGACCCACCTGCGTGAGGCTGCAGCTCCAGAGGGCACTGGTGGGTGAGTGCCACGGCCAGGTGGGCACAGCCCGCCCTCGTGCCCAGACCCACCGAACTCTTGGCTTGCTCCACCAGGCGGGGAACCAGGGCGGTCAGGACGGAAGCATCCACAAACTGGACGCACTGCGAGATGCGCAGAGCGGACACGGATTAACAGTCCATGATCAAGGAAGAGGCAGATGTCGGTAGGAAGAGTTAGTCTATAGAGCAGCTCCATTGGACCTTGTGCCGTAAAACGAGCCGAAAAAAAATCGACGCCCGCACATAGAATGTTCAAGCTTTCACCGAATGTGCTTTGAGGTGGTGCAGTTTGACAGATGAAATTTTAAGTAGGGGTGTGCGAATATTCTAAACTTTGAATACTTCGTGAATAATGCTTGCTATTCGATTCGATTCGCTTCGCCCTTTCGCTGTTCGAACTATTCGAGTTCTTCGAATACTTCGAAAACTACGAATAACGCGGAACTCATTGATTACTGTCAACTTGCGGTCGAGTTCTCTGTTTTGTTTTTGGACTGCGCAGTATGGTTTCAAGCTTGGTAAACCTACACAACCAGCCTAAGTGTCTTTCTTTTTTTTTTTTTTTTTTTTGTAGGAAGGATTGGGAAGTTATTTGCACGCGGTAGCGCGATCTGGTCCTTTGCTTGCCGTGATGTCCGAATTGCAGAGTTGGCTAAGTGGTCGTGGCGCAAACGCTGCGATAGATAGGATGAAGGACTGCGATTTGCAACGGCACATGCATCGTCGCGACGGACCGCACGACGTTTCGGGCGTCCGCCCGAGACGTCTTGTATACGTTCCTGTCCACATTCATTTTTAATGTAGCACAACCATATATTCGTGATTTCGTACCTACAGTGACTACAGTAGCCAAGGTGCTATGGATTCGGATATGGATTTATGGCTCACCTCGGCTATCGGTGATATCTGGCTTGTGTTATTTTCCGCTTGATTTTCCGGTTCATCAGTTTGCCAGTATTCCTTTTGTTATTTATTTCTACCCGTTTTCACTGGTAAAAGTGAGACTCCCCCCCGCCAAAAAAAAAAAAAACATATTCTTAACTTATTGCATCTTTGTGGCGCCCTCTATGGACAGAACTATTGCACACGGAAAGAGATGGTGGATAGTCAGTGCGGTTGCGCAGCGCGATCGTGCAATCTGAAACTGCAGTGGCCTGTTGACCCGCCTCTGCTTGTGTACTTCCGTTTCTGTTCACGTGGTTGCGTTCACGAGCATAAAAAGAGATCGCACAAAGTAGAGATGCAATCATCGACTTTGTATTGCGGCTTGCGGACCCGCCACCGCTTGTGTACTTGCGCTTACGCTCAAGTGCCTCCTTTCGTCCGCGATGCAATCTCCGACTGCGTTGTGGCTTGCCGACCCGCCTTCACTTTTGCACTTTCATTTACGTTCTCTAACCTCACTCAAGGAATGGTGTTTTACTGACTGATCTTTTTTTCATCTGTTTTTTTTTAACAGTCACATGTGTGACATTTTTCTTATTGCAATAAAAGTAACCTTTTCATAAACGTTTGTTGAAAAAAAATTCCAGTTCTGTTTTTTATTAAGCATTCTTGTTTAATTCACATCAAATAGAAAATATTTGTTTTCAAATATCTCCTTATTTGAAACTACTATTTGTATTCGAAAATATTCGATTCTATTCGATTCGTAACCTTTATTATTCGATTCGATTAGCTTCGAAAGATTTTGATATTCGCACACCTCTGATTTTAAGGCATAACTACCTTTCTGAGAAAAACAAGACCAACCAACTTGTCACAGTTAACTGCCGCGTGCGTGGTGGAGTGGCAACACACACGGTTGTCATGCAAAGAAACGTGGTTGGACCCAGTTGTTTTTTTTTTTTGGTTGTCTTTACTCTTCTGGAAAATTTCAACCCATTCTCGGCTGTCAACGTGTGATCTGGTTCAAAATGTTCCTGAACATACCGCGTGAATAAAAGTACCAGTGCAGCGGTGTCCAGACAAGATACTTCAGAACGCGTGAAGCAACACTTCACCGCCATATGAAGTGAAAGTTGAAGTCCAGCAGTTCGTCTTCTGTCTGGACATCCACCCGGCAAACATTGTGGCTTTCGTCCTCGTCTCCTCGGCTTTACAAATGACCTTGTCAGAAATGCAAGGTGCCATCCTCCAATAGGCACAGCGAGCAGACAACAGAGTGCGTCGTCTGCTCGCTGTGTCGGTCAGGAAATGGCACCACTGATTAGAAGTACCGGTAACTCGACTGTCTGCGAACCTGTCCGCTGTTTACCCTGGCAAGTTTGTTAGTCTCATTTTCCATGGAAAAGGAGCTACACCTTAAAAATTTGATAGACTAAAAATGCCCTGCATCAAAGCACATTTGATGAAAGTTGGAGCTTTCTATGTGCAGGCGTCGATTTTTACCGCTCACTTTAGGACGCAAGCTCCAATGGAGCCACGCTATAGAACCTTGAATGGGTCGACTTCAATGCAATGCATATGCAATCTCAAAATGGAATCCACTGGGCTGTGGCAATCTGGCAACACTGCCCTGCAAATAGGGTCTAGAGCAGTGGTTCTCAACCATTGATGTATAGGGGACCTCTTCTGGGTCGGCAGAAGTGAAAAGGGACCCTGTTCAACGAGGGGGACAATTACAAATTTTTCGATTATAATAAAGAAAACTAACTATATGCAAACCAACTCTGTAGTTGTGAGACAGTAAATAGTAAACAATTCTACTCACTTGGCTTGTGCGGTTTGGCCTAGTAAGCTGTGTGAAACAGCCAGCATCAATAAAAATATTTTTAAAGTTTTATTGCTTGGAGGGTTTTGTGGACCCTAAAAAGGCTTTCAGGGACCCCAAAGAGTTTGCGAACCCCATTTGAGAACCACTGGTCCAGAGAAAGAAAAGTTTTAGAGAAGCATGACATTACACAAAGTTGGTGGGTTGGCTAAGTGGCGCAAGCTACCACAAGTTAGCACAAGCTACCACAAGTTACCACAAGCTACCACAAGTTAGGCTAGGTGGCACAAGCTACCACAAGATACAAAGGATGTAGCTACTGCCACCCGTCCATCCGAGGGCGCTCTTCACAATGATTATGGTAATTTTTACACTGCTAATCACTTGCGAAAACATTTACAACCCGATTAGTTTTTTGCAACATGCATTTTTCATTTCTCGGACGCTACTCATCTTGCACCGTCCCAATGACAGCCCTTGCTGCTGGGCACAGACAAATTAACGAGACAATGAAATAATATATAAACTGACCAATAAGCTCGTCGACCAATCAGTCAAAGTAAGCCAATTAGAACCTGGATCACTCACGTGATTGATTGTTTCCATGGCTGGCGTAGACTTTGTGGCCGCCACGCGCGCAGCATCAAGCTGCGAGAAAATCCAACATACACAAAAGCCTTGTCAGAATCCACATCATTATAATGCGCATCCGTTCTCAATGTGTCCAAAAAATATGAGGGAACTCAAGAAGCTGAGGCTGAGTGGCAATCGTAGTATACAGCTTGTATTGCCATTTGGGGACAGTTTTATGCGGTATGCTTGGTTCAGAGGTTGATTCAAGTCAGTGTCGAGTTTTAGTCTTATTTTGTTGAGGATTACTGATAACTGTGACTTCAAACCAATTTATAAGAAGTTGGAGAATTAGAAGAGAACTACAGTCCAACCCGGATATATCTAATTCAAAGGGGATCATAAAGGTAGTTCAATATATCAATAATTTGATATAAAAAGTATGTTAACTTAAGCTCCAGTTTAAAATTTCCTGGCGTCTCTACAATACCGAAGGTCAGGACAAACGGGAACATACCAAATAGAGCATCCAAGAGCCGTTAAATACAGTAGAGCATAGCTGGCGGAGACCGCAAACACTGCCGTGCTTAAACGCGCACCTGGCTGCGACCTCCACACAGCATAAGCGACAAAACACTAAAATAATAAAAACAAAAGAAAGAAAAATGGAAAAGTGAGACGCATAAAAACAATTTCTTGACCCATAAAAAAAATTGAGGCAAGCAACAAAAAAGAAAGCTCACTAACTTCAGGCAACAAAAATAAAGAAAGGAAAAAAACAAGAAAGAAAAAACGGCCAAAGCAATAACGACAAAAGAAAAAGGTAAACAAAGGTAAGGCACACAAAGTGCAATAGCACAACTGTTGTCAACATACTCAACTTGCCCAAGACTTTTTTTTTTTTTTTTGCTTATTTTTTTGGGGGTTAGAGAGTCCCGCAGCATCATCAAGTTCAGAGAAAGGACGCAGGCTACCGTTCCAACAGCGGGTATTCCCTGCTCTCCCTATGCACGCGCGCGTGCCCTTTTCCTTGCTTTTGCCATCCTCTACTTTTTTTTTTTTTTATGGTTCATTGTCTCTCTTTTTTTACAACTGCTCTTTCGTTGCATATCTTCCCGCATGTATGCCGACCTAGCGGTCTGCCAGCCACACAACGCAAGTGATGTGCTCGCCACTGACACAATGTGATCGCGGGAAAGGCAACAGGCGGCCGGGCTTCATTCGCTATATCAAGTGTTCCCGCCATGGGAGTTGGATACAAAGACAATGCTCCTATACTATTACATGTGATTTTCAAGGGGACGTTTGGACTGCTTGATATAAATTATAATTCGAAATACCCGAATGTGATATAACCTTGCTCGACTGTATATACTTTCTGGATGCCCGTTCAATCGTTTTCCACAAGCTGCTTTATAATAATGTGCAGTAAATTGCACATCCTTTTACAAAAAAAAAAAAGTATCATGCTTACAGTTGCAATAGACCCTTTCCAAAATTCAGTCTGGCAACTTTGACATGCACGCCAAGGAAACAAGCTTAAAGCACGTTCTGAGAATACTTGAGGTCACTCTCATTATCACATTCTTTAAACAGAGAATCATGACAAAATTCTCGCCAATCGACAGCTGTGTTGTGTGTACGTTCAAACAGCAAGAAGCTAGTTAGCCCCAGTAGGCGTCTGGTGTCTCAGCTGTAGATGGGAAATTTAGCTAGTGCAGCATCACAGCCAGCGTCGAATCTTTAAAGTGCACCACGCAGCAGTGATACATGGCCGCATGCCGGTATAGATGCTCGTCCAGATTGAAAGGCACATGGGTGGAAATTGAACCCAGGATCCCTAGGGACACACACACACACTCACACATAAAACCTGCGATTCATGGGGCAGTCTTGCAGCATGTTCACACTTCAATTTTTGGCTGCATGTTGAGTTGTGCAATAAGTTGTGCAATCACTTTTCTGACAACTTGCACAATAAGCTTGGCAGTAAGCTGTGCAATGACTTGCACTATAACTTGTGCAAAACTTTGTGCAATTACCCGTGTAATAACCCGCACAATAACTTGTGCAAGTAACTCATTAATTACCTTGTCCCTGACATCGGCACCAGCTCGCACACTGATCTGGTTCAGGACTTGGGGCTCAAGTTCGCTGAGGGCGTTTAGCAATGCCCCGAAGAGCAGTGGGAGTTGAGGTCTCAGCAGCACTCCCGCACCCCGGCTCAGCTGAACAAGCGTCGACAGGCTGCACAGGAAACAAAGCAAGGCCATTTCTAAGGAGCATGCGATGAGATATTTCTCTCGCACCAGTGGCCTCCGACAATCTTCCCGAAATCTAATCGGATACTGCAATTTTTGCCACAAGTTGGACTTTAGCTTGAAGTTAAGTACTCTATAAAGGCTCAGCCAAAGACTTGCAACTGCTTATGACTGAGCATGTTACTAACTCTTGCAATCTCTTATGACAAAAGAGCACACTACCGCCAACTATCGGGTAGCTGTGAACACTTGCGATTTCCGTATGTTTCTTATTTCTTTGCGCATCGTTATTCCCCTATTAGAACGAAAAAACTTTCAACAATGTTATAAACAATCTATAGATTTAGGGCGTGTGCTTTGTGCAACTTCAACACGCCCGCGTGGTTTTTCCGTCTGTTAGGATCTGCATTTTCACACCCCCAGCCTGCAAAGCAAGCGGTGACTTCTCCACACTACAGCACTTTCAATGCGCTCAGTTTTCCTAAAGTTTGCCGATTTAGTGTTTTTCAATGACACTGCGCGAGTTTCTAATTGGGATTGTGATGATGTGGACGTTATTAGAAGAGGGAAAGACGAAGAAGGAACGCACGGAAAAACACAAGCGCTTGTGCGAGAGTCGGTGGAGCGGCGGCCGGCAGCCAGAACTGAGCGCTTGGGACGCGCCCCAAACCAGGAGCGGGCAGCCAGGTCGTAGGCAACGACCAACACCGACTCAATGACGGTCGGGCAAGACTGATTGCTTGGAGGGAACTCACCATTCACCAAGCCTTTGTTCGGTCCAAAACCGAAAGGCAAGTCAGGACGTCCGCACCCCAACGCTCCACCGAAATTCAACCAACATCCGCACAACGAAACCTTGCGGTCGTCGAAGAGATGACAACACTGCTACCGGTCCGAGTTTTTGAACCGATCCAAACTTTGTAAATATTCCGATTTCTTATTTATTTTCTATATTTCGCATTTAGTTCTTTCCTTTTTTTTTTTTTTTTTCTATAATACAAAATTGACAATTTTCTATGTCTCGTCTCCGGGTTTCCCTAACATCTTTCTTTAGCATTTCTAACCTTTTCATTACAGAATCTTACGTTCACTTTTCCTAACCAAAAAGTTAATTATGCAAAACCAATTAAGAACAAGACACTATGTACCTCACTAAAGTGGCCCTCAGCAGTGACCAATATGGCAATCACCATCTTTCTCCATGATGCAGTTTTTGTGGGAGAAGTTTGGCTAATGTTCTGTGAAACGCCCGGTACAAGTACTGTAAGCACCGTTTTCTAGAGCTCGTGGTGCCATTGCCTTGGGCAAGCACAATGCCATGGACTTCCCAGTATGAACCATGAGCCTATCAGACGCACACCGGATGTTTGGAAGGAAAGAGAACCGTGTTTTTCTCACCACAAAAATTAACTATGCCCTGCTGAACACTCCGCCTACGCCCAAACGTACTAACGCTATCGGTTGGGACTGAGGTTTCAAAACTTACCATTAGCCAAATCAAAATTTACGAGCAGTTTCCAAAAATTTTCAAAGAGAAAATGGCAGCCAATGAAGCTCGCAAATGCAGGGAGATGAGTGGAACCCGATACTGAGAATCGGTCCCATTTTCACAATCAAAATTTCCAAAAATCACTTATAGCTCTTGAATTGGAAAAGGGCAAGTTCTGAAACTTTGGCACTCGGCCCCAACCGTTAGCGCTACACTTTGGGCAGAGACTGAGAGTTTGGTGGCAAGTAGTTTGTTTTTGCAATAAAAAAAATGGTGGTTCTTTGTTTTCTCATGAACACCTGGTGCATAATTGAGTCTAATAAACATTTCCTCTGCTACAATGCCAGGAAAGCGTCCTGACTCGTGTGTTTAGCGTTCAATCTCGCCAATAGTACATCAAAAGTGGTCCCGAAGTAGCCCCAAATGACGTCACAAAAGCCAGTGTGTCATGCTGTCGGATATCGCGATCCCGGCGGTCATTGCTAGAAGTCCCGGCAGAAAGTATGAGCAAATGGGAATGTTGTCGGACACGCGTTCCGGGCACCATACTTCCTCCAACAAACGAAGCCAAGCCAGCCCACCTGGACTGGCGCACTTCCGCAACGGGACTGGACAGTCCCTCAGCCAGGCACGGCAGGATCACTTCAAGCGCCCTCTCCCCACTGTGGCCGGTCTGCACGTCGCACGTCCGGATGCAAGCCTGCGAGTGGTGTTTGTCGCCTCCTCAAGGTCGTGCTCCAAAATTTGCTTAAAAAACAAAAACGTGACGTTCCTGTTTGGACAGTGTAAGGTCGGTCTGCCTTTGAGGTATGACGACGCTGGTTTACGCCGTAAATGAGAAATTTTGCCAGTGCAGCATGATTGCTAGCCTGGGTTCTTAACGTGCATCATGCGGTAATGGTACGTGACTGCACGCCGGTACGGTGCTCGTCCAGATCGAAAGGGCAGGGTGGGAGTTTTGAGCTCTGCAGCGTGAGCTTTCGCTCCACGTGCTTGAGGTGCGTCAACACACTCACCTACCGATCCATCACACTCTACATCGCTTTACCCGTGTTATCGAACGATGCAACCCAACCCACGGTAGTAACTTGGATCTACTCAAGCAAGATTTGGAACACAACCCAAGCTGCGTGAATATCTACTGCAAAAGTACTGTATATATTTAAATATGAGTAGACAATTTTTTTTTTTCCGCACTGCTCTTTAAATTTAGACGACAAACTATGCCGTTCTTGGAACATAACGTCACTTCCGACTCGAAGTCGACGCTATTCTCCACCAGAATTTGTGTCGGTGACATTCGTCCAGTTTTATCCTACGTCCCTATGCCTTTCTATGTGCGGAGGCAGTGCTCCCCAGGTAGCTCCAGTTTTTTCGCACTGCGATCAACAAAACCAATCAAAAATATCAGAAATATAAGGGAGCATCGGCCGATACTCCATCCTTATATATCGGTCTTTATTCAGGTTTTAGACAAGCCGGTGCTCGAGAAGTTGGCTCGTTTGCGAGCAAAACGGTCCTGGCAAACACCGCTGGGCAACTCCAAAAAGAAAAATGGCTGCACGAGTTTTCGTGCAGCGGAGGTCCATGTGCAGCAGGACATAGGTAAAAATACCCATTGGGTTCAATAAGGAAATCAATTGGTATCAACTGGCATCAGAGAGATCCCATTTGGAGTCACAGAAATCCGATTAGTTTTATTGAGATTTCCAATCGGAACCTAATCCACCAACTGGCCATTCCAATAGGAGAGCAAAGCTCGCAGCTATCCGCTTGACACTCATATGTTCCATGGTGCCGGTTGGCGAAAGAAATGTTACTGCATTTATTAACCACTGCTTCATAAGTCCCCCCCCCCCTTCAGCCTCCCCCCCCCCCCCTCCCTCCCTCCCTCCCTCCCTCCCTCCCTCCCTCCCTCCCTCCCTCCCTCCCTCCCTCCCTCCCTCCCTCCCTCCTCTCCTCCCTTTCCCTTCCCTCTCCCTCCCCCTCCCCCTCCCCTCCCCACTTTGGCACAGTGACTGAGCTTCGGGCGCAGAACCAAAAGGTCCTGGGTTTGATTCTCATTGGGGGACATGCAGAATTTTCTTCCTCCTCCTCGATTTATCCACTTCTCACTCTCAAAGTAAAATGAAGGAGGGAAAAGCGCTTTTTTTTGTTTATGCATTGCCTCCCGCACCTCGTGCTTCTCAAGCCGTACTACACTCAATAGGACTGTTTTACAAGCCTCCGTAGTTTGCCATTATTTTGGTTTGTTTTTCTGGTTCATTTCCCGGCAAGTTGCATCGAGATGATGCTCTTTTTAATGGGTGGAGGAATGCCACGCGCGTCGCCGAGCGAGCGCGTGCATGGCCGAATGGTTACCGCGCTTGACTGTTGAGCGGAAGGTCTAGGTTCAATTCCAGTCAGCAGAATGTTCTTTTATTTATTCTTTCAACCTGGCGTTCTCGTAAGTTTGAGGACATTGTTGTCTGATCGAATTCCCAATGTTCTATGCACGTAAAGTTCTTTGGTGAATGTTCCAAAAACTCGCGCGGCTACATAGGGGACTCCTCATGGCGAGCAGAGTCAGTCTCGCTCTCACTTGCTGTTACACCACCAAATCGCTGCCCGCTTTTCTGCTGCCTAAACACTCATTCTTTATTTTGTTTGGCACAAGTTCGCCGATTAAACTTTTACTTTCAGTTCACTGTTCACCCTCCCGTTATCTTCATTCGGGACATTTCTGATAAATAAAAGAACATCCCGCAGACTGGAATTGAACCTAGCCCTTCCGCGCGACACTCAAGCGCGGTAACCATTCGGCCGCGCTCGCTTGACGACGCGCATGGCAGTATGTACCAAACAACACTTGGCCCGACGCCAAAGTATTTGTTAACACGATCACCGGCTTTTCCGCTTCTTCAGCATTGCTCTTCGTCGCTTCTTTCGTCTGCTTGCTCGCTTGCTTGCTTGTTGCCTTGTTAATCTTCCTATTTCCTTGTTGACTTCATTTTTGTTTTATTCACGAAGAGAACATAGCGGTGTTAGAAACATACATACACAAAACAAAGTTTGTGCTGCAAGCCAGTCGACGGTGTTCATTGCGGGTATGCAAGCAATGGACTTTGCGATAGTAAAAGATTCTTTTATGGGCATTTCTTGCATAAAACAATTAAACCAATTCGAGTTTTGAGTTTAATGTATCTCCTATGCAGCCACGCTAGAGGCATACAAAACAATGGACATTTCTTTTTAGCTTTTTTTTAAACTTTTCGTGCTTACCCACCGAGCATGGCCCACCCTACTTCTTTTATAAATTTCAGGTGGCAGGGGGGTGGGCGATGGGTCTTGATATTACGGTAGTTGCTGTTGCCACAACTCCACTCACCCGGCTCAATGCTTGCAGTGCCGTGTCGCAGGCCTTCCGCACGGACTCCTGAATGCAAAACGCACAAATGTTTCAGAATAAAACGAGTCAGACACAATGCAGGCATTAGCTCGCAGTAAGGCCGACGAGCGCCAACGAGTTGCGGAAAACTGCGGCACAGTTCTTGCTTTCCGCACACCGAACTTGTATCTGAACCTAAGAGGGCGATTAAAACAATCATAAATTTTTCTTGACTATACCTCGTTGAAACAATGACTCATTCTTTTGAAGCAATATTATGACAAAAAGGATCGTTTGCATTTTTTGTCCTTTTTAAATGAGCAAAAGTGCCCCAACATTTGGTGCCATGAAAAATTTTCCAGAGAAACTAATAAGAAATGTTTACTTCAAAAACCTATATTATGTTTTTATTGCCTATTTTGGAATTTTTGGAGCCCAAAACACCTGTCTATCTCTATCACTTCCAGCGCCCAAATTTCTGTGCCCCAAAGGACGGTTCACGCACTTGCGACTGCTCACGCCCAGGTAAGTGCATTACAACCTCTAGCAATATCTCACGAGAAAATGCGCCGGCGAAGGTTTTTTAATACTATTAGCCAAACCTTTGCAAAGGTTTTGCGGTATTTGTGAGGTCAAATTTGTGTGTATTATTTATGAGAAATGGTTGTTCGTAACATTGTCAAAAAAGTTTCAAGTCAATAGTGAAAGAAAGATGTGCAAAAAAAAAAAGAGGGAATATACAGAAACAATAAGCGTTCCACAGATACCCGACAAATGGCATCAGAGTGCTTCCTCTCATCTTAAGAGATCACAAGGGGTCGCAACACACTCGGTCATAAGTGGTCTTCAGTGTGTGAACGAGCCTTTATGCTAGACAAACAAAAAGAGACGCAGTTCAAACGACACGCTGGTTGACCCTCGTCACACGCATTCGAGTCATTTCCCAAATACTTTTCTACTTATTGCCCCCCAGAATGCGCTCACGGAAGTTACCTTGATGTCGTCGCGGACTCGAAAAAGGGTGCTCCACAGGGCCGAGACATGATCCAAGACTTCGTCTAGCCGACGCCCGCTCAGAAGATCTGCCAATGCCAAACAGCTGTTCCGAGAGAAAAATAAAAGTGGAAGGTAACAGCCTCTTATGTTCAACAGAATGACATACAATAATAAAAGAGTAAAACATAAATTATACCTAAATTCTAAATAGGCTTATATATTTTGCCAGTTTCCCCTATCAATAACTTTGGGGATAGAAGAAAACCTTTTCCCGAGAATGCCGTTGAAGCTGTACTGTAGAATACCGCGCATCCGCCCATTCCACATTAAGTGCCCATTACCAAATTTGCGAGATCTGAGAAAATACGCACAGTACATTTATATGTAAAATTTATGACCTGACAAGCGCCCATCCCCCATTTTTTCGCGATTATCTCCAAAGTTTGAGAGGGCGCTTGCCCGGTAATTTACGGTAGTTTCCGAAAGTGGAAGGTCTCACCTGGACTCTCGCACCCTCCATTCGTTGCTTGTTAGGTTCTGCACAATATCCTGGAGAATCTCCTTCATATACTTGTCCACCTGCATTCATAACAGAGGTACAATTTCTTTACTGCAAGATGTCTCCAACAAGGTATATCTGCCTGATCGAAGCTGAGTAGGAGCAATACAGTTAAATCTTGTTAATTCAAACTCAAGGAGGAGCAAACATTTGTTTGAATAAAGCAAAGTTTTAATTAGCGGGAGTTTTCTCTCATAGAGACGCACAGGACAGGACCTGCATGTTAGTTTAAATTATCCAGAAGTTTGAATTAATTAATGAGATTCCACTGTATACAGGGTTATATGATTTTATTTCAAATAGATCTATTTGAAAAAAAGCCACGAAAGGTACGTTAATGCAATGTGTACAGGTGAGCTATAAGGCCAGGGGGACATACAACTAAATTTGTGAAGTGAATATTTAAGTAGTGAAAATAGACATGCAATTCCAATCAAAAACTTACTGAGCATAACCTAGAACCACCAAATCAGATAATTTTAGAGGGACTCTATGCGTCTGGCCCCAGTTCTCAGCTGCCTGCTCGCTGCACGCCCAAAAGGAAGGTCCCCATGGCTCACCATCTTGTGAGGCTCTTTGACCAGCGAGGCCCAGATGGAACCGAAGGAGGCCCGCACCCCGGGGTTTGGGTCGTACCGGTAGCGGTACAGCTTTGGCACAATGTCTCCCAGACGCTCCGAGAGCTGTTCTCCTGCCCGTTCTGCGATGCTGCCGAACCCAAACGCAGCCCCCTGGAAAAAAGATTTAAAAAATGTGTCAGTAACTACTGCACAACTTCGTCTAACTAACCAAGCTCTCAATCGAAGGAGCAAGCTTCTTTCATTTCGTTTGGCGCCACGAAATTTCAGCTCGGCATCTTTAAAAAAGGTTGGTGTCAAAACCACGTCTGAAAAAACTTTCAGCCTTTCCACTCTGGTGAAGAAGGAAGATTAGCGATGCTGTACTGTGGTGGGACGACCTTAAAGGGCAACTACGGCCAAAACTGAAAATGAAATAAATTACTGGTATCGCTTTAGTGACAGAAAATACGACCCCAGCCAAAATATTACGTCCGTGGGACGCCGCATTCTCAACTAATGCCGATAATAAAAATGCGACCCGCCACGAGCCACTGCTCCTTAGTGGGCAGCCAGCGGGTTGCCGATCACTAAAGCAACGTTGGGCCGTGACGTCAGTATCATTCTCTTTTTTTTCTCCGGTTCGGGCGTTGCGCGGAGTGTGCTTTTTTGAGCCGCTACCACCACTACTTTGGCTTGTGATTGGCGTGTTTAGTCGTTGCTTTTATCTGTAGCCCGTGTAGCTTCGGTATAGCCTATTGTTTATTTGCTTGTGAGGACTCCAAGACTCGTTTAGCGAGCAACTCGGTGCGCCCAAGGCTGTCCAGCTGTTCCTCGAAAGTTGCCGAGTGCAACTTGTAGCTCTGTGGGCTGCTCAAACAACCCGCTGCGCAACACAGAGGTGCTTTTTCACAAGTTTCCAACCGACCGGAAATTGGAGAAGGTGTAAGTGAACGCTGTTCGACGAGTGGACTTCGGACTTCTGCTTTTGAGCACCCGAGGAAAAAAGAACGAAAAAACAGACGTGTACAGCCCAACACACGTGTTCAGGCGCCGCGGCCCGTGCCTGAGAGCCTCAGAGCCTCATGTCTGGGACTGATCCCCAGCGCGAAAGCAAGAGGGCTTCCAGTACTGATATGTCGCTGGCAGCGCAGCGTAGAGCAACGCCACTCCATCCACGGAGCCCCGATGAGAATTTAGGCCTAGCGACGAGTATGGAAGACCGCACACACAGCGACAGCCGTCAAGTACGGCACCAAACGAGTTCACACGTTTTCCAGTCAATAGCCTTTGCGTATACAAGCGACGAGTACGACATAGCGCACGCACGGCGGCGGTCGCCGAGTACGGCACCGTACGAGTTCACGAGTTTTCCAGTCCCTAGCTTTTAAGTATGTGCACTAACTCTAGCTACATATGCTGGGTAACTACCAAGTATACAGAATGAAAACAAAATCAGCTTACATCCTCTCTTTAGACGGCTAGCGCAATAGAGGTAGGTGCCGCTCGGCCTGCATACTTGTTGAACGAGAACGATCCTGACGTCACGTTCACGTAGCGGCTGATTTCCAGTGTTGCCGGGGCCTCGAGCGGCTAGTTTCGGTTTTGTTGGCTGCGCCCCAAACAAAACTTTGAGGCGCTGATATCTTTAAAACTACACACAATAACGAGAAAAAAATTGCACCTTGCAATTCAGGGATGCTGACTGCACTAAAAACAGTCATAATCCCAAAATCAAAAGTATGGACTGGAGTAGCCCCATAAGGACGACTTCTTAGACAACCTCAAGGAAGACACCTAGAGGACGACGTCTAGGACGACCTCAAGGACGACTTCTAGAACGACCTCGAGGGCAACGTCTAGAGAACGACGCCTAGGACAACCTCAGGGACGTCTAGGACGACCTCAAGAACGACTTCTAGGATGACTTCAAGAATGACTTCTAGGACGATTTCGAGGACAACCTCTCGGACGACCTCAAGGATGTCATCTAGGACGACCTCAAGGATGACTTCTAAGACGACCACCTAGAGAAATTCAGCCTTTCCACTCTGGTGAAAACCAGAGTGGAAAGGCCCCTGAAAAGGTTGCCGCCATCTATAAGCGACAATGGCAACCAGACAACCGGCAAGCCGGTTGTCACCGTTGCTCGTAGATGGCAGTAGCTGTCCAGAGTTTTCTGTCTACATTTATTTGGTGACTGACACAAAACTGTAAAAACTAGCCCTTAACAGCCCTGCTGTAAAAAAGTATAAGTAGTTTTCATATTTTCCCCAGTGGTGTCTAAAAGCTGTTTCCCTCAGACTCTCTCTTTCTGACTCGCCTTCGTCCTACCACGTCATATATGCTGCCACTTTGAGCTGACAAGTTGGCAACAAAACAAAAAAGTAATTGGTAAGACTCAACTTTTAGGGACCATTTCGGCATTATATTTTAACCCTTTTACTTTACAATTTCAACGGCATTGCTGAAGATACACGAACCACAGTTTGTTGCAACATAAGATAAGCAGAGAGTGGTCCTGCCAAAACCGAAGAGGGTTGCCGCGCCAATAATTCTCTCCCAGTAATATACTGCTCATTGGCAGGTCCGAAAACCACCGAGATTACAATTCAGTGGATCATGCACAATGTTAATTTTTGAGGAACCGTGTACATGGTTATAGAAACGCACGTTCCGTGACATCCCATTTTTTTATGCCAAAAACATTATTTTTCTTTTTTAGCAGAACATTTCTATCCGGGAAGTTGAAGGCTGAGTATCTCCTGCAGACCTTATGTTGCAACATACTTTAACTTGCAGCACATAGAGCCGCAACACACATACACTGTTTGACTGGCGCTCCCCATCGGAGTATGCGTTCAAAACCATCAACGTAAAGAATACATTCGGCTCCAAGTTGGGTCCAGCATTCAGCCCTCACCTTCTTGGAGTTCCACATGGCATGGTGGTTGGCAAGGTGCATAAACTTGTACATGAGATCCGGCTGGTTCAGGTCGGTGGCCAGCGAACAGAGCTCGCGGTAAGTCGTGAGCCCACCCCTGTGCGGACGGTGGAATGAGAGCACAGTTGATGGCCACACTATAGTCTGCTGCAGGTTTAGAACAGTAGGAAAAGCCCCTCCCACAAAGCTGCCTGCTCGCCATTATTGGTGGTTTCCTCCTCTTTCCTCGCCTCGTCTCCAGCAATCGCTCTGCTAAAGTGGAGAGAGCAAAGGGCCTTGCGGGAGGAGACTGTCTTGTTCTTAACCTGTAGCATTAAGTCAATCGTCTTGCGCGATCGCCGCAGCAAAGGTAATAAAAGAGCATGGCTATGCGGAGCGCAAGTTTGTCTGCTTCGTGAGCAGGGGTTGTAGTGACGTCAGAACGCCGAGCTCCGATTGGTTCAGATTGGAAGGATAGTGAGCAAACCTCAAGGCAGCTAGCATTCAGGTCTATTCACTATCCCTCCATCAGAGCCAATCAGAACTCGGCTTCTGACATCACTGCAAACTTTGCACAAGAAGCAGACGAACTAGTGCTCCGCATAAACCATGCAGTGTCCAAAAACTTAAGCATGCTGCATACAGCATTAAGTTTGGGAGAAGCGCGTTTCAACTGCCATTTAAGTTAACAAGCTGCACGACATGCTCTGCCGGTTGATCAATCAACGTTACAGTCTGTTTCTTTTAATAACCCCATGGTGCCAGAAATGCAAGGTGCACTGCACTGCCTTCACTGGAAATCTACAGGACACTATTTCACAACAAGCTTATCATCAGCTTTTGTTTCTCAGAATCCCTGGACACAACATGCAGAACTCTAAAAATAAAACACGACACTGTGTCTGTCGGTATTATACAATGTCATCCATTGGACATGAAATAACAATGTTGATACACTTATCACTTTTTATTTTTTTTTTAATTTTCCAGCAGGTCATTGAATACTAAATGCCTGCAAGAAAAAATTATGCTTGTGCATGTAAGAAACTAGGTTTGCATGGGTTACGCCATACCTAAGATTCTAGAAGCAACATAGTAGGACGAGTTTGCAATTAAAACAAAACGGACTCTAACTACGGCTCCAAGTCTTTATAAAACATAAAAGCAACACAGTGTAAGTGTGATTATTTTACCCGGTAGGCGCGCTTCCCAGGGTGCCTTCATCAAATAGTCTCGTATCTTGAGTGACAGCAACCGTGGACCTGCAGCCAGAATAATGCTTCTCAGAGTTACCATCACACAATAAGAAATTTCCTTATCACACATTAAATGAACACTAGTTCTAACATGATCAATACTTCGCAAGAAGCATCCATCTGCAATAAATAATAATAATAAAAAAGCCTAGCACAAACACCTCTCTACAGCAACTGTGTAAAACAAAACCCAAACCAGCCGCATCATCTGCGAGACTATGGTGCCTGGCACGCGTCCTTGACTGCCCAATGTCGTCACAACAAAGGTGTCACGTTGTTGCCGGCCACGGTCCTCGTGGTGTCACAACAGCCGAGGTTGTGTGCTGTGGGCGCCCGTTCTTACGCTGCAGGGCGCTCTCCGGCTGGACAATCCATGGAAGCAATGGCAGCCGCGAGTTGGGTCTCCGGGACGACGGCGACGCTGGCGTTCCATTCTACTTCTTGGCAGAACTTCGAGCACCAACAGCCGGGATTATGACGTCCGACAACACGACACGCCGGCTTCTGCAACGTCGCCCGTTGCCGCTTTGAGATCAGATTCGATGCACGAGCAGGACAGGACGCTAGACGTGCCAGTCGAGGACGCGTCCCAGGCAACATACTGTAGTGAGACGGCTCGAGAGTCCACCGTCGAAGGCGCCCACCCTTAATTTCTGTGTTGCGCGCGGTGCATTCGAACTCTATGCCATCTCCACAATTCAAAATGGTCAAATATTTTGGGGGTTTATACGCGAAGCAAACGACGGCCTCTGGCACACGTCGGCGGAGGAGCCGAGGATTGAGTTTGGTCGCCTGGGGACCTCTTGATGTGTCACCGAAATCTCGGCTACACGAAATCCAGAATGGTGTTATCGAGCATTCGTTCAACAAGAAGACAAGACAATCCATTTGATAGTCGCCGACAGGATTAGAATGGCAGAAAGAAGTTTCAGCTGCCCCGCTTCCTGAGCGAGCTTCTTACCTACGGTAATGCTTCGACGTCTCATGGGCTTTGAGCACAAGTGCACAGTCGAAGCACAATAGAAGGCAAAGGGTGCCCGCTGAAGGCCGATCATCCGAAAGAGACATTCTGCCCTTCTTATCCTGTCAGCAACTATTTTATCTGTTGCAGACACACACTAAAGAGACATTGTGCTATCATATATGACACTTTGCTTCGTCAAACTTATGCACAAGCTTCTAGGCACTTTTAGTTGTTTTTTTTTTTTACTTATTTCATTTATTTCATTTAATTTATTTTACCTCCCAAGGCATCTAGCAATGCCTTTGAAATACTATCATTTGTTAGGCTCCCGTCAAATATTACATGATGCCTGACGGGAACCGGGGATGATGTATAACGTTTCGGAATTTTCATCCTACGGATGTATTTAGCCAGAAAAACAAGATGGCCAATCTCTTGGCGAAGGGCGTTTATGCGGGACTTTACGGTAAGCGTCTTACTCGGTGCTGCCAGAAAACAGCATAAATAATAATGAAGATTCGAATGACAGATGACTATAATTGGTTGTGAAGAATGTAGCAATAACGTATGCTTGATAAGTATGCCAAAGATTGAAGAGAAAAAAATCTGGGGGGATTATTCTCATACCCCCTTTCATATTAGTATCTTCCAGATCAAACTGTCCAGAAAGAAAACGTTTCCTCTAAAACATCTCCATCTAAACAGACTCAAACCGGAATAAAGAAGCAAGAAGCTGACCTTCGTCCGGAAGTGAGCGTTTCGAGGAGAAGCGAGACCAGCTCCCCTCTGCTCTCTTCGTCGCTCAGCTCGTAGAGCAGGCTCAGTCCCTTGGACGCTATGCTCTGCGTCATGTCTGCGCTCGGAACAAAAGAGGCAATGAACACGTGACCACAGTCCTTAGATTGCCCGGCCTGAAACCTTTTTGTCACTTTACAAGAAAAAAAATAAAAATTTTCCCTAGGGACAAATTTAAGCACCAGAGGTGCGCTGCCGACGCTAGGAGTCAACCAATCAGAGCACTCGAGGAACTCAATGGATGGATGTGGGTTTGGAGAATCCACCGTAAAGAAAGTCGCCGGACGGACCTACGGTGCTTTTTCGTAAAAAAAAAACAAAAAACACTGAACCATCGGAAAGATGAATGATTAGAAACGTCATCCATGTTTGGGATTTATATTCCGTTTCACTTCAAGTCCGACTGCAGCAAACGCTACAATCGGAGGGGGCCAATCAAGCGGTGCCAAAAGTGCGTTGTCACGGTGCCCGTTGCCTTTCTGCACTTGCCAACGCCAGCAAAACCAATCGTGCACATTGAATGCACGACCGTTTTAACCAGTGATCGCACACCCTCCAAAGAGAACGACCACCGTGAAGACACACTTTGGGCGCTGCTTGGTTGGCTCTATTAAATCGTAGCGTCGACTGCGGTCGGAGTTAAAGTGAAACGAAGTACAGAAGCAATGTTATTTCAATATATTTAAAATTATTAAATTTAAAAAGATTTAAGCTTTTATTTTTTTTATTTTTAGCATATAAGTAAGCGCTGCTTGTGGTGACAAAATTCACTAGAGTGGAAACTGCTGACGTTTGCAGACCAGTAAGTAGTTTCTTTTAAAAAGCCCCTGAAAAGAAAAAAAAATTTTAAACAGTTTGGTTGGGACACATGTGTCAAAAACTAAATTTTACACAAAAAAAAATAAATTTTAGAGCAATATTGAGGGCGAGAGATTTATTAGAAATTATGCTTGTGAAGTCCATGACGTCACGGGTCATTCCGGAATGACCATCTTGGTCGTGAAGCCGATCCACCTTTCCTCCAGATGCCCGAAATGCAGAGAGAGAAAACAAGGGGAAAGGAGGTGACTGCCGACTAAATCCCGTCTCGCGCCGTCAATACTGCTCTAAACAATTCATTTTTTCACTAAAAATTAATTTTTTGATATGCGCATCCCAACCAGATTGTTAAAGAAACAACTTTTTTTTTCTTTCTTTTTGAGGCCCTTAAAGATTGTGATAAGACCCCACACCAAAAGAAGCTGCAGAAGTCAGTTTGTGGGCTGATCGTCGGGTAACGAACCTTACCCGATGACCGACAGCAGAGTTTCATCACTTTTTTTTCTTTTTTTAGACGCAACCTGCTGTTTTTCTGCCCTCGTCACGCCCGTCATTGGTTGGGGCATAATATTCCTAACGTCTCTTGTTCATATGCTTCACAAGTCAATCCAATGTCGTGCGAGTGTCACCTTTGAGACATTTGAGAGGGGCGCAGTGCTACGCTGTCACTTGATACACTAGATCGGCCGAGATAGCTCGTAACATACGCTGCAATCCATTGTAATTAGAAACGAAGGACAGTGATGTCTAGATAAATTAATTCAAACATTTTGTCATCAGGCTACCCACAGTAAAATACTACCCAGGGAAAGTAGCACAAAACAATGCATATCAACCAAGCACTACACCCTAAGGACCGAATGTGGCGCAAAGTTCAGTTTTCATAAGCAATATTTATCCCATCACTTAGAAAAAAAAACAAGCTGATTTGTTATTTTGTATAATGCTTCATGGTGTATGCAAGATAATGCGACCAACTATGGCCACTTTGGATGCGGTGCTCCAGTACTACTACTCAAGACAATACAATGCAACACGTTTTTGTGGTTTTTGAATTTACCCGTTTCCAAGGGTTCATTGAGGAAAACTTTAAAAAAAAGACAGGGATTTTTTTTCTTTAACTGCTCCACAAAACACTGGACAATTTTGACTTTTTCAATATTTTGAGAACTTCCGGGAGCAAGGCAAAAAACACTTACTATAGATGAGCGCCAGCTTTTTTGTTCAAAATGAACAGAGCATGAAATACTCTTTACAGAAAGTTTCAGTCTAAAAACTTAATTCTAAATGTGTTATAAGATCAATGAAAAATGGCTAAACATGAAAGTGTTGTGCAAAAGGCCAAGTCTGTCATTTTATTTCATTTCAAATATTAACTTAAACTAAACTTAACTGCTTCAGGTAGACCAGTTAGAATGCTTTATAGATAAAGAAAATTCCCGCTGTAGAAAGTTTTTTTATTTGTGTGACCCTTAAAGTTGTGTCTGCACAATTGGCAAAATCTTAGTTCCACTTCCTCTCAGACACAATCTTTTTTTAACGAACACCTATTTTGCTACCTCATATAAAAATTTAATATAAAACCAAAAATATGCACGACACCCCATGCACGTCCTTATCTAACATACCTTATATACTGAAATTTTATGAAGGTCTGCACTATGAACTTAGATTTTGCGTTTTTGTGTTTCCCTATTATAAAAATTGTTAATTTGTAAAACCTAGTAAACACATAAAAAATGTATATATATATATATATATATATACACCTTCCTTTTTTTTTTTACAGAAATAAACTTAATTGCTGATTTTTCTTTTTTTTTTTTTTTTTTTATAATGGCTGGCTACAGGTAGTGATGGCCTGTAGCTGAGCCGGTTGGTTATCCATGCTTACTGATTACCAGCTGAACGTTAGGAAAAGCGACGAAGAGAGAAAGAAACACATGGGTTGAGGAAAAGGAAGTTTATAAAAAAAGGGTTGATAGTCCAGCAGTGTGTTTCTTTTTCTCTTCGTCGCTTTTCCTAACGTTCAGCTGGTAATCAGTAAGCAAGGCTACAGGTAATTTAGTATGCGTTCCACCATAAGAACAGTTGATAATCAGCACCATTTTCAAACAATGTTGAACCACACACACTTCATACTTCATGCTGAGGCATGTTGTGTGTCTGTAGAACCTCACAAAATTGGTTTATACCACTGAAACTTTGCGTGCTGCTCCTCTATACGATTACCAACATACCTTGCTAATTTCATGCATATTGAGCCACTAGCGGTTAAGAAATAAACTTTTCTTTTTTTGTTTTTTGTGTAAGTGTTTTGAGATTGTGTTTTACAACTATTTTTGTCTACTTTGATGTGTTTAGTTACATGCTCCCCTCTTTATTGCCCTCTGAACCCCTAGGATACTGCAATAATAAATAAATAAACCAAGGGTGACAACACGCACACTGCTACACATTCTGAGATTGGGACCCCTCACCACTCCGATCAGCAAGGAGGTTGAGCAAGGCATTCTGGATGCGTTTCAGGTTGTCCAGCACAGGCTGCTGATGACTGCAGCGCTTCAGCAAGCTCAAAGTCCAGATGCAGGCCGCCTGCGGGGCCACAAAACGCCGCATCACCGCCGGCACCTTTGACGACACAGGCACAGTTGCCAGACGCGAGACAAACGTACCTGACGAACGCTAGGTTTGGGGTTGCACAGGAACTTGTCTAGAATCTCGGGGACCAACCAAGCCATCTCCTCCAGATTTGCACAGCTGCTCGGCAGAGGCTGGAAGATATTAATAACCGTGGAGACGAGAAAATTATTGACCAAGTTCTTCTCGTATTATCACGGACGATGTGAGCTACAATGCACCCCTATGCTTCCTTGGCATTATCTTCCAGCTTTTGAACAAGCTTCAATTCAGACCAGGACTGAATTACAAAGCTAGGAGGGGACCTGGGTCTCTGGCACACAAGAAATTCCTAAAAAATTTAATTTTTTTATATTTAAATTTTTAAACCTATTGTAAAATCCTGAGAGATAGCCCACCTAACATCAAGAGCAGATCGGCTGAAAATATGGAGTGGGCTAACCTTCAATGTATAATCAAGAAAAGTTTTAAAAAATAGCTATTTTTAGGTTGTGTCCTTTCGAAGCTTGTTGTGGTGGTGAGAGGCAACGAAACAAAGATGACTGTACTTCCGTTAGCAACGTTCACTTTTATGCCGCCATAGCAAACTAGCCGCATTTACACCGAGGCCATCATTGATCCCAACACTACTATTACCAGGAGTGAGCTATCTTTCGGGGGAGGGTCATCTTCTGGGATTTTACAATAATGCTATTTTCGTTCTGTCCTACAAGGTTTCTATTGCGCAGATCGATATATGAGTCATAATATCAATTTATAATATCTATGCAGGGAAAATCTGCATTGAAGTTAATGCTAAAACTGCACCTCCTCAAGATAAACATTTGAAGCTACATTAAACGACTTTATTTTCCCGGGCTGAATATTTCGCGAATTCAATGAAGTGTAGTTTTCGAAAATATTTCGTGGGCACGAAATTTCGCGAATGAGGGGGTGTGCCATGAATTTGTTACCACAGAGAAACATATTTGTAGAATCTATTTTTCCCAATAAATAATAATCGAGCTGCGAAATTCGCAAAAATTAGGTCCTTGCGAAAATTACGTCGGTTACAGCATTTGCCAATTTGCAGGGGGGTAACTCAGTATCTAGGGCAGCTAGAAACTACTTTTTTACACATGTAGCTAAGTGTGCAAACCCTACAATGTTTAGAGCAGATTTTTCAATATAGGCCTAAAAACTTTTTATTAAATTGCTCTATTTTTTCTTATTTAGTGGCCACACATTGAACGCCGAACTTCAACATCGAAAAAGCGTTTCCTGTGATTTCGGATAAAGTTTCAGACAACTGGCAACAATAATCCTAAGAGACGAAGATGGCTGGAGTGTCGTTACTTTGAAGCATAGCTCACTCAGTAAGTCTAGGCAGGGCTGGTGTGCCTAGATTTCAGACTGTTCCCAACAGCTCGATCGGGGTCAAGCGGTCCAAGGGCCGCATTTGCAATACAGATCGCGAGGAGGTGATAAAAACAGTTAACAGTCCTGTGTCAATCTGCAGTACAGCCACAGCGATAGCTACGACGAGGCACGGCGAGGCCATTGGGCATCGGCGTCATGATTATGCACCATGGTGTGCGCGAACAAGAGCGTTTGGAACAAAATAGACATCTAACCGTTTTGCTCCGAACGTTTTTTTTTTTTTTTATAATTACGCATGAAAACGCGTCTCCTGGCACGAGCTCTTGGCACTGACAGTGCCACAACAGAATTTTGTTATGCGCTCTTTTTTTTTCTCCAAAGACCACATGCAGTGAGCGTCGGGTACTACAAAAATCCTACGTATGAAGCAGGTTATGAACGCTGTGGCATAGCTCAGTGGCAACGCTTCCGCTTCGCACGTGGCAGACCCAGGTTCGATTCCCGCGGGCGGCAGGCACTCTTTTTAAGGGATTCGGCAACATCGACGACGGATGCCCTACATTGCCAACTACCGCATCAACAATGACAACAGCTTACTACATCAACAATGGACGTCATTTCCAATGGTAGGAAAAGCCCATGGCAGCTATTGCTGTAAAAGCATTGATCGTCTGCAAGAGTCTCCACCTCTTCACCCAGTTTCCTCCTCACCACGCGACAACGCAACGGATGCACACTCGTGACCATTCCGCACAATCATTCGTCATTAAATCGCAAATGCTCTTCATAGTTTGAGTTGATCCCTCTCTTAAATCTAGGCTCTCTGGGAAAAGTGTTTGAGAGCAAAGCAGAAAACTCACCACAAAGTCCTCTTCCTCGGTTGCCCAGGCGTCCCGGCTCAGGGGAGAGGTCGGACCCAGCAGGGCGCAGCAGATGGCCTCTCCCACCGTGAAGTGCACCTCCATGTCCGGACTCTGCACATTGAGAGCCCTCTACTTGCAGGATCGCAGAGAGGCCAAGCCCACTTTACATGGGTTGCGACAGCTCACCTTGCAATGCACCACACTGAAATTCACAATAAAGCTGCAAGACAGAGGTGGGACGTCTTTTTGCCAACACATCAAGGATCGGCTTACCTAAACCAAAGTCAAATTTGGTGGTTTTTACGCGCCATACGAACGACGGGCATCTGGCAAGCTCCAGTGAAGGATACTGAGGATTAATTTGGACCACCTGGAAATCTGTTGACAAGCAACCAAAATCTCGGTTGCGTGGTGCATTCTCTGCAATAAGCATCTGTCAGACAACGGGCACCACGGTCGGGATTCGAACCCACCACCTGGGGATCCATAAGAGCCACTGAGGTGGCTAACTTAGGCATCATTCACACAGCCGGCATTTCGCCCCGTCCCGGCGAAAGCGCCGTGGGCGCCATGCCGAAAACGAGACGGTGCGGGGATGGAGGAGTGTTCGAACCAGCGGCGACGGAGCTGCCGGCGGTGGCTATAGCAATTGATGGATGTTGGCGGCTGGGTCCCCTTAAATTGAAATTGGGCGGTAGCATGCGCCACCTAGCTTAGAAATCATTCTGCACCTTTGAAATTCCGTGTCAAACATTTGTATTCCGTAATCTCGAGCGCAATTTCACTTTCCCTCGATCTCTACTATCAATCTTGTAATCACGTATTTGTGGCTGCTTTGTGGAGGCGTCGACCACCAAATGTAGCGGACTATCGGCGTCGATGGGCGCAGCCACAACTGTTTTGTTCCTCGGAGCTTGCGTTTGGGTCGCCGATAACGGTCCTGCATGTTTCAAAACATTTATTTTATTTGTCTCCACGTTTCGAAACAAAAGCGACAAGACCCACCGCGAGCACGTTTCACATCAATCGCTCCTTATGCCGCATTTCGTCCCCGATGATCGACGACCGTATTTTCTTTGTTCGGCTGTTCTTCCTTAAAATCTCATTTACGTCTATCGCAAAGGAACGGATGTGGTCTCACCATTTCGAGCAGCAGCTCAGCGGTAAATCCAAATCTCTGTATGCCCGTTGTTCAAAAGCCGTAAACATCACACAATGCGCCCGTTGTCTCGCTGGCCTCCCTCCTTCCCGAAACGAGCTTTGTTGGCTTCGTTGTTAGGGCACAGTACGGTCAATTCCCCCGCCGCGGCCGTGCCCATGGTCACCCAACTTTTGAGAATCCGCCAGATTCAGCGAAAGTTTCCGATTTTGTGATTGGCTGTCCCTCGATGGGGCGGGGCGCCGGCGTTTCCGGTCTCCCGCCGGTGCCGGGGATGTTGAACATCCTCGTTTGGCCCTTTTCGGGTCCGGCGACCCGATTTCGGTAGGAAATTGGTCCCAACACCCTCTCCCCCGGCGGAAAGGACGGCCGGCGCTTTCGCCGGGCCGGCAAAAAACGGCTGTGTGAATGAGGCCTTACCCGGATCGAAGGTCACCAAAAGGAATCGAACATCTAACGTAGACTCTGTTATAGGGCTCGGTTTCATGAGGAAAGCAACATGTTACACTCGGCCGACACACAGGTCAGGGTCGTATAAGCAGTATAACCCCTGCGAGGCTATATTGCTTATGTGACCTCCACGTAAGGGTGCCATGTGACATCCTACGAAGGGTATCATGTGACACCGTGACACTGCTAAGTCGTGGTGTCGAGCGTTTTTGGGCGACGCTATGACAAGACCTCGTCACACCGTGTCACGTGACACGGTGATGTCATCGGTCATGGTGACGTCACGCAATCTAATGTCATGTCACGTGGTCACACGCACGAGCCCGGACGGAGATAAAGAGCGTCCCACCTCCATGCTGGACTCCACGAGGCTGTTCAGGACGGTTCTGGCATGGGGGAAGTGGTTCTGCCCCAAGCACAGCAGACCAAGGGTGCGTGCCGCCTCCTCGCGTACCTGCATGACGCCAACCGCTTCACTTTAAACCGAAAAAAAAACAACGCTATGAGCGTCACCCCCAAAAAAACCTGCAGTTATATTACGATCCATCGATCAAACCGCCATGTGCGGGATCACGTTTCGTAAGGAATGCGGCAGACACTAACTCTAGCCTCAACCTCCCAAACACGTGAAGCATAAAAAAAAAAAAAGAAAAATTAGGCACACAAAGTTTATTTCATTGAAAACGACATGATGGGATATCCGTCAACACGCTCTACCACTTTTATGTTGGAGGGTTCAGTGTTGGGAAGTACTTTAGGTACATTGCACTCATAGCACTACTTCAAGTAGGTTAGTACATACAGTGTGTGCAAGCTGCTCAGGCTTAAAAGCATTAAAAGGAAATACTGAAGGCGAAACGTTGTCACCTTTCTTCCATTCGGTTGCATTTTAACGTGTCTGCTTCCGCGACATTCCAGCAGTTTCAGATTTCGAACCGGAGGTACTTTAGACAGCTTCTCCATCGGATGATCAGCTCTCATACTCTGAATTCAATTCTGAGAAGCATTAAAAGCCTGAACCAGAAAAGCCAACGCTCCAATTGCCACAACTGCCACAGTAGCCGACATGCAAAGCAACCATCTCGCGCACACCGCATGCGCAGAGCGTCCATAATTTCAAAGCTATATATAGTCCCAGCAAAGTGAAACGCTGTGCGAATATAACGTATATAGTTCACCAAAGACGTAACAAATAGCAACATCTACCGCGGTGCGCATGGTTTCGCGGTTAGTCGGGCTCTTTCAAGCGTGTAATCTACAGCGGCGACCGTCAAAGGGTTAAACACAGTGAGCTGTATGGCGAATTTGCACGGATCAAGCTTCTGGGGCAGACCTTGGCGGGTGCCTTGGCGTTGTGCAGGACGGTGCCCAGGGCTCTAACCAGGGCCAGCAGGGTCAGGCCCGGGTCCTCGGGCGGCGTATCGGCCTCCGAGTCCCCGACAGGAAATGGGGGCGTAGCCACACAACCCACCTCGCCGAGAGCGATGCAGCACGACAGCAGGCCAGCACCCAAGGGCAGCTTGGATGCCTCCACTGCAAGCACCACGACATAGAAATAATATGATAACCTAAAGAGAAAGGTCCCATGCATTCCGGTCGCTTCGGAACAGCAAGCGTAGAGGTGGACATTGGAGGGCTCGATGAGACTGTACTGCTGGCAATGCTTCAATATTAACGAGAAAGCAGAAAAACGTCACTTGCAACGTCTGTATCTAGCGTTTCTCTACCTTTGTTTTGCACAAGAACACCAGCATCACGCTTTGTATAAAAATAAAAGAGAGTTGACGAGCACTCAAGCAACTTAAACTTGTTGCAGCAAAATGAATGCATCTAACCCATCGTCTGCTTTCTTTCTCCTCTTTTCTGTCGCTTTCTTTCACATTCATTCTCTAGGGACCACTGATGTCAACGAGTGTGATTTTCCCTGTTCTCCTCCCATCTTAACTCCCTGCACCGGGACTCATCCTGTCTTTTTCAAATTCCAAAGTTTGCAACAACGCTAGAATGAACCGCTGGTTCTGGAAGGAAAGTCTTCTCAACTCTGGCTAAGGCTTCACGTTCTTGCTTACCAAACTCGTATTGGCCACCCAATGTTAGTTTGTGATAACGATATAACAAAAAAATATGGGGGTTTTACACGACAAACTTTTCGAAGGACATCTGGCTCACCCCAGCGGAGGACTGAGGATTATTTTCGACCACCTGGGGATTTTTTCACACAAATGAAGTCTCGGTTACACGGCAGCTTCTGTGCCATAAGCCTCAATCAGATTGCGAGCACCTCGGTCGGGATTCGAACCCACCACCAGGAAATCCATAGGCCGGCGCTTTGCCTCGAGCTACCGAGGCAGCTAATAAAATATCATTGTTGGGTAGTGACACAGCTTGCTTCTTCTGTTTGGCTAGTTTCTGATTAAAGGTTTTCCAGCCTGTCCATTTTTTTTTTTTTTAAGTGGTAGTTTTATAGGGCTAACCAACCTCAAGAGCCGCGTACCATAATATCCCGAGTCGTCACCCACCCCCCTGCCCCCTGAAATTCATTAAAAAAAAGTGGGGTGGGCCACGTCTCGGTGGGTAAGTACAAAAAGTTTAGAAAAAGCTAAAAGAACGCCCATTTTCCTGTACATAGCTAGCCCGGCTGCACAAGGAATACAAAGTCCGTCGCTTGTACACGCGCCATGAACACCGCCGATCGGCATACAGCGCGAACGTTTGTTCCGTGAAATCATGTTTCTAACACCCCTATGTTCTCTTCGTTAGTTTAAAAAAAAAGTCAACAAGAAAATAGAAAAATTAACAGGTGCAACGAGCAACCAAGCAAGCAAGCGAGCGAGCTGACAAAAGATGCGATAAAGAGCGATGCTGAAGAAGCAGGAAAGCCGGCGATAACGTTGGTAAATACTTTGGCATTGGGCCAACTAAGACGCCTTGTCAATAGCAAGCAAGGAGCAGGCTTTTGCACAACTTCCTTGTTTTGGGCATACATGCGTGCGTCCATGCGTGGCGTGCTATCAATGCGGGCTGAGGCGGCGTTGCTGTATGACATGGACGGCACTACGAACACTGAGCTCGACTACAAACATCTGTGCGCCGTTCCAGCAAATCTTTTTTTACCCGTCGGCTTTGTCTTAAATATCGCGCAACCTTACCAACTGCGCTCGCGACGTTCCGGGAGACGGACTTTGACCTTACACTCCGCGGTTACATTCCAGGATACGCTGACCTTGCGATCTCTGAATAGGTTACTGCTTGTGCTATCTTTTCGACTTTGTTTTCTTGTCCGAATGAACTTTTTCCCCATCGCTTTCCTTTCGCACGCATGTACTATGACTCCGGGGTCGCAGAAATCTGGGAGGAAATGTGTAAACAAAGAGAAGTGTCTTTCCCTCCTTCGTTTTACTTTGCCATGGACGTCTTTCAACTGTAAGGTCCACGGCTGCGTCGTTCGGGTAGGACGAATATTCACAAATAACGGTGTCTGTGTTGAGGTATTTGTAGGGGTGGGCAATCACTCAGTGTTTTAAAGCGATAGCTTTAAGGAACTCGGGTGGCAGAAAAGCTGGCGTCGGTGTTGGTGGCAGACGGAAAAATCCTGATTGATTGATAGTGTCATGACATCACAGCCACATGACCTCGCGCGGGAATTTCAAACAGCCCACAGCGCTCACGGGAAACGTGACATCATGTGTGGAATGAAGGTGATGAAAACATGACACGCAATGCAAATGAAAGGTTGCTGCATGTCTCAAACATTTTCACTTTATAAGATAATTCATTTGCCTTAAAGAAAAATCCGAAAAATTTTAGGCGGAGTAGGGATTCGAATCTCCGACCCTTCGGTTGCGAGCCAGACATGCTACCGACTAGGCCACGCAGACAGGTTTGCATGACTTGGGAACGAGTAGGGGTTTACATTTTGCTACCCCGTTCAGCCCTTAAAAGCGAAGCGAAGCTTAAGTATCCCCCTGTATTTTTTTTGGAACCCAATATTTACCCAAAAAGTGGGGTGGGCGATGACTCAAAATGACGATAAGCACGAAATGTGGAGGTCAGTCAGCCCGTAACCACTAAGTTATCTTGAAGAAAATGGCAACTGGTGCCAGAGATCGAACCCCAGTCACCAGCATTCAAGCCGAGTGTGCTGCTGACTGAGCTACAGATCCAGCACACAGGAACTGGAGGAGCAGAAGCAGGAGGGGTGAGAAAGCGTGTAGAGTGGAGAGGGGTGAAAAGGGCAAGAAAGAGAGGAGCAGAAACAGGTGGTGCAGAAATCGCGTGGAACAAGGAGCGGAAAGGGCAAGAAAGCGCCCTCCCCTCTCTTGGTGACCCAGAAAATTCAGCACAAAGGCTTTGTATCCAGGTCGTGCGGAAGGGAAGCGCACGCAGCTTCACGAAGAGGCAATGGTGAGACGTAGTCTGTTTCCATACAAAAGCCTGCCCTAGGCACATCCTGAATTAAGAGCACCACCCACCTTAGGCAATGAAGGCTAAAGGCCCGTTCACACACTTGCAACAGAGTACGACCGAGAGACGAGACCTGATGAAACCTCTTAAATTTCTTAGGATGAGAGAACACACTGGCACATTGGCGCCATCTATGCGGTGACCCTGGAACTGTATTTCACAAGAGCGAAAGTTTTGCGGGATTTTTGAGGTCAAATGTGCGTAATACCTATGAGAAAGGCTCGTTCATAACGTTGACAAAAGTTTTTCGAGCCAAGAAAGAAAGGATAATGCGCGAGAGAAATAGAAAGTATGCCAGACCGCCAAGTTTACACTGCTACCCAATAGATGGTGCCAGTGTGTCCCCTCGTCGTAAGAGAGATTAAGAAGTTCCAAGACACACGGTTCTCAGAGGTCGCAAGTGTCTGAACGGGCCTTAAGGGTCATCCTGCTTTAGGCACCACCCACCCTATGAAGCTATTGCATTTAAACGCATTTGGCAAAATTACCAAATATGCAGACAATTTCGTATGTCTCACAATAAAACTTGCGCATAAGGTGAAAAAAAAAAAGGATTTCTTAATCTCAGTTTAGAAGTGAGCTTTAAAGAAGTAAACAAGAAAAAGGCTAAAATTCATACATCTAACATTGAGAGGTCTTTCAATGGGTAAAATTTTCTTTTGCACTAGTTAAAGTGGTCAAAAACTCCTTTATGGTTGCACATCTCATCTCTTAAGGACATCAACTCACAGAACTGCCTGCAGAGCACCTCCACAGCTGCCTTCATCCTAGGACTGTCAACAACGTTGTCCTGGTTCCGATGCCGGTACTTTCGAGCGAGCGTGAATCCAAGAGCCAGCAGGGCCCCTTGCTTAAGCTCCAGATTCTAGAAGACAAAAAATACTAGTTGTATGGCAATTTTCTCAGGTAGGACCAAAGTACCGTAGCTTCTGGACAATAGTCCAGAGAGTATACATGTTTCAAAGTTGAAATTTCATGCACTGTGCACTGGTGCAAGCTATACAAGGATTTGTTTTTTATCTAGATTGTTCGTTATGACGAGGCGTGACAAATTTTGTGAATGAGAGACTATGTTAATGATGCAAGCTTCTTTGTGAGCTAATAGGGAGTTTTAGAAAAGCACACGCAAAAGCTTTGCATACGGAAATAACAGCATCGTCGCCACTGTACATGCATCGAACGCTAACCGCGTTTTGTGCTTTGCATGTGCTGTTTTTTGGAAATTGCGTGCATACGCAAAGAGCCTTTTCGTTCCTCCAAGGAGGATTTGTGATGCGCGAGAAGTTGGCTAAAGCCAAGATGAGCACAGTCAGAAAATGATGGCTCCTAGGACCGTGGCTGCGGCCGCTTCAGCCGTCATTGTGAACGCAATGTCGGCAGCAACCTAGCAACTGCAATTTTCAATACAGGACGACATTGCACTCCTACGGGATGTGCACGTCACCAATGGTTTGGAAGACACAGCAAGGTGGGCAAAATGGGCCAGGGGGGCAGCGATCACCGGAGACTTGCTGCTTGCGACGTGCAAATGTTTCTCGGCAAAGATACAATGTGCGAAGGTCAGTACACAAGACCTCTATTGCCAAGGCGATGCAAGCGGACATGACCGGTCAATGGCTCGCCTTGCATTCTCATATTCAAATAAATCTAAAATGTTACTCTGAACCAAAAAACTTGTTTTTTTTTCTCAAGTTACAGCACATTGTGTGTTAACTAAGAATTGTTACTGTGTCCTGGTGGCGTTGCAAGCGCAAGATGCTTGGGTTTTTGCATTGTGATGCAGAAACACTATTCCAAAACGCTCTTGCGTAGTGCGCGCTCACGCAAGCGCTAAACTGAGCGGTAGTGAGCACTAAAATTGCATACGTTATACTAAAATTCCTTAATAAAGCAGGCATTTATCAAGGTGTATTGCATAAGAGAAAAATACAAAGAAATAGCCGGAAACAAAATGTCATCGTAATACAGTCACCGCTAAGATCCCGTGCCGGGAGATGCATTTTCACGTGCTCCCAAACAAATAAAAATTACACCATCTTCCCGAGGGGAACCATGGGGTGATGCGGAGCATTGCGGATCGTTATTAACGGTGTTAGTAACGTTGTTAGTAACATTGTTAACTTGCGTGTTATTACGTTAGTTTGTGGGATGGTGCTGAAGCTTGCTTGCGCCAACCCACTAACTGACGGGACTGTTGCTTCCATCACACTTCATCGGAAGAACGGAGTGGAGTCAACAGCGGGTGAACTGAACGCACGCAGCGCGCTACCGCTGCTTATATTCACACTTGAAGGAGAGGAGACTAGAGGAGGAGAGTTGCGCCTGCGCGCGCGGTGTGAGTAGAAGCGAACGCACGCGAAGTGCTTGCAGCTGGTAGAGAGAGAGAGCGGAGAGAGTAACGCGCAGCTGTTGGAGAGAGGGAAGGAGGAGAGTTGCGCAAGCGTAGTGTGAGTGCGGACTACGACGCCGGGGGACATAGACCCGAGCAAGAGATGCTCCGCATCTAAAAAAAACTAGCCTCGATCATCACAGAATCTGTCCTGTGAGTACTATGCGTACGTTATGATTTGCCATGTTTTGTTGCACGGAGCTTTAAGTGGCTTAGGATGCATTGCACGCACGACCGACACTCTTGTGACCCCTGGGTTCATCAGATCGATCGAGTCAAGCTTAAATTTCTTCGAGAGTGGAGTGTGTCACGAACAAGTTTTAATGACGATTTTTCATGGGTTCTGCTTCTTTGATGGGGGCATGTATGGTCTCAAATTCTCAGTGACCTTGGATCGCAAGGACCCCTTCCGGTAACTGAAGCAATTACGGGGAGGAGGAGGTTTACCGCATATTTTAAGTTATTAACTGACTTTTGTCCGAAGTTCTGATGACGTACATTAGCTGCGATATCCCTCCATACATCGCACGATTCCCCCCCCCCCCCACGATGTCGCAAGTTCACGTGGGAAGCTACGTTTCGTCAGGAACCAGCTGCGCGCTGACGGTCACCCGCGCACTAAATATGCCAAACAAAGCATCGCTCGATGCCGGCAGTTGCCTGCGGACAATACTCCGTTTCGCTTTAAGTCCGACAACATTAAGACCCAATGGCGCTAATCGGGCATTGCCAAGAGTGTGTCGTCGCCGCGCTCGTCTCTTTGTATGTTTGCTATCGCATTTATAGTGGCACGCCAGTTGAGCTGCACGCTCACGTCGTTTGCGGTCGGCCCAATTTCCCTGACCGATGCTCATTTCAATGGAACGATTCCACGCTTTCCAGGTTGGCAGACACACTGCCCTCGACAGTTGTAGAGCGGTCACCCCAAGACACCGCACCATCTTTCCGCGACACGTTTGGCACTGGTACGGTGCTTGGAAAGCATCTTTGACCGGTGCATTCGGCGTCCAATCCTGCCCACGCGCCGAAAGCGGTCCCAAAGTGGCACAAACGACGTCACAAAAGCTGGCGCATCATGCTGTCGGATGTCGCAGTTGTGGCGGTTGGGTGTAAAAGCCCCGACAAAAAGCACGAACAAACGCGGGTGCCGCCATTGTTCGTGGGGTCCCAACTCCCGGCTGTTGAAGCTTCCTTGCATTGTCAAGACAGAGAGTGACCTGCAGCGGCACGGGTGCCCGCCAAACATGCCATCACTACCGCGACACTGCGAGGACCGTGGCCTGCGAGGACGCAACACTTCTGCGACGTCATTGGGCGAAAATCAAAACCACTTTTTAGGATGCGATAAACACAACAGTCGGAGACACGTTCCAAGCATCTTAGCGCCGGTGGAGACGTCGTTAGCATTTCTTTCGCAAATTGAAAATCGCAAAGTCACCGGAATTCGAGCCGAACGGGCAGCGAGCTCACCTCACTCCTGGCGTCGCCGCAGAGTGCGTCCACGTCCCCCAGGAAGGCTTCCCCGGTGCGAGAGGCCACCAGAAACCCGACCAGTTGGGCGGCACACTCCCGCACTTGCTCCTTGGACAACGACAGCAGGTTCTGCAACGTCGGTTCGTCTCGAGTTTGTACTCGCGCAAACACCCAGACAGGACGACAAAAAAACGTGCTACCTTTTCCCGCGCTACAGTGCCAAACGCGGCGATAACGCAGAAGGCGCTGTGCGTCGCTTCGTGAGGACGTTGTAAGGAGGATCTCAGTACTCGTCTTGCGTGTGGATAAGCCAAACGTCGTTGTGTATGGTGTGTCTGAAGGACTGCCCTGACAAGACTAGCGCGCCCACACTCCCGAGGCTACGCCCGTGCAAGATGCGCTCTTCGTGCGAAAAGTGGAAATGACGAGTGCACCGTGCTGAGCAGAGTAGAGAGAAACCGATGGTGGCATGAGAACAGCAAAGGGCGCAGGACCCAGACTAGCACATATGAGTGGCAGCGCTTAAGCGTCCCTCGGACACCTCCTAAGGCACATCTCCAAGAACTGTTCTACTAACCAGCAAGATTCCTAAAGCAAATACCCCGAGGGCCACCTTTTAATAATGTAACAGCTGCCGCCATCAATAACAACACACTTTATGTGAAAACAGAGTAAGTGAACAGGCGAGCTGGTTGATGTTACACATTTTTTTAAAAATGGGGACGACTGACGAAGAAGGAAACAAACAAAAAAAGTCTTAATGTTCTTTTTAAAAAACCAGACATGACGGTTTGTGTTTTTCCAATTCTTCGTCCATCGTCTCTGGTTTTTTCAAAAAGTGTGGCACTTTCTGTACTGTATTCACACGATTGTAGGTCGACCCGTTTTTCTATTTTTGAAAATCTGATGTGGGGGGATCGACTTATAATTGAACCAAAGCCTTCCCCCACCGACAAAAACAAAATTGCGATATCAAGAACAGCTTGGCTTGTTAGGAGTTGCACCATTCTGTGCGCTTATTTTACAAGTTCTATCTATTGCGATTTGCAAATTAACCGTAATGCAAGGCAAACGGCGCGCCCCACTCCCAGGAGTGGCTGCATAGAGTGATATACTTCGTGGCGGTACGTGATATAGGAGCCACTCCGGAGCGCCAGCTAAAACCCTGGAACAGCTTCACTTCCCGCTGCTTCTTTTTGCACGATGCATGGTAACGCATTGTTTGATCGATTGTCGAGATAGTGCGTTTAGCTTTACGGGGCTCGTTTACGGCCATTCTTCACCCAAAAGTCAAAAACTGCGCTGCTGGACAGAAGTTCGACCCGTCAGAGCGGGTGGTGCGACAGTGACGTCTGCAACGGTGACGGATCTGACCTGCGACGGCAAATGAAGAGGCTTCCGTGAGCCAAAGTCTGGATGAATCTGGATGCCTCCTGGAGTTAGAAGTCAGGCTCGCAACGTACGTCACAGAAATGCGCAATCGGCTCCTACCCGTGATGTTCAATGTAACCACCAATCAAGCGCGGAAGATGCGGTCGATGCGGTCAATAATGAAGTGCGAGGTTTCGTTGGACGCCGACGACACACCTTGGGAACGTAGCAGCGATTACAACAGGAAGGACAGCACCAGCGCGGACGAATCGTAGTGTCTAGTCGCAGACAGCACGAGAGCAACAGGGAGCAGGTTCAGTTGTCCCGCCTCCAGCTCGAGCCTTCCTTTTAGCTTTGGTAATGCTTCAACGTCTCATGTGCCTCGTGCTTGCGTGGGAAGCACACCAGACGGCATTGAGCACACACTGGGGGCTGGGGGTTTCGAAAGAGGCACCCTGCCGTTTTCACGTTTTCGCGGTAAAATGTGCCCCTAAAATAGTTTTTTGTTTTCGTTTTGCCAAGATTCGAAGGGGGGGGGGGGGGTCGACTTACGATCGTGTAAATACGCTAGTCATTTTCCGCTTTTTTCATCACCTTGAGTGCCGTCTTCTGGTTGTCCAAAAGAGGTGCGAATTCCTTCGGCTCCGCCGCCACCAGCTCCAGAAGTGCACAAAGGGGAGATACGTCTGAAAAAGTTGCCAAAGTTGACGAGAATCGTCGACGACCACGGCTGCTCGAAAGCAGTTAGCGGAGCTCTGGGGTTGACATTCGATAATCCCTTCACACCCTGTATTGACCCAAACTAGTGCAGTGCTTACCAAACCAAAGCAGTACCAAAACTACAAATGCCTGAAACACATCTCCGACCAGCGCATTTACCGCGTCTTAAGATGCGGTCCCTCAATTTCCACCCAACGACGTCTTCGAAGTGTCACGCTGTCCCCAGCTGCCTTCCTGGCGGTACAACAGCGGCAACGATAACATGATGCTCTGGCTTTCGTGAAGTCATCTGTTGCCGTTTTGGGGCAACTTTCAACACGTGGGCGGGATGAAACGCTAAACGGGCCAGTCGGAGATGCGTTCCAAGCGGCGTACCAGAAGCAAGGTACGCTGACACGTCGCTCGCCAAACGGAAGAGTTCCCCAAACGGAACCAAACCGACACACTCACCCGGTGCAGTGGGCAGGAACCCGACCAGGAGGCGGGCGTAGTGCCCCGGCAGCGGCGACGACCCGGCCAAAAGCGCGCGCAGGTAGCGCAGCACCTTGGGTGCCCCCTCCCGTCCCAGGTCCGTCTCGGAGTCCGCAGGAGGCAGTCCCGCGCCGCTCCGCAGGCAGCTTCTCAGGTACCGCAGAACCTGGGTCAAAGTTGCAAGGCTCTCGAGCGTTCAGGCCCTCGGCGGCACGACCCATTCGTCCGTCGTTTCTTCGGCATTAATTTGTCGGAGAAAAGACGGGGCTGCATTTCCTAGGCTTTTAAGGATTAATTTTTCTTCCCTCAAACCTATGCTCGTAAAATTTTAGTACCATAAATGCACCGCCTAAAGACACCTTGTGACAACTTTCAATGCACTCCTCATCGGTCTATTTATGCTATTTTTTTATGCCCAAATACCCCTTAAGAACACCCAGTAGATGACCGTAGCACTTCCAGCGGGTGTATGACTCGTATCCTAGACACCTTCCGAAAGCGTGCCCTTTGTTGAAAGCTGCGCGATCTCCTCACGTTTGATTGCGCCTCGGCTGTTCGTGCAGCGGGAGAAAAACTCAAAGCTACCCTCTCGCGCTACTTGCACGTACGGTAAGGTACGTGCAAGTTGCGTGATGGCTCATAGTGAAGAAAGTGAGAGTGAACTCCGTGGAAACTATCACCAAACATGACACTTTCTGTACGAAAGAGTGGTAAATCGAGAAGAACGAATGAAATTCTAAACGCGCCGCGAATAGGAATCACACATACAACCCCGCGACTGTACGCTCGACATTCTGCCATCCATGCGCCAGTCTGTGGACATATGCAAAACTAGCTGGCTTTGTCTCCGCAGCGGTGGTCTTTACTCACTGTTTGAACGTGAATGCCGGTCGCTGGATGCCGGCGTTCGGCATTTGGGTTCAAACGGTTTATGGGAAGAAAAAAGAATCCCAAGACATGCCCCCACCGTCACACAAAAGAAAGACAGAGTTTGGAATAAACTAGCATCCTCATAACCAAAAGAAACAACTGCAATGTCCTCCACAAACTCCGAAGAATGCTGCACAAACTTTCTGCGTACACCGACTTCATCCGTAGGATCCAGATAAATCTAGTAGCCTTGTGCGAATAGTGGATTTTGAGTTTGAAGCGAATTCGAAGCGAATAGTGGTTTTTCCCGAATATTTTCGATTCGAATATCGAATAGTTTTTCCACGCCTATCACTACCATTGCATAACACTTAGACAAAAACCCAGCTAAACCTGTGAAGTTTGTTCCACTTGTTAATTTATAAACTAAGTTTAATCTATCTATATTTACGAACTGTGACCTCAGAAGGTCTGGTGTCAGAAGGTTTGGTGTTATACTCTTACATAACAGTTTAATTTTGAATCTTTTACCACAATGTAGACACACATTCACAAACTTTTCATTTATTTTCGAACACAGTCGGCACAAATGCACCATGCCGCTTTGAATGTATGCTTTACCTCCAAGCAGGCAATTACAATATTCATACTTTTCCAAGTGTTTATCGCTGCGGGTTACCCCATTGAGTGTGCTTCTTACCAAGCACCGGTGCGCTCCGGAGAAGCAACACCCGCGAAGCTCGCTTCTGCGGATATTGCTTCTCCACAGCGCACCAGTGTTTGGTGAGAAGCGCACTCAACGGGGCTAACCCGCCGCAAACAACACTTGGAAAAACGCGAATAGTGCAGTTCTTCTCGAAGCGAATATTGAATAGTGTATTATTCGGAACTACTATTCGAAATTTCGAATATTCGCACGACCCTAAAATCTAGCGTTTTTCGCTTCGGAGGGGATTGTGGCGGCTGGAAAGGACGACAATGATTAGGGTCAATGTGCGGAGAGTGGGTTTCCCCGAGCCTCTTTCTCGTCAACCTTAAAGCTTTCCCAGCAGGTAAAGTCTCTTCAAAGCGTCTTGAAGTTTTCTCTCCTGCCTCTTCTGTTTTTTGTTTTTTTTTTGTTTTTTCACAGTTTTGTTTTGTGACCTGCAGAGCTTGTGGCGCAGTTGTTTGGCAGCCGGTAAACTTTCTTTGAAACTGGCACGCTTCACTTTTCGAGTCTAGACTATAATTAGCTTTGGTAAAAGTGCAATTCTGCACTAAAAGAGGGTGAGTGAACCTACCTCGGCATACTGCACCCGGTTCCATGGCAGGCCAGGGAAAGGTCGGTCACGGTTGTGCACGCTTGGCGCCGCACCAGGTTGAGCCTGCACCAAACGAAAGCATAATCTGACCTTCGCTCTACGAGGTTTCTGAAGATTCTTAATTTTGAAGGCTTAGTGGCGTTTGTGGGCTTTTGGAGACACGCTGAGACTTTCCAAGTACCTAGAAACCACAAAACTTATTGTTTGAAGAGCAGCAGCCCTTTTGAAGGTTGGCTTACTACCCAGCAATGGCAAACCTTCCTTCTGAAGTGGTACTCGGTTTGAAACTACCGTACGAAACCTTTGCATTCGTAAAGGCTGGTACAGTACAGACACGACTACTATAGTGAAGCAAAGTTGAAGGATGCTTTTAATGCTGGCACAGAGATTTGAGACATTGCTATAGTGAAGGTACAAAAGTGACAAATATTTTTCCCTGAAAAACTGAAGCTCCAGTAGCATTATGCAGGCACTTGAATTCTAGACGCATTTCAATATTCGATCCAAAATTAACTGTAATATTCATACTCTTTGAACAGCTAGCAAAGTCACAGTACGTTGGTTATCTCCAGTGAAAAAGTTTCTCACCAAGCACCAGTACACTGCAAAAAAGCGATATCTGCAGAGCAGATACCGCAACCTTGCTTCGCCACAGCACAGCTGTGAAAAACCATGCATGCAGAGCTAGTACAATAAAAATATACTAAAACTAGTGTTGGCCAAATGTTAGTTTAGAATTATACACTATTTGATATTCGCTTCGAGATGAACTACAATATTCATATTTTTCAAGGTGTTGATCGATGTTGGTTACCCCCGTTAAGTGCGCTTCTTACAGAGCACGAGTGCATTGCGGAGAAGCAACAAAGCAAAAATCAGCTCCTTTGTTTCTCCACAGTGCACCGGTGCTCTATAAGAAACGCACTCAACAAGGTAACCCGCTGCGATCAACTCTTGGAAAAGTCTGAACATTGCAATTGCATGGTTGGAAAAAAAAAAGCACCCTTTCAAAGCGGGAGGGAGTGTGAGCGTGTCTGGTGTACTTAAAAAGAAAAAGAAACTTTGGAAATGTTGATGTCCCCATTGCAGTAAAATTTTTAAAATAAACTGTGGCTGCTAGGTACAGCATAGGTTAAGCAAACATGCACTGACAAACTGCATTCAGTTCTTTGTGTTTTTTTTTTTGTTTTTAATTTGAGATTGAAGAAAGAATATTTGCATACAGCAAGATTTGTAAATCCACTTAGTTAGGCATAGCAGGGCATCTCTATAGGTTTAACTGTATATAAGATTTGTCATCTACAGGAGGGGGAGGGAGAGGGGCGTGCTAGTGTGCCACTTACCTTCCCCTTCCACCCCCCAACTCTGTGCAGCACTATGCCATTGGTCGCATACGCTATGACATCAAACCAATGGATGTGCTCCATTGTTGACACTCTTTCCCACGGTTTTGCTACAATGCGACCAACACCGACACGAGCAAGCAAGGTCTACTGCAGGGTTATAAAGGCTTTAAAAATGTGCGACGCATCTCACCTTGGTTATGATAAACTCCAGCATGCTGGGAAACGGTGGGTAGCGAGGGCCGTCTCCTTCTGCCGGATGCAGCGCCTTGAGCGCCTCCTTGCGGATTTCCTCCTTGCTGTGCCGGAAAAATGCAATTAGGGCTCGGTTGTCTTTATATATTTAAGACAAAGTCCTCCTTACATCACTTTGCTACATACTATAGAACCCCAATTAAATGCCAACCCATGGTAAAAATATAAAGGGTGTAAACAAATTAGAGGTTCTATTTCTATCTATTGATCAAACCACTATGTGCAGGATTGCGTTTTATGAGGAACACGGTGGATGCTAACTCCAGTCTAAGCCTTTCAGGCACACAACGTGTCTAGCCTTGCCACGTCCTACTTTTGAGTTGTTCCTTTTTTTTTTGTTGTTGTTTTCGAAGCTTCTGCAGTTTGTGAAGTCCTTTTAAAGTGTCTCGGAGTCCTCTCTCCTGCTTCCTTCGTTCTTTTCTTTTTTGCTATTGTCTTTCACAGTTGAATCAAGTGGCCAGCGGAGTTCGCGGCACAGGTGTTTGACTGCCATCCAACTCTCTTCGACATGGCATGCTTCACTTTTCGAGGATATATCAAAGTTAGCTTCAGTAAGAATGCCATTCTGCATCATTCTGGGGTGGAGAATCCTTGAGAATGCAACAACTAAATCTGATCAAAATTGAGCGACAAACGAGGGTGGTTATCATTTGAGCCCATTCTCACCCTTCTCACTTTGCCCTTCTCAAAACAACCGTTCTCAAAAAGATCTTCTCGCATTGACCCGTTGCATTTGGCTTTCTCGTTTCGTCCTTCGCATTTCAACCCTCCTCATTTGGGCCTGTTCTTGTTTCGCTCTTCTCACTTAACCCCCATGGTTCACTACAGCGTAACGCTGTTCGGTAGCGCTTTTTTGCTACGGTCAAATGTTACTGTAGAGCATTAAAGATCTCCGTAAAAAGTGAAAGCCGTTTACAACTTCCTGTAACGCCGAACTGGAGCGCAGCTCTTTAGGAGGAGGAGTGGAGGGTATATTTCTCCTCCTCCCTCGTGATCATGCCTGCTAGTTCTCCTCCGCTCCTGCTCCCCCTCCCTCTCCTTTACCACCTCCTCGTCCTTCAAGCTCCTCCCCTCCCCTCGCCTCCGCGTCTCTCCTCCCCCCTCCTCCACCTTCGTACTGCTTTCCTCCTTGCCGCTCAAGCCGGAAAGGGTCGCGTAAGAGCTGTGCTCTGAAATATAGAGTCAGGACAAATATTTTGGAGGGTTGAAATTTTATTGATTGGGGAAAAACCGTGGTGTATATTGGAAACTGCGTTTCCAATATACTCATGCTCATCCTCCCTGCTCATCCTCCCTGCTCCCCTGCGTTCTCCTCTTCCCCTCGCGGGGGCCACGTGATCTCGGGGGGGGGAGGGGAGGGGGTAGTCACGTGACCCTCCCGAGGCCACGTGACCCCCCGCTGAAGTCATGTGACCCCCTCCCCCCGAGGTCACGTGACCCCCCCGAACCATACTAGACAATGAGGGGAGGAGGAGGAGGGGGAGGAGGAGGAGGAGGGGGAGGAGGAGGAGAGGGAGGGGCGCGGTTACGGCGACGCCGACGCCGCTCAGGCTGGAAACGGGCCCCTAAGAGCTGCGCTCTAAAATAGGCTGATAAAACACATTCTGTGTTAATACTTTCCCAAGGAAATTGCCAAAAACAAAGATGTTGGCGATGGACAATGAATCAGTCATAATAAGCGCTGAAAAGGCCTATAGACCTTTTCAGCGCTTATTGTTGCGACCAGGCCGACCAGACGGTCACGATAAGACAGCAGCCGAGGTGGCCGAAGAGGGATCAAGCTAGCTGTACACCCCGTGACTGCCGAACAAAAAGTGATTTTATTTCCCCGCCGCTCTTGAGAAGAAAACAATAATGCCGCCGTGTGGAAAGGTAGCGCCATCTGTTAGATGGGCACAACACTACACTTATCACACAGGCGAAAAATGCTAAGGCACTGGGCTGTGGACGTGTGCGCTGCACGTCATACCCTTTTGTAAAGAAAAAGAGCTACTGTGCACGCACAGAATGCCTTCGCCAGTCCAGTAGACAAAGCGTGCAAAAGGCGGTTATTAGAACGGTCTATATTTCTGACAGGAAGAAAATGCACAAGTTCTGCCGCCAGCACTCAGTCGTTGCTTTCCGCCAATGAAAAGTGTCGATCCATTTTAGGACATGGAATGTTTTACACTTACACAAACCGGTCATTCACCTGCAGATAACTCGATTAAAACATGGTGTAAGAGCTCACTTAATCATTTCAAATATTTCAAAAAATTCTTGTTGACATAGGAAATCATCTGCATGCGCAGCGTTTCTGGTTCAATCGTAGACCTGCCCAGTCTTCGGATGTATCTTAACTGAGAGAATGCTTTCTCAACATCAAAACTTTTGTTTGCAACACACAGCAACGTCAGCGAGCCATCCGGTAGTCTGAGGTAGCCCTTTCTTATCAAAGATGCCTTCGCTAAAATAATTTTCTTGCTTTTGATTTTGTCCTTTTATTTCCTTTTTTTTTTTCAGAAAGTATTATTTTGTGTTGTCCGTGTTGTCGTTACCTTCTTCGCTTTGTCCCTGTCCTTCGGCACTTCTATCCAGTCATGAACCAACTAGCCCAACTGAACTTTTTGTTACTCAAATATCTTTTGGATTGCTTCTGTGATGCGCACTTTCAACAAGTTTCGTTAATGAGCTTCACAATTCTACAATGCAAAAAAAACAAAAAAAAAAACATGAAAATGGTGGAATTTTTGTTCTGAATTTGGTTAACAATCGTGTTAAACCCAACTTCAAAAAAACAAACAAAAAAAAAACATATTTGGGATGTAAATATAGGAAAATATTGGGTTTCACCTGAAAACGAAGGACCCTATATATATCTGATGGTAGAGTGGGGGCCCAAACAAGGCAAGACTCGCCAATAAATAACTTCAGTAGAAGCATGCCAAAGTATGCCATTCGGTCGTAGCGCGAGTTGGCAAAATGAGAATGGACCTACTTGCGAAAAAACTGGTTCAGATATTATGAGCACGTTCAAACGAGAAGGACCAAATGAGAATGGGACGAAATGCGCAAGGTTCAACCCTTAAAAGCCCAAAGGGAATATGCTTCCCACTTCGAAAAAGGCGCCATAAACAACTGATGCAATTTTTTTATTTTTTCTGTATTGTGGCGCCATCTAGCCACATGCCTAACAAACTACACAAAATTATTTTGAAGGTTTTCGGTGCGTCCACTAGGCGGCGAGAATGGTTTTTCCCGGCAAGGTGGCATGGCTTCGGTTCTTTGTGCTCGTACAATTTGCCGAAGAAACTTTAGCCTGAGGACGGCAAAAAACAACTTCTAAAGGTGAGTCTCTACGGCATCCCGTGCATCGATTTTAACCACTTATAAGCATGTTCATTGCGTTTATTAGATGCTGTAATGGTTTTTCCCGACCATAGGTGGTGGGAATATATTTCCCTATGGGCCTTTAGCAGAACATTATACCTGCGCTTGTTTCTCCGCAGATGTCGAAGTTCTTGTCAGTGGACGAGGCACTGGATGTCTTTTTCTCCCTGCCTGATGACCCAAACCAGTCAAGTGACAGCGAGGAAGAAAAAGACGGCGACGATGTTCCGTCGGGTGCGGTAACCCGTTCGAAAGTCCAGCCGAGTAGCACAGCGTCACAAGGAGCAGCACAAGTGAGTGCGTATGATGTGCACTCAAGTGATGACGCCAGTGATGATGAAGAGACCGCAAGTGAGTGGACAATACGTTCGCTTCCCCACCAAAGCAACATTCCCGATTTTTGCTGCCAAACACCTGCAACTCCTAAGCTTCCTCCAACGCACACGCCAATAATGATCTTTGATGCCCTGTTCGGAGGTGCTTTGACCATACTCGTTGAACAAACGAACATATACGCCAAAGAAACCAAAAAGAAAGCTTGGCAGGATACTACAGTTGAAGAAATGAAAGGATTCCTAGCAATTCTCATCAGAATGGGCATTCTTCAACTTCAAAACAGACGGGACTACTGGTCCACGGACAGCGACCTCGGAGTGGCATCAATTAGCTCAGTGATGCCAAGAGCACGATTTTTTCAGCTTCTTCGATCACTGCATGCCAACGACAACAAGACAGCGACTAGAAAAGGAGACGTCGGCCATGACCCTTTGCACAAACTTCGACCTCTTATCACAGAGCTCTCCGAAACATTCAGAGCTAGCTACCAGCCATCTGCATACCACTCAATTGATGAGAGTATGATTCTGTTCAAAGGAAGGAAGTCATTCAAACAGTACATGCCCATGAAGCCTATCAAACGTGGGTTCAAAGTATGGGTGCGTGCTGATGCTACAACTGGCTTTATTAGCCAGTTCGAAGTCTACACGGGCAAAGAGGGCGATGGCGGTAGGCTCGGCTACAGGGTAGTCAAGAAATTCACTGAGGAACTTGTCGGGACAGAGTGTCTGGTAGTGTTCGACAACTTTTTTAGTTCACCCGAACTCCTGCAGGATGTGTTTGACCACGGGATATATGACCGTGGGAACTGTCCGTGCACAAAGAAAAGGTCTTCCTGATGTTGTGAAGAACAAAAAGAAAATCAATGAAGGCGACCACAACTACAAGGTGAAGGGAAATGTTGCTGCGATCCAGTGGCAAGACAAGCGGCTAGTCAATGTAGTAACAACAGCCCACTATCCTTCAGAGACGGTAACAGTGAAAAAGAAAAATAAGGACGGGTCAAAGAGAAGCATCAAGTGTCCACTAGCAATTGTGCAGTACACGAAGCACATGCGGGGAGTAGACCGCTTTGATCAGCTGCGAGAGTATCACACCGTTACTCGTAAGTCAAGAAAATGGTGGATGCGAATCTTCTACTTTCTTCTCGACTGTGCTCTTGTGAATAGCTTCATCCTTTACCAGCTGTCAGAGGGGGAGGCGAACCACCAGAGTTTTCTCCTAATACTTGCACGCCAGTTGGCCAACGGCTATAATGGAAGGAAAAGGTCAGCCACGACCGCTTTTCGACGCGTCTTGCAGCAAGCAAGTACCAACAAAAACCTTGGCGTGCCAGATGAGGTGCGCCTGTCCAACGGGCCACATTACCCACAGGGCGAAGCAGCCTACAAGAGGTGTAGGTACTGCTCCACGGCCAAAAATGACAAAAGATCAAAGATCACATGCACAACTTGCAAAGTATACCTTTGTGTGGTGCCTTGTTTTGCCAAGTTTCACCAAGAGTATGTGTGGCACTGAAGGCCCAGAGGGAAGAATATTCCCATGCCCTAATTAATGGCTTTCAAGTAGTATTTTCATACCTTTTTTATTATTTGTGCTTGTGAGGCAATAAACATTATTTCTAGCGAGTTTCATGTTCCTATCACTGATAGAAACCTTATGGGCTTTTAAGAGTCAAATGCGAATGGGACTTTCAGATACACCCCTAAATAATGGGGGGGGGGGGCATGAAGAGGCTAGTGAAAGGTCTGCTATTGCTTGCAGCGCACCTGTCACCAGTAGCTAGGAGCAGCAGGTAACGTGACGGGACGTGCAGAATCCCAAAGACGGTGGCCGCATAGCCGACCGCGGCCTGTCGCACGGCCGGATTGTGGCTCTCGACGTTGGCCGCAACCAGGGCAAGCACCAGATCCTGGGTGGCGCTGTCCGCAGCCTGGAAGGCTGGTGCCAGCATTGACAGCGCCTCCTGCAGTGCCATTCGCACCTCTCCCTCCTCCTGCGCAGACATTGTTAACATTTGTCAATAACCGTCTCCAAAGATATCTACAAAAAAAAAGTATTGTCTTTTTTTAATTTTTCAAAGGCGTTCTAGATGCATGGTATCTCCTCGTGTCTTTGCACTCCTTCTTTTGCAAGCACAGTTATGAGGGCACTCAAAGACATTGTGAGGGCTCTGTGATTATATAAAGCCATCACAGTGTCATAGGACACTGTGATGTCACGTGATGCGAGTGTCACGAGACATCATGAAGACATTGTGAAGTCGTGTGACGTCATAAGTCATACGTTATAATGTCAAATGACGTCATGGTGCCATGTGACATTGTGACAATGTGATACAGTGTCACATGACATGTCAGTTTTTTTGGGGGGGGGGGGGGGGGGTCTAAATTCAGTCTCTTAAACTGTGATTGCCAGAGACAAAAGGTTCAGCCACCATTATCAAGTTCAATCCAGTCTACGGCTAAAGTGTCGCTAGTCCAGCTAGTCCGGACGCACCTTGGCGAGACCCTCGAAGAGCGCACTCAGCATGCTGAGGTCGCTGGAAGCCAGATGGGGCAGCTTGCGTCCCAGCTGACCCAAGGCAGCACACGCCAGTACCCGCAGCTTGGAATCCTTGAAAAGAAGACAGGCGAGGTCAATCACTCGCGCCCAATTGCAATGTATCACCGAACACGTGGTAGAGCACTGACTGCGATTTGCTTCACTCCATGTGCGAGCATGTTGCCCAGAATGATGCCTACACTGCACAAGGGCGGACGTGCAGCAAGGAGGCTCAAAGCCTGAGCTCGCTCTTGCAGCTTTTGTTGCACTTGCACTTAAGGGGGGGCCACTTCCTTAGAATCTATTTTAGAAGTTGCGTTTTTAAAAGGTAGCATTATCAGCTCACAGAATTTCTGAGGGATACTGTCAAAACATTTTAGTCCTGTACCTAAAGTATTTTTTCTGGAATAAATTCTTTATTTTACACTTTTTTTTCTGAGGAGAACCAATATCTATGACATTTCTTTTTATAGTAACTGACTACAAGTATTCTACTACACATTCCTCCACAAAAAAACAATTGATTATCAGTACCGTTTTAAAATTATGAATTCCTAAAACAGACAGACTTTTTATTCTACGTCGGCATACGTGAACCCTCAGTAAAACCTCCAGGATTGGTTTGCCTAGCTGAAATTTAGCCTACAGTTCTATATGATTACCAACATAGCACCCTACAAGTTTCATTCAAATTGACGAAGTAGTCAATAAGAAGACTTTTCCGGGTAGTAGTACCCTCAGAGTGAGGTGAAGTATAAGGCAAGTGGCTGCTAAAAGTTTAGGAGTCAAAACACCCAAGAAACCTTGAGTCCCCTTTGAAATGATCATATCAAGACTATTCACAGGCTCACAAACTTTGCAAAACAAAGCTGTGTCAAAGACCTGCCCGTTTAGTTTGCTCCATCCACATTTCAAAGTTCCCAGCAGAGGGTATAGCATCAAGATGCTCAGCTACACACGCATGCGTAAACAAGGCAAGTGTCTGATCCACAGTGCTGCCTTAATGCGTAGCTCAACTATGCTCAGAATATACCTCAACTGGGGAACATGCTCCGAGCATCCGAGCACACAGTTACAGTACGGCCATGAATTCGTAGGGTAGGTTTGATTCTCAATTACTGCCAGCCCTTTGTAAAATTCCTTCCACGGCTTGGCACAGACAAAGCACGCCGCACTTAAAGGGGCAGTGCAACGATTTTAACGTCGAAAGAATTTTCAGCTTGTCCCTTTCATATTGTTTATTTTGGCACGCGAGAGAAAACACGCCATCTTCCCTTGAAATACTGCGATTCCGCTGTGATTACGCAGCGGAATCACTGTATTTCCTGGAAGCCTTCTATCAGAAGTCAAAAAAACTATTTCTTCTTAGTCACTACCTTGCCCCTCTTTCCCGTGGCAAACCGTCTTTTGTCTCACTCGTTTGCCCCAACATTCGACGAGGCTAAGCGGGTGCACTGCTCTATTGTGGCTGAACCGGACCGGGAATACTCGACAATCGCGGAGGGAGGGCTGGGGACTCCGAAAATAGAACCATGTCTGGTACTTCGTGTTCTAATGCAAACTCTGAACGCCAGGAGCCGGACGCCACTGTTCGAGCGCGTTCGAGGGTTGAGTGGAGAAAACGGCAGCTAGCTTGGTGTCTACCCACTGATCATTTCAGTCAGAGCTCAGTGTTCCAACGTCCTCGCGTGCTCTTGTCTCCTTCTCTCTCTCAGTTTCCCCCTGCACAGGTCACTTACAGCACATTTTCTAATTACTACACTCAGAAAGCACACATTTATATTGCGACGATCTAAACTAATGGCATGTTCGCTTCACCTTCTTACTTCGTCGTCATCATCATCACCAAGATTGGATGATAGGGTCCGCGGAGGACTCAGACTCGCGCGCCAGCGCGGGACATTCAGATGCTCGGAGCTGCTAGTAAACGGTCGTACGAAATACAATGGTCTCTCTTCATCACGATACAGTTACACAGATTGTTTTGAAGTTTCATACTCAGGTTGTTCACAGGCATGTTTTAAAGAGCTTTTCCTGTTTTTTTTTTTTTTTTCAGGATTAATTTTTTTCTTTTTTTGATCTAGAACTTGATCTGAATAGATTTTTTTTAGGGTTGCATACTCCATAAATTAGAGTGTGAGAACATTTTTGAATAATGTAAGTTGCAATATTTGGTAATTGGCCAAGACTTCAATGACTGATTTGCAATTATTAGCGAAATAATATTGAGTTGTGATAACTTTTTAGGATGAAGCTAAAATTCTAAGAATGGTTTTTACGCACTTTTTTTTGTTTGTAAAATTTGCGTATATACTTTGTGCCATAGTTTTTGATGGAGATATTGTAGAAAAGTTGTTCAGGTACAAATGCGATGACGTTGAGGGTTTCATTGGAAACTATAATAGATCGAAAAATGATAAGTTTGTGTTTATAGTAGATGTGAGAAAGTACTAATATAAACTGAATGAGAAATGAGAAAAAAAATTATCAAGACCAGGGTCTCCCCTTAACCTAGCGCATTCTTGTTGCTCTAATTAAACATTTTCCCGATGTCCAAGTAATATGGTCCCATCTGCCGAGGCAGACATCCTAAAAGGGTGAAACACTGCTGAGCCTACCAGCTCTTCGGGAGGCAGAGCTAGAGCCAGCAGAGACGTCATCAGCTGTCGGCCCACGAGGCTCAGCTGCTGTTCTGAATTGCTGAAAAGAAAGAGAAAAGAGTCGCTGGTAAATCAGACCGCCTGCCCTTTGTTCCACGAAAACGTTCCCACGACAACAGAGTCCCACAAGATGAACGAACAACCGACACCATTTGGCAACTTTTGGGGAGCCAAGCAATCTGCAGCAGCACAGCTTGTTCCCAAACGTTTTTGTTGCTCACCAAAAAGTCCCCAAGAATGTGGACTTGGCTCGCATGCAAGCAGCGTTTGGTCAGTGTTTGTCCGGTAGGAAGAGGCTATGCAATAAAACAGAGATTCTCAGATCTTTCTAATATCAAGGAACGACTATCTTTCTTGATGGATACTCACGAAACTTCTCCCGGTCTCATCATTAATGCAATAAAACAGTGCAGATGCCTATAGACCTTGTAAACAATAATGTACACACAGTGACACTGCTAGCGTGAACAAGCAATCATCGGTTTTCCCTGTTTTTCTCTAAGGCTGTCATCAAGATTAATAGTGCAGTAAAAACTGGTCGTTTGATGCACTAACCTAAGTGGTGAAACTTGATGCATGCCAATATCTTTTAGAAGTAAAATGCGTCGTTAGGCTTGGCGTCGCTGGAGCACCGACACCTTCGACGCACAAGAACCGACGTTGTAACAACACTCCTTCATTTCCCATCTCGATATGTCCACCGCGAGCCGCGATCCCCTGTCGTCCCATTCATCCCCTCCAAGAGCTGGTGCACTGGGAAGTCCGTGTATGGCTCCGGTCGTCGTTGCCGCCGTACGCTCCTCACAGCGCTAAAAGTGCCGACGTTGTGTTCGCACCGACAGTGTCGCACAGTGTACGTACCAGGAAATTTCTGAAATGTAGTCGTGCATCAGTGAATGGCTCAGATCTTCTAAAATATTGCTTCAACTGGATGAACACTTTACCTAGGGACAACCAAGGAAATTTGGGATGATGGGGGGAACTTGTGAGAGTCAACCAGGGAACACTAGGAGTGCCAAAAGAATGCGGGACATCCTTACTCACTGCAAACACATTGACTGCACGAACTGGAGCGCCATCCCCTTCAGCTTGACGTTTGTGTTGTTCGGGCTGTACAGGGCGTTGAAGGTGACCTGCAAGCGAGACGAGTGGAAGGAATGGTTAGACGCTGTACAAGGTGCAAACAGGGGTGCAGGGAGCGCAAGAAGAGCAACAAAAAAATGCGTCAAAATACCCGCTGTAGCAACGCCGATTTTCGAAAATATGAGTTAGCATTTAGCGCGGGGGTTCAGTGTCTTTCGAGAGTCAGTCTGTCCTCTTGGGCATTTGCTGTTTCAGACGCAGTCATAACAGCTTCCCTCGAAAGCACCTATGGTCCGCATACAGATGTCTTCAAAGAGCCAATCATTCCTCCCAGGCGTCGGCGAGTTTGCACAAACAGCGTCATTGCTACGTTTCGGTTTTGTGTTGCGCATACCGTGAAAACGAAACCATGTGCCTATGCCCCAATTGCATAGTGAAGAACCGAATCCAGCCTAGTCCATTCCAAAGATGGCTGCATGCACCGAGGCAATAAATGCTCACGGATTTAAAAGACAACCAGCCCGTACCAAATTTTCTAGAAAGCAACTCTGTCGTTTAAACGCTCCTTCGTACGAGCCTCTCTAACCCCTCCGCCCTAGGCCTCACCAAGATTCCCGGCGAGAAACAAAGTGTTTTTAAATGCCTTTCATTCGTAGGGCTAGCTCTTAGGGTCTCCATCTCTATGCACGAATGTAGCCTCGGTGGAATGTGATGTTACAATGCCACATAAGCCTCGTGCACACGCGATGTAACATGATGCGTTACATCACCCGGTCACGCGACGTGACCTGACGGCCCGACATTGTGAAGTGGGCAAGTGCACACCAGCTCGAAGCACGTGGAGCGAAAATACGCGCTGCAGAACCCAGGGATTCTGGCTACAATCCCCACCCCTGCCCGTTTCGATCTGGATGAGCATTGTACCGGCGTGCGGTCGTGTATCACTACTGCGTGGTGCACATTAAAGACCCCAGGCTGGCAGTGGTGCCGCACTGGCTAAATTTCTCATCTACAGCATCAACCAGTGTTGCCGCACCTTAAAGGCAGACCGGCCTTATGCAGTACAAACAAGAATGTCAAGTTTGATTTTGTTTTTACACCGTGACGCAACGTCATAACATTGTGAGACTCCATTACGTCACGTGACAGTGTGACGTTTTGTGACACCATTACGCCACAATAATGTCACATGATGTCGGCACAGAAAGACCGATGTTTTTGTAACAACTTTGCGTGACACTTGGAAAGCAGCCCTAAAACCCATGCAGTGTGGTGATGACAAAAATGACGCAAGACAAAGACACGCACCATGAGAGCGAGTGGCAGTTGAGTCGCCGCCTCGCGCGACTTCAGCAGGCTTGGGAAGAGCTTCAGACGGATCCGTGTGTTGGCAGGGCTCCGACGCTGGTCCTCCGGAATCGCTGCTAGATCCTGGACAGTAAAAACACTGGCTGCCTCTTTGGTCTTCCCCAAGGCGTTCCAGTCCTAGCATGTATAGGAGCCTCCTCGCGGTCCCTCTTTTGCAGGCACAGTAAAGAGAGCACTCAAAAGCATGTTGCAAGGGTTTTGCTAATATATAAGGCCATCACAGCATCACGCGACTGTGCGACATCAAGTGAAGTCATGGTGTCGCCAAACGCAACCGTCTTGCGATGCCACGGTGTCGGGTAACAACATAATTATGTCACGCAACGCTGCAATGTCGCACGACGCCTTAGGATGACGCGACGTTATAGTGCAGCGTGACTTCAGTGCCACGTGATGCTACATCACGTGATGTCACAGTATTACACAACGTGGCAGTATTGCACGACACTGCAACGTCACGTGACGTCGCGCAACGCCGTCTTGCGACGTCATATAGTGGCACCCGACATTGCGGCATCACACTGTCGCGCGATGCAAAGGTGTCAAATTAAGTTACGATGAAGCACGAAGACATAGTACGACACAAAGTCGTGGTACAACACGAGATTAGTGTCACATGACATCACAATGACGCGCGACATCCCAGTATCACGTGACGTCGTAGTTTCAGGCGATGTCACGCTGTCACGGGACGCAGACGTCACATGCCACAGACACAAAACGCCCGAGGTTGGCCCTGTAAATGCTACGCACTTAAATTTCTCCGTCAGTTACCGTCGCCGATGGGATGAGAACAGCAGGGCATACATCTAGGATGCCCAGCCTCCGACAAACGCCTGTTGCCTACTGCTGTGCCTTGGCTATGCGTGTACGCTCGAGGGGCACAAGACGCCAGAGCTTCATCGAGGGCGAGAAGCACGCACCAAAGGCTAAAACTAAAACTCCTCTCTGCCATTCTCACCCTGCAAGTTGCTTCCATGTGGCATACTGCAAGTTGCTTCCATGTGGCATACTTCCAGCTCGAAATCTCGCTGGATGCCACGTTGACGAGCTTTTGCTATGTGCCTTTCTACACACGTATGCCACTGTGTTTTCAAGCTCGGTCGAGTTTTTTGTTTTTTTTGTTGTTTTTTTTGCCTTGTGATTGCTTACGTCTGCTGGAGGAGTCGACGACACGAAGGAGCATCATCTAATACTCTATTTCTATACACACCGGTCTTTATTCGAGTAGGCGATTGAGAAGTTGACCCGCTGGCGGCCATAAAGGCCCCGGTAGATGATGCCCTAGCGACTACGAAAGGAACTAAGTCAGAATAAGCTTGTTCCCGACCGGGCTTACTGAACTCTGTCGTCGACGGAGTCACTTGCCGTGCTTCGGCATTCCACCGGCATAAAAAAACAACACTAATAGTTAAGCATCTATGTGTAAAGAAATGAGAAAAATGTCAAACGCCGCATCGACATGACGGAATGCGGCTTACTGGAACGGAAAAGGCGATTCGGCAAACCGCACGAAATAAAGTTTTTCGGCAGTTCCCACAACGTCCGTGTGCAACGGTTAACATAATGCACGTACCTGACCCTTCGGAGCACACGTGCCGAGGAACAACCCGAAGAGACGCGACACCAACGTGGGATCGTTCCAGTCCACGGTGCTAGAAGAAAAGGAATCGGTGCCGTGCTTAGTGGCCACTCTTCTGCAACCTGGGAAACTGGATTGCCAATTAAAGGGCAGCTCCGGCAAAATGTTGGCAGTTGCAGACTTGCCTCGAAATTGGTTCAACACATTATAATAGAAAGATCTGAACTAGTAACACAAATTGCAAGTCACAATAACTTTTTTTTGCGAAGCTAATGAATATAGAAATTTAATCCGAGAGGCCAATAGGCTCAACTGACAACGTTGAAAATTTGACGCCGGATGTATAGCATGTAATGTTGCCCTCAGTACAGGCTGTCGTCTGTACCGAGGGACATGGGCCCGTCCCACCCCTCGCCCTTTGTTTGTCTTGGAATCGCAGCGGGAGTTTTGGTTAAGTTTTGGTGGCTTATGCACTAAATCTCTTGCCGTTATATTTCCGAAAAAAATAATATCTATAGCAAAATCTAAAAAAAAAGAAATAGAATGCAAAAAGTTATCTTCAAGCCAAGATCAACTAGCCGAAACCAACTAGCCGAATAAGGCTAGTTGGCTTCATCCACGATGAAGGACTTCGTGGATGAACCTCTGAAAGGTTTGCGCGGAGTTGCGCAACCCGAAGGGCATACGGACATACTCAAAGAGGCCGAAGGGGGTGGTGATTGCCGTCTTCGGTATATCCGCAGGTTCTATTGGGATGTGGTGATACGCCTTCACCAAGTCTATCTTGCTGTAGATAGATGTGCCATCCAGGTGCTGTGTGAAGTCGTGGATATGAGGCAATGGGTACCGATCGGGCTGTGTTTGATTGTTCAGCGCTCGGTAGTCCCCACACGGCCTCCAGTCTCCCGGATCTTTCTTGGGGACCATGTGGAGGGGTGTGGCCCAGGAACTCTGTGATGGCCGGATGATGCCGAGCTCCTGCATGTGCTCGAACTCTAGTCGGGCTACGCGGAGGCGTTCGCCCGATAGACGACGAGGGCGAGCAAAAGTGGGTGGGCCAGACGTGACAATATGATGTGTCACTCCGTGTGGTGGTATCTCTGATATTTTAGACGTCTTCGTGATCTCTGGAAATTCTTTTAGAATATCGGCAAAACTGGAAGCCGGCAGGATGTTTCGAATGCCAAATGAAGTTAAGTTGGTGAAGGCTCCATTGACCGCAAGGCGAGTTCTGTTGTCAGTCAGGCGACGGTGGTGCATACTGACATCCAAATCAAAGTGGGAAAGGAAGTCAGAACCTAAGAGTGGGTAGGTCACATCGGCTATGACAAAGATCCATCGGAAGACTCGGCGTAATCCCAAGTCTAGGGTCACCGAGCGCATTCCGTATGTTGGAATATTGGATCCGTTTGCCGCAACGAGGTGTGATCCGGGCTGTGGGTGTCGTCTTTCCGCTAGTGTTGGAGGAAGGACGGACATTTCAGCTCCGGTGTCGACCAAGAAGCGGCGGCCTGAAATGCGTTCTGTGATGAAAAACAGACGGCTTGCTGTTGGGTCTTGGTCACTTGCCGCCCCTAGTGACGGGCCGGAGCGTTTTCCTGCCAGTTGCATGGTTGTTCGCACTTGCGTGCCCTGCTGCCGAATGTCTGGTGGTACCAACAGGTATCACCTTCTCGTCGTTGCGATGAACTGCGACGTCGAGATGATCTGCGCCTTCTTGGTTCACGTGATCTGCTTCTCGTGCTAAGGGCCGCGACGCTTGCTGTTAAAGCGTCAATGCGGGCTTCGAGGGCTCGTGTGGAGGAGCACTGGTGTGAAGTGTCCGCGACGCTCGACAGGTTAGGTGTAGCGTATTCGGCGACGCGATCGGCCATCTCTGCGAGGCGGTCAAGACTTAAGTCTGCAGCTGGGGCGAGGGCCATGCGCATCCCTTGGGGCAAGCGATGGAGGAACGATTCCCGTAAAATGGGATTGCTTGTGTCAGACGCTTGCTCACCCAGCAGTTGCCGCATGCGGTGGAGCAGCTGGGATGGGCTACGGTCGCCCAGCTCTTCAGTGTTCAAGAGCTGCTGAAGCCGCGATGTCTCAGACTCCGTCTTTCTGGCGAGGATTGTGCGCTTGAGGTAGTCGAAAGCGTCGTCAGGAGGAGGCACCGCTAGTATGTCGTCCAGCTCATCAGCCAGTTCTGGGGGGAGGGCCGACACGACATAATAGTAGCGTGATAACTGGGTGGTGATGTGCCGCAAGTGGAACTGTGCTTCCACTTGGGAAAACCAGGCCCGTGGATTTTTCGCCCAGAAGACTGGAAGGCGGAGCTGGACGGTGGTGGTCAATCCTGCGTCGTCGGTGGAGTTGCCTGCGCTCTGGTTCATTGTAGTCGGACGTCCGGGTCACCAATTTGTCGGCGGTGTGTTCGAAAGCGCCGGAGAAGAAAAAGGACATCCGGCTCAGAGCTTAGACAAAAGGCATATATTCTCTTATATCACGCGGCTTCCGAGGCCACACGGTAGCGTGAGCTGGCGCGCTCACCGGCACTGTGCCCGGCGCAGTGGAGCCTTGGTTGTTTGGTCTGGAACAACATTCACTCTGGTGTTTTCTACAACCCGTGCGGTTGTCGCAGCTGCCGGCTCTGCTACAAGGTAAGAAACTGAGGGAGAGATGACCGTGTCAGAGCACCGAGCTCGGATTGGAAGAAAAGTGGGTAGACACAAAGGCAGCTAAATTGGTGGCTAGCTGCCTTTCTCTCTTCTCACTGTTCAAATGCATTCGAAATCGAGAAGTGAGAAGAGACAAAATAAGTTAACCCTCGCAATTACCCTGTTGAGGAAGTCGAAAAGAAGAAAGAAGAAGGCACGAGGAATTGAAGTACTGATCGAGTCTTTAGAAAGAGGAAGATGAGGGTGTTGTTCTTTTTTACCATTAAACCCGACGGTCACATAGACCTTCTGATGCTAAAGTCCACCGCCTCACTGATAGATCTTTAATGGTATATTCGGCCGGTCACTTTCGAGCGCTCCAATCATCCGAGTTGGAGCTATCAGATCCCGGAGTGCCTCTGCATCGGAGCATGAGAATCGGCGCGCCCAGCCGAACGCTCCTCAACTTTTCAAAGCGGCAAGCCGAGCAAATAGAGGGTGGCCTGCGTCACTATAGGACGGCGCAAGCCGCCCTCTAGCGTCAAACAACCCGGCAAACTTCGCTTCGTAAACACGGCTCTCGTCGTCGTCGTCCGAGCGGCTGGTGTTGTCGCTGTCTGCTAGCTTCGCCAGCAGCACTGACAGTGCCACCCCTAACATTAAACGTCTTCGTTTCAAAAATATTTCACCTCAATTCGGGGAGTACAACACAACGGTGACGGCGTCGAGACTGACAGCTGTTTTTCGCAGCCCTCTTTCTGCGGAGTAGCTGCGTTCTCGCCGTCCGCTTCCGACACAAAAGCAAAATGGCGGAATGGCTGAAGTCACGCGACCGGTCGGCAGCCAGATCTCTCGCGCGCTCCCACTTCCAAGTCAGAGCGCCTCAAACCGCTCCGATTCAGAGGACGGCGAAAGTCGGAGCTTCGAGAGCGCTCCGAAAGAACCACCCGAATATACTTGGAGCGCCTGGCATCGACCAGCCGAATGCACACCGGCTTTTCAGAGTGCTCCAAAAGGCTGAAAAGCGACCAGCCGAATATACCATAAGAATTCCACATACCCGCTAATCCTTCCAAACTGAATTCGGTGCCCCGACGTCCCCTCACGCTCTTGTCTCCACCTCTCCCAGTTTCTTAACGTATAGACCGACCTCACCAGCCAGTCCTCACCAGCCCCTTGTGAACTAAAGTTATGGTGGTGTCGCACATGCGTTCAATGCTCTATGAGATCAGTCTATTATAATCACCGACAAGGCGAGGACAGCAGGGGGGAGCTTCGGCTACTCCGCCTCCAGCGCGAGCATCATACCTGCCACAACGTCTCAACGTTGCGTGCAACTGGGATGTGCCTGCGCAGCCAAAGTACCGTGGAAGGCACGTAGCGCGTGCTGGAAGCCAAGCGTATGAAAAACACACCCCATTCTTCTCATTTTGTCAGCGACTATAACCATTTCAGAAATATTGAGCAGGCGGTCGTGCGACACCATACGAATGGACGGCGTCGGCCGGTACGACGTTTCAATAATGTTGCGTCGCCATTGACTGGAGATTCCAATGACACATCGCGCAGTATCTCGCGTAAACCACAGCCGACCGAAACACGGAACAGCTAGCACCAGACACATTCTCCCAGATGCGCTACACAAATCGCTCGGTCACACCGGCGAGTCCGATCTTCGCTTGGCAACGTTCTCTTCTATGTGCCGCTTCGCTTTCGCGCGCGGCGTGATTGTGACATTGAATGCGTTCGGTCCCAACAACCAGGCCAAGACAGTCGGCGCATACGCATCGACGACGTCTCCCTTCACGGGCGCGTTTATGCCGCCGAGCAGCCACCACTTGCTCCGGCGTGTGCTTCGGCCACCTCGTTCTTGCGCGCAAAGGCTTAGGGCACCGAGGGAACGAGCAACTGAAGGCAAGAAAGAGTAGGTGGCGAGGAGCGCGATCACGTGACCCCCAGTGCAATCACAATCGGCCGAACGCGCTGCGCCTCAACCGCAACTATTATCGGCAAAGGGAGAGAGTTCCACTGCTGTACTCGCCCTCTCCCAGCGCCAAAGCCGCTGGCAATAAACGCGCGCGCGCTCCGTTCGTTTCTGCCAACAAGACGCTCGTCCAGTAGTGTCTATCCGATCGCTTGGACCACCGACACGGCGAGGGAGAAGAAAAAGAGGAAAAGGAGGACACTCTAGCAACGGCGCTCACACCGGATTGGCTGGCTCGTAAAGATAGACGCTGCCCCTGTCAACATAGGTAGCAGTTACAATGAGTTTCCGAAGCGGTAGCGTAGCTTAGTGGCAAGGTGTCTCCCTCATACGCAACCGGCCCTGGTTCAATCCACAGTGTGGGCTTACATATTTTTATTCTTTTTTTTTTTCAAACATTTTATTTTGTTTAGGCATTTGGTGACATTTACGACATTTCTTTTTTACGATTAACACTGAAAAAAAAAAAATGCTGTCGACAAAACTTTGTTGAACTAAATGGTATGGCACTCCTTTCCGGAGGTGCATGAGGGACAGTAGGGTTTGGGTTGCCGGCTGGACACCGCGAAGCAGCGAGTACAGGGGGGGCCAAGTAGGTTAATAGTTCTGTAATGAGCAGCCGCAGACTGTCACCGCGAAACGGCGTGAACGGTGGTGGGGGGCTGGGTTAACACGCATCCCAGTGACACACGCGCCGTCTGAATCCGAAGTCCGGATTCCCACGAGTTGCCGAGCAGCCAATCCAGCGTGAGCACCATTGCTAGGGTGTCATCGTTGCTAGGGTGTCCTCCTCTCCCCCCTTTTTTTTCCCTCGCTGCGTTGGGGGTCCAGGCGATTGGATATACACCGCCCAGTACAGCAAGCCCGGTACAGCTGATGCTGTAAAAAATATTCAGTTTTAGGAAGAATGGTGAAATTGCTTTCAGCATTCCCCCGACCATCAGACACTATCTTCTTCTGGGGTGACACCTAGAATTGGTACAGGAAGGGAAACATACCTTCCAAGTGCCTTCAGCTTCATTTCAGCAGCACTAGCAACGCTGCAAGAAGTAAAGGCGTACCCATTAGCAGACGCAGCAAAGGTATCAAATAGCTTGGCAGAAAGCTTCAACTGCTGCACAAATAAAAGAGAGACCGCAAGCAATCACAGAGTGGTTGTCAATTAGTTAAAGTATCAGTTAAGGCTGGTTCACACACTTGTACTGATTTAATGGTTCTAGACAATGCCTAGAAAGTTTATAATTGAAGCCATATTTTTAGATGTACCAGTTAGGAAGTTAATCACTCAACAGTAATTAAGAACCTAATTATGCCTAAGATTATTTATCTTCCTAAATAGGCTCTTTGGCAGAAGCCAATATGATGTCAACCTTTTTTTCTGTGAGATTAGTATGTTTTGAATATTTGGCCCGTTTAGAGAAACATCCCATTGCATGTTTAAAAGTCAAAATTCTATACAGCACTAACGGCGCAGGCTATACATGGATTAGTCTTTTTAGATAGTTCACTACGACAAGGCATGATGGATTTTGTGATTGTCATAGCATCCTAATGATGATATGTATATGATACAAGCTTCTTAGTGAGCTAGCCACCCCAAAGCAGGTATTTTTCTAGGTGTGATGTGTACGACAAGTTTTCACATGCCAGCCATTCAAATGGCGAGTAGGCACAAGGTGCGGACTACAGACCATTCCAATAATCGCCTATTCCATCCCGCACCCTTTGTCTGCTGGGCTGTGAAACGCGTTCGGAACACATGCAGTAGCTATCTTCCGCGGAATATCGGGCGTAGCACATGCATTTGATATTCCGCGTTCTTTGCCCGGGTGATCAGCGCTGAAAAGGTTTCTACAATGTCATTATATCAGCTCAGTTGTGGAACTCCCACACAAGGGGGTAGTACCATCGCTCTCCCCCTCAAGCCTGCCACCCGTCGTTTGAAGTGAGATCTAGAGGCTGCATTTCAAAACTTTTTTTCGGAGACACTGCGGTGAAGCGCAGCCTAGATGCCGTGCTTAAAAACCCGCGTAACTGTTGTTACTGTAGCAGCCGTCCCCTCCGAAAACGGTGGCGCATAAAACAACGGGAGGCGGACCCTAGGGGGAGAGGAAAGTACTGCTCGTAGAAGCGGCGTCTATGGGCAGTTTTGCAACTGAGTTGTCCTACAAGGGTGATCAAAAAATTATCCTCATCCAATTTTCTTAGATATTTTGTTGGCCGCACTGCCTTACAATAGATTTTTTAATGAGTTTGCTGTCTCTCAGACATTGTTGTGCAGGTTCAAACAGGTTAAGTCAGTTCAGTTGTGACTGAGGTGCGAGAATCAATGGCTGCCCCCCACTTATGATTTGCTCAAGTGGGGGAGCAATGTATTTGTGGCCTGAGGGTGTGCCTGGTGGTAATATTTATAGAAGATTTTGCGCACCGTATAAAGAAAGTGGTTTGTCACAATGAAGTGTGTTTGAAAGGATACAGAAGTTCAAGCAAGAACGCACAAGTGTTAGCCATAAAGAATGCGCCGGATGCACACCGACGTCTTCGACTGACGACCACATTGAGCATGCACTTGAACGGATTACGTACGTCGCATAGACAACTGACAATGGATGATGTAAAAAAAAAATAATTTGCAAATAAGCCAAGGCTTTGCCAATGCAACAATCTATGACCGGCTCGAGTATGAAAAGGACTCAATTAAAACAAATTCTGGAGCCTGAGAGTGAAATTTTTTTTAATCACCCTCGTAGTAACGTTGGGTGTCTAGAAAAGAGTGTATACTGAATCTCCTCTCCCCACCTGTGCCGGCTGTCGGCCGCAGCCATCAAGAGGTGAACCACGATGCTGCGCTCGGGGAAGACACCGGACGCCACGAACGTGAGCGCGCCCAGCTTGGCCTTCTCCAGCTCCTCGGGCGTGGGCGGTCCCTCGGGAAGCAGGCGAGCCAGCGATTGGTTGCTGAGGCAGGCGGGGGCAGTGCCTCCTGTCATGGACGGGTCCGCCCCGGAGTAAGGCAAGAGCAGCAGGTCCAGCAGACGCTCCCGCAAGAGTGCCAGGGTGTCCGACCCTTCGGGAAGGCCCAGCCAGCTGGCTCGCGCCTCCGGGCTCGACGGAAGCGTCACGTGCGGGATCGCCGCCAGCGCAAGCTGAATCAGGCTGCAAGGAACCGAGGCTGTGAAGTAACTACCGTATTGATTCAAATATAAGTCAACCTTGTTTTTGTTTTTTCGGAAATGTTGTCAAAAATTAAGGGTCAACCTATAATCGCGACCAAAAAATTTCTACCTACATTCGTGACCAAATTTTGCAACCCTATCAAGGGCATGGAGCTGTCGAGTCACCAAACCGGCACTGCCATAGATTTTTTTTTTTTTTTGGTACACAAACACGATTGAAACAGCAGGAGCTGGTGGCCAGCCCATCGTGGCTGCCGCTCACGCACATCCCTTGGGTGTCGTGTTTCACGCCTATAAAGCAGGGAACACATGAGCGGCGAAACGGGCGCTGCACGCTGATTCCCACAGCAAAAGCCCAGGACGCTGTGACGTGGACCCATGCCAAGCCACCATGTCACAGCGTGTGCGCAAGTTGCCATGAAAAATGCCGTGCGGCGCCCGTTTTTGTCGCTCCTGCGTTCCCCACTTAGGCTGCCGGCGCCGTTCGCACATTCCCCTCGCTACACGAGATCACGACATCCGACAGCATGACAAGCCGGCTCCCGTGACATCATTTGTTGCCACTTCGGGACTGCTTCCGGCGTACGGGCTGGAGCGGAGCACCAAACGCGCCAGCCAAAGACGCGTCCCAGGCATTGTTGCGGCTCCTCGGTGTCTCACCTGTCCTGGTGCTGCTGCGGCCTCCCGGCGACGCAAGCCAGCAGGTCGGGCAGCAGCTCGGCCTGCCGCGCCTTGTCCAGCCGCGGGAACCCCAGCTTCAGGTAGATCATAGAGAAGTTGAGGACGAAGGAGCTGGAGTTGGGGTCCTTGTACTGCTGGAGCAGCGGCTCCACGGGCAGCTGGACGCGCGGCCGTGACTTGAGGCGCTTGTTCACGTGCACCAGCACCTCCATGACCTGAAAGGCCGGAATTGAGGTGCCACGTGTTAAAGGGGCGGTGCGGCCCTTTTAACACTGAGAGAGCTTGCCACTCGTATTTTTTAATGACCCGAATTCATGTTGTACGAAATTACATAAAGCACCGACTTAATAGAAGTGCCTAATGTAACCACAAGCAAACCAATGAATGCTAGTAAACTAGTGCACGCAAGCAACAAAAGTTGACGACAATAAATATATATTGAAACTCGCGTACACCATTAATGTGAAATACTAATCAAAATATTGTCACACACACACGAAACAAATTTTTTAATAATACCAACAACAACAATTTAGCCCAAAATATGTTGAAAACCATTTCTATAATTAACAACATTAACTGCAACGCAGTATCAAGCGTTACGTCCGACGGAACCCGAAATAAAAATAAAGTTACGTCCGATGTAACTACGTGAAGGATTCGAGTTATGTCCGACATAACCCAAAATGATAATTAAAGTTACGTCCGACGGAACTCCAAATAAAAATTAAAATTACATCCGACGTAACTTTACCCCAAGGTTTCGAGTTAAGCCCGACGGAAGGTCGTGGTACCGGCACGCGTTGTGTAATTATTACTACACACGTTTGTATAGTTATATACGAGCAACACGATTTTTCTAGATCCCGGCACATATAGGGGCTTTAGACGCTTTAAACGAGCAATGGGCCCTCAATCTGTTGTACGAACCAGCACCCCAACATTGATATCTCAGGGTCTCAGGCTCGCAGCACGGGTGCTGCGGTTTCCATTTGGTTAATGTTTTTCTTTTCTTTTGTGTGTCACATCCAGGAAAAAGTAATTTCATATCGAAAAACAAATAAAAAAAAAAACTCTTAAAAAATTGTAAACAAAAAAAAAATGAAAAAAAAGAAAAAAAGAAAAAGCGTATGTGACTGGTTATTAACGGCCTCTACATATGAGGAGCACACTTCACCTCCTCAACAAACCTGGAGGTTCAGATTTTAACCAATTTACGAATGCTACATCAGACCGTGATTTTAACCAATTTACGAATACTGCATCGGATATAATGCACAAGTAATTTATAATATTTTTGTGTTTACGTCGTGTTTCGGCCACAAAGCGTAACATTCAGTAAGGTTCCGTAGGTTACACAGGCCGTAACTTATTTCTGACGGATGTAACTCGAAACCTTAGGGTAAAGTTACGTCGAATGTATCTTTAATTCTTATTTCGGGTTCTGTCGGATGTAACTCTGCTCTTTATTTCAAGTTCCGTCGGACGTAACTTTAATTTTTATTTGGAGTTTTGTCGGACGTAACTTTAATCTTCGTATGGGGTTATGTCGGACGTAACTCAAAACCTTGACGTAAAGTTACGTCGGACATAACTCATCATTTTTATTTCGGATTCCATCGGACGTAACGCTAGACACTGCGTAACTGCAAACCTAAGGCTTTAATACCACATAATATGCTGATGTCAGGGTAAGTTATAAATCATTGGACCGATTGAGCGAGCAATTTATAAAACCATCAATGGATGCGTAATTGAATATGGTTTGAGGAGGTTGTTTTACTCTACAACAGTCCTGGGGAAAAAAGTGAACTGATAAGGTTTATCGTTCACTTTTTCTGCCACCCTCTACCCAGAGTGGCCTTTCCAGAGACTTCTGGACTGACTAAGAAATACGTACTTGAGCGCAATTATATTGTTTATCTTGGCACAAGTAAGAGAAAATGTGCAACATTCCTCCGAAATGCCGCAATGTATGTGCAAAAGGAAAAAAAAGTCGGAAGACATCTAAGCACGTCTAATGAGTTGTGAATGCGAAAGCATGAATGTCCAATGGAACGCCACGGAGTTTTGTGGCACGAGTAATGTTTTCGAGTTGTGGCAGACGCACCAGCGACGGCGTGAATGCTAGAGGCGGCGCCATGTTCGGCGGCGGCAAGACGAGCAGAAGCACCGCCGACGATGTGGATGATGGAGGCGATGGCATGTTGGTCGATGGCGAGACGAGCAGAAGCCTCCGAGCGCTCGCCAACCTGTCTGTTTTAACCGGCGCGGGGCCCGTAGTGGCATGGGTTGTGGCGGCTAGTTTCATCGGCGCGCTGGCAACACGGACACACTGCGCTATCTGGCGGCGGTCGTTGAAACTGGCGCGCGCAGCGGCCAATGGGAGCCTCGTCGCCGCGCGCCAGCCAATGGGACCTTTGGGATCAGGGAAACTAGGTGCCGTTTTCGCGCTTCAAACTCATAACGTCGGCTCGCTCCGTGGGACAGTTAATGCTTTCACATTAAAAAAGCATTTCACAAACGGAGTTTAGTGGTCTCACAAAAAAATCTTAACACTACAAATGAGTGACTTGGGGCTGATACGTCTGAAAAGCTGCAAGAGGCGGTCTGGTATCGCTAAGCGTTCGTGTTGTAATCAGTCCGAGGGTGCTGCGGCCTTCTTCCAAGGGTGTCGGCGGAGGGTGTCAGCAGCGGACTCACCTTCTTGCGCACTCCCTCCTGCGTGCTCGAGAGCTTCAGCAAGATTGGCAGCAGGAATTTGCCCAGTATGCTCTCGAATTGCTCGTCCGTCTCGGCGGTCACGATTCGCAGGAACACACGCTCCAAAAGCACTGACAGCCAAAGAGAAAGAGCGCCGCGTGTGAGTCCCCAACCCGAGCGAAAACGCCGAGCACCTAGCGTATATTTCGCCCGGCCGGTAATTCACGAGAATACGGAAACAAACAAACAAACAAAAAAATCACGGTTTGACAACTGGCGTTTCCGGATTTTACGCTTCAAGAGGTTCTCGCTCGGTGGCAGTGCAGCGAAAAACAAAAGTGACTTTAGACACGACGCCACAAATTGCTCCCTGGGAATTTAATAGCTCAAGACTGATTTTCTGGAGGTGTTTAGAAGCATGACAATAAAAATAGAGGATGCCGCTCACCGATATCGTTCTGCGCTTCCGCCATGACTGCTTGTTTGTGTACGGATTGGATTGGCTTGTATTAAGTTAGTTACGGGGATTACAGCAAGCATCCAGGGGTACTGCAGCGATTTCTTCATCCGGATGGCACAACCAGGCACAACGCTCCGGTAACAGGTTGCTTTATGAAGACATCCCTTTTAAATTATATTTTGTTATCTACACACATTGTGGCCTTCACTAAATGGCTGATTCAAGAGATGTAAGAACCCAGTTTCATCCAAAGCCAAACTGCCAAGCCGCGTTGATTGCCCCTTGTTTACACCGGCGGTACCATCGCTACCATCATCATCGTTTTTGACGTCACGGGTAGGACAGACTGGGACAGAACGCGCAGATCTTGGATCCTTCGACTCGTGAGCTCGCCGAGCTCGCTTCATGCGCTGTTTGGGTAACGCACGGCAAAGCCTGTTTCACGCGTTGTGTTCATCTGGTGAAGTGGTGTGTTGTTCTCTACCCCAGTACCAAAAGCTGGATGATGGAAATAGAATATCCAGCAGTTTACCCAACGGGTTTACCCCACTATGCATCTACTAAGACGAATAGGGTGTATTTTTTTTTATTATAATTTGGATGTTCCATCAAATTAAATACAGGAAGCTGAAATTCGAGAACCTCTCGAGTGTGTAGTCTTCAGTGAAAGCGACCCCGTATATCCTGTTGGTTCCTATTTGTTCTGTGAGTGTTGCTCTCTTATTAGTTTGAAATTGATTCTTAAATTTTGTAAACCAGTAAACAAATATTTTCTCAAAATAACTAAATAACTGGCAGAAAGAAATGGTGGCTGGCTTCAGGAGTTGTTTCAACTAAATCCCCCATTATTCACCCAGTCGATGTGTATTGTGTGATGCCCCCTCACGATCAAGGTCGTTTAAATCTAGCAAGTCGGTGACACCTCGGTGTCCCAAAACATTTCACTACCACTTATATGTTTAAGTCTGCGGACTCTAATGCGCTTCTCAGCGAACGATTTTAATTTTGGAAATAATTCTAAGTGAAAATTAGATAGAAGAAATTAATCCATCGCATGAATTAGCCGGGCCATATCCAACGATTTAAGAATTTCTGAAAATTTCTGCATTTCTTTCGAACCGAACTCGCGATGTGACAAAATTCTTTGCCACATATTTGATGCGGGAGGAACTGAGCGCGAGTTGCTGATGAGCATGAGTGTCGGTATTGTCGAGTTCAATGTAACTAAAACAAGTGTGCAGCATTTTTTAACACAATGGATCTTTTTCCAATAAGCTTCTGCGCATGCGTACAGTCCCGCTGTCACCATTTTCGCAGGACACCAAAACGCGGTGCACTGCGAAATTTTTTTTTTTTTTTCTCCTGCTAGTGTTTTTTTTTTTTTTTTGCGTGTATGTATGTGTGTGTGTGGTGTAGCGGGTATAGTGAGCCTCTATGGCATGGGCAATAGCCTTTTTACTGTCACCCGGGTTTTAGAAACCGAATAAAGCATTATTATAACATTGTCAGCATCTATCTTCGCACACATTTAGTCTATTTTGATGCTTTGTTTTTAGTATTGGTAGTATGAGGTATAAAAAGCACTGAAAACCGATACAACGGCACGATGCCAATATGTTTTGACAGGCAGAGGCATGTTGGGCTGCTCTCCTATTTTAGTTCGCAGACAACTCCCCAGAAGGCGCTCGTTACTCGAAAAAGCTCCATTGTGCACGCGTGCGCAGTTAAGAAGAGAGCGCGACATTTACTGTGGTAAATGCAAAACCTTTCTGTACAACAGCCTCCACAGATTTAAAAAAAAAAAGAATTGGAAAGGCTGTGAATTGCCCTGACGCACGCCACGCAAGCTGTAATGTTAAGCTCCAGACTTTGTTTTGAACATTTTCAATTTTTTTTTTTTAATAAAAAAAGCAATTTGGAGGCACTGTTATTTATTTTAAAGATCACTCACAAAATGTCGTACAAATTTCTTTAATAAATAATGCATTTTTAATCAACATAGATGCAAACTAACATAGCCACTACGTGCTTTGACACAGCATGTCATCTGCTCTCATCCTACCACCTCCGTCACAGGAGTGCGCCCGCAAGGTGGCGCCATCAAAACATTTTATTGCCATTATGCTAGGGTCTGGAAAAAAAATGCGCCCTCACATGGTCCTGAGAAGTCTGAATAAATAAAAACAAAAAAGGGTCAAGTGTGAATAAATAAAAACAAAAAGAGGGGGCAACCACCATGAGTCAGCCCTCCTTGGCATTATTAGATAGTGAGATCCTGATCCCTTGTTATCATCTCTAGGCATAGTCCTCGAGGTCATCCTAGGCGGCGTCCTCTAGACATCGTCCTCAAGGTCGTCCTAGACATTGTCCTCAAGGTCGTTGTAGAAGTCGTCCTTGAGGTCGTCCTAGAAGTCATCCTTGAGGTCGTCCTAGACATCGTCCTAGAAGTCGTCCTCAAGGTCGTCCTAGAAGTCGTCCTCAAGGCCGTCCTAGAAGTCATCCTTGAGGTTGTCCTAGACATTGTCCCTTAGGCATCGTCTTAGACGTCGTAAAGATAACAGCTTCGCTGGTCCTTTATCTTTACGTGAAGTGGAAGGGCTCTACAATTTTTTCAGCGTGGCAGATTCATCAATTAATTTCTTCAATCTATCGCTGATAACTTTTAAGTCGAAAATATTGTCGGCTAATGATGCTGGTTCTCGGTGCCGTATGCTCATTCGTTGGTGTCGCGACCGCTTGCGCCATCTCGTTTCCCGTGCCATACGGCGCCCTATTGTTTGAAGACCGGTGGCTACGCTTCGTTTCCATAGGAGTTAAGCCTTTTTATTTGCAAGCAAAGGCAAAGCTGGAAGCGCGAGCACGAAAGCTCTCTGTGTTCAGGCCTTCCTTGAGCACGTGAGCTGCGGAGAAACGCAAAAAGCAACTGATCTCGCGCTTCTAGCTTTGGCTTCGCTCGCAGATAAAGTGAAATGAAGTAGAGTTTCCCCAGTATCGCGTCCGTCAGCAAACAAATGATGACATGAAACTCTGGACAGCTACCGCCTTCTATGAGCGACAACGGCAACTAGACACCCAGCTTGCCGGTTGTCTGGTTACCGCGCCGTCGCTCTTATAGATTGCGCAACCTTTCCAGCCTTTCCACTTTGGCTTTCCAACTTGCTACCGGCCGTTACTTCATTCCTTTCGTAGTACAGCTTCGCTGGTCTTCCTCACCAGAGTGGAAAGGCTGAAAGTTTTTACTCTTTCCTCAGGTAAGTTTGCTCTCACTATCTGTGGGCAACATTGCACAAAATTCTAGCGCAACAGGTTTAGAAACCGATTTTTGCGGTCGATTTAAAGAGCCTGGCTGCTACTTAAGACACCCTGTAGAACTAAAACAGCATAATTACTTTTAGTCAAGAAAACTTCATTTGATTTTTCGTTAGAGTTCAGATTTATAACTGCAAAGGTCGTAACTTTTCTAGTTCCAATCCAATCTTGTTGCAATAGGACGCCGCGTAGCTGCGTAACATTCCAATCTTGTTGCAATAGGACGCCGCGTAGCTGACGAACGAAGTGGAAGGTAGAAATCAAGCTCAACGCCTACGTGCTCAGAAGAGCACTTCTTTGTGCTCGTGTTCAGCCCGATATAGACCAACTGAACTCACCGACATCACGCTACTGCTGTCGGTACTGCGCGTGCACAAATGCTTCACTCCTCCCCAATTCAGTTTCTGCACACGCGCAGTGCCCACACGGGGTGCGGGTAAAGCAGGCTTGTTTGTAAACACTGTTGGTGTATAAACCTTCCTTGCTTGATAATTTGTTGATTTATATACAAAACAAATGCACATAAAGATCATGAAATATGATAGACAAATGGTACATAAAAATATTTTCAGGAACATTTTTGTGGAAAGGTTTGATTAAAATCGTCATAGTAAAACTAGTCTTATTTAAATCACAATTTAAAGAATGACGTTTTAGCAAATAACACGGGCATGTGTTAACCCCTTCCCCCACGTGCTGAAATTAGTTTGCTTTGTGGCAGCAATGTGCGGTGGCTCATTACGAAAATGTTAACCCACTCGGCCCACCCTTAAACGCCGCTTCCCTGCTATTTGCTAAAATGCCATTCGGTGAAACTTCAGCGTTTGCCAAAAATGTCAATTGATTGAGTGCCTCCATAAATTAGATCAGTGATTTTTATTCTCCACCCTACGTGAAGGTGACACCGAAGCCGTCATTATCCCCAAAGACGAGAAGGTACATAAACGAGAAACTTTCAGCATGCAAACAAGGTAGGAATCATGTGAAATTTGCGAATTGTATTCCAATTCTCAGTATATAATGGGGACTATGTCCCTATGTCCACATAATTGACGGCAGGGATGTGATCATTCTGCGTTGAAGGCCATTGTTGTCAGAAGATACCAATCCCACAATCCTTACGAATCTTTCGAGATACCCGATTAAAAATGCCACCAAAACCAAACACCGAGAAGAAAAGTCTAAATAAAAGCCATGCGATGACCCAGTGCGCAGAGCTACGCTCAACCCACCTCCCGCTACCTACGTCAACAAAACTGGCCGAGACAATGCAAAAAATTGTAGAGCCCTTCCACTTCACGTGAAGATGGAGGATTAGCGAAGCTGTTATCTTCACGACGTCTAGGACGATGGCTAGAGGACGACATCTTGGACAAACTCAAGGACGACTTTTAGGACGACCTCGAGGACCACGTCTAGAACAACTTCTACGACGACCTCTAGGATGATGCCTAGAGGATGTCCTTTCAGACAACCTCTAGGACGACCTTGAGGACGTCTGAGACGACCTCGAGGATGATGTCTAGAGATAACAAGGAATCAGGACCTCACTATCTAATAATGTCAAGGATGGCTGACTCACGCCGGTTGCCCCCTCCTTTTGTTTTTATTCATTCATACTTGACCCCTCTTTTACAGCGAAGCTGTTAAGGTATAGTCCCCCACTATCGTGTCTGTGGACAAGCGTCGTGTCAACACCAGACAGCTACCGTCATCTATGAACGACAGCGGCAACCAGCTTGCCAGTTGCTGGTTGCCGCCGTCGCTCATAGATGGCAGCAACCTTTCCACTCTGCTTTTTACAGGAGCGGAAAGGCTGAAAGGTGGTTTTCATCACAGTAGAAAAGCTGAATTTCTCAAGTCGATGTCCTAGAGATCGTTCTTGAGGTCATCCTAGACGTCGCACGAGAGGTTGTCCTCGAGGTCGTCCTTGAAGTCATCCTTGCAATCGTCCTAGAGATCGTCCTCGAGATTGTCCTAGAAGTCGTCCCGGACGTCGTCCCTGAGGTCGTCCTAGAAGTCGTTCTTGAGGTCGTCCTAAAAGTTGCCTTTGAGGTCGTCCTCTAGGAGTCTCCTCGAGGTCATCCTAGAAGCCGTCCTTGAGGTCGTCTTAGACTTTGTCCTCAAGGTCGTCCTAGAAGTCGTTTGAGGTCCCCCTAGGCGTTGTCCTCAAAATCGTCCTTGAGGTCATCCTAGACGCCATCTTTGAGGTCGTCCAAGTCGTCCTTGAGGTCGTCCTCTAGGCGTCTCCTCGAGGTCGTCCTAGAGGTTGTCCTAGAAGTCGTCCTCGAGGTCATCCTAGACGTCGTCCTGGAGGTTGTCCTTGAGGTTGTCCAAGATGTCGTCCTTGAGGTCACCCTAGACATTGTCCTCTAGGCATCATCCTAGGCGTCGTAAAGATAACAGCTTTGCTGTTCCTCCATCGTTACGTGAAGTGGAAAGGCTTTACAATTTTTTTTTATTTATTCATACTTGCCACACCCAATGGGGAGTTTTCTGTCGAAATGTGAACACATTGTTTTCCAGACCCTAGCGTATAACAGCTTTGCTGTAAAATGGCCGTCGTTCAGTACCTGCGTCAGGTAGATGACGCGATAAACAGCCGTTCCAGGGGATGAACAAGATTCCCTTTGAGCGCTAACTACTAGACCATTAGTCATCAGACTTTTACGGCACACTCTAACATACCTCTTTTTTGTCTGAGGAAGCGGTTGTCACATCTGAGAAGGTTGTAGTGTCTGTCTGCAACAGCCTATCGGACACTTACCGTAAGATATACCCAAGAGGGAAGCTGGCAGGTTCACTGGCACAAGGACTCGTACTGCAGCCGACGTCGCATCATAGCAATCTTTCGATGTAGGGATAGGTTTCCGCAGCGGCAACCCATTTGCTTCAAGGTTGGCGGCAGGTCCGTATTCACAGAGAAAGTCCATGTCCATTACAAGGTCCTGCAAGCTGTCCTGAAGAATGATGAAGCTCACCGGACAAGTCTTTCCCTAGATTATGACACGAGCGGTGCGCCTTCTCAATGGTGTGACAAGATGACCGCCAGCAGTTCATACCTGCAGGCCATCCCACGGTGTCGTCACTTGGTTTCCTAAAGGTGGTGGCGAGAGAGTTTCCCACACAAAACGAAACAGTCTGCTCAGGTGTCAACGAATGCAGTCACATTGTGGCCGTCGATGGCAATGTCGAGGTTGTTCGACATTGTCGCAAAATCGTTGTTGCGATGAGTCTCGTTGCTAGCGTAAGAGCCATTCCGACATTTGTGGAGGATATTCGTGTCGTTTGTCCTCAGCCACAGAATCTGCCGGTATTGCCGCACTTAGTTTTCCCAGCAAGGCAGGGGAGACGGGCCTTCCTGGCAGGTCCCACGAAGAGGCGATGCAGGGCGTCGCAGTGAAGGCGAGCAACATCCTCGGCTGGGAGGGAGACAGCTCCAGAGGTGTCGAACAGCATAGGTAGTCCTCGACGTCCTGAGGTCGCTCCCGAGGGCGTGGCCGAGGGTCATTGGGCGCAAACCCTCGCAGGCCTAGCTGGGAATCTGGGCGGGTCCATAATGCATCAGCGAATGACATCTTAGTGAATTACTGGGGCGCGTTAACCCACCCGCCCACGTGCCTTCACGCCGCTTCAGGGTGACAGTGTGACGCCAGCTTATTACAAAAATGTTAAACCATCTGCCCCACCCGTAAATGCTGCTTCACGGCAGCCGCCCATTCGCTAAAGCATCTTTCGACAAAAAGTCGGCGGTCGCTAAAACGTTGTTCGACCAACTGAGTGCCACCGCGGTAGGGTCACCGTTGGTAAACGCGGTCCGCTTCCCCGCAGTGGTAGCAGAATGGGCGTCGGTCGGCCGTCCTCCAGAAGTCAGTCTTCCTGGGTGCAGGTTGTTTTGGGCGAATGTACCGAGCCCGTTCTTTGTCCTGTCGGGAGTACTGCAGTGCTAGAGGCTCGTGGCGTAAAGGCACCACGTACAGGCAAACGGGTGGCAGTGGTGTGCGGGCCATTGCGGCGTAGGTCAACGACAGTACCTCAAAGGCTGGAACGTCGACGAGAGCCTGTGGCTTGAAGGCTTGCCATACTTCTTCTCGAACGACCTCGACGATCAAGAGCGAAGCCGGGCTTTTGGCAGTAGGAACCAGCTTCTTCAGCACCTCCCAGATGACGTCGAGGATAATCTTGCAAAACATTCGGGATGCTGGTGCTGATGTCGCAGATGGACGGCGTGGGGCCAGCGATGCTGAGAAGTCGCTGGTAGTGATTGACTCTCGCAAGGAGGGCACGTTCGATGCTCCATGCCTCCATCACAAAAGTCTCGACGGTCACAGGTGGGTTGTGCACAAGGCCTCCAAAGACTCTCTCTTTGACTGCCCCGCATGAGGATCCTCGAATTCATCACTTCGTAAGCTTCGGGATCCACTCGGCTGTTGAGCCAAAGCACGTTCTCGACGAAGCTGGCGATGCTCTCGTAAGTACCTGGAACCCTTGCCTTGGCACGTTCTCGTCACTGCTGGGTCGCAAACATTCAGTGGAGCTCATCCTTGCATGCTTCCCAGGTGCTGATCGTCCTTTTGTGGTTTTCATACCAGATACGTGCCATTCCCTCTAGAGAAAAGTAGACGTCCTGCAGGCATTGCTCAGATGTCCACCCACTGTGCTGGGCCACTCGCTCATGCTGGTTAATCCAGTCCTCGGTGTCTTCGTAGACGTCACCGCGGAAGAAAACGGGCGTTCAAAAGTGAGACAGGCATGACGACGACAGAAAGGGCGGTCGAAGCCGGCAGCGTCATCGTTTTGTTCTCCTTGGGCTTGAAATTAGGTACCCCGCACCTCCACCAGATATATCACAGATGAAGGCCAAGAGACAATGAATAATACACTGGAAATAAAGATTTAATCGGCGACTTATGCCAGAAACAAAAAAAACAACAAACGTCGAGAAGGCGGCAGCAGCGAGCGACGGTGCATCGGCGTGACAGCTGGCTAGCGCAAGAGTGAATGACTCAGCAAGACTGCGCTCCCTACTACACTGGGCATCTTGAAGATTCAACCTAGAATGTTCAACCGACTATACTTTGTTTCACAATATAACTTGGCTAACTGTGAAGGCTGCGGCCCCCGTGACCCATTAAGGGCGTTGGAGCAAGGCACCCGACAACACTCCATGGTCCAGGCCACGGAAGCCTTGTTGCCGCCGCAGCAACAGCGCCGTCTGCAACAAAAAGTAATTCTAGGCTTCTTTTTCGACAATTTTAGCTCGCATCTTTATCGACACTATGCTACAAAACATGAACGAAAGAGGAAGACTGTTACTTTTTAATGATGCCCATTTTGGATCAACCCTTTTTCGAGAACAACGTGGCTTTTGAATGATGTTTGAATGATCACAGACCCTGCAATCTACTGTTTCCTCTCAAAACGTGTCCTGGCATTAGCACCTGACACAGATTCGCCATTAAATTGAGTTTGGCTGTCTCATGAAGTGTTCCCAAAGAACTCGCTGCTCTAGCAGACGGCAATGTTGAGGCAGTGGACGTTCATCCGAAGTTGGTTTCTTAGGAGACGAGTGTGGACCAGCAGACAACAGCCGGTTCCTCCGGCTTTGGGCCTCGCGTTTGGCGCTAGAACACAAACGCTCACGTGACGTGGTGTCACGTGCCTCGCACTCTCTTATTGGTCACGGGGGCAGTAGCCTCCACAGTTCACAAAGTTATCGTGAAACGGAATATAGGCAAGGTCATTCTGGCCTCTTTTTTTACCACTCAAAGTAAAACCCAGACAACACACTAGGTCTTCAACTGGTCGGAACGTTCTCATCCTCTCATGTACATCCTGAGGACGTCTTCAGGTTGTCTTGTAGGGGACTATTCTCAAGGACGGTCCTCAGATTGTCTCGCTGAAGAACGGTTCGTTGAAGAACGTAACAGCGGCGCCACATGCCAAGCATAAAAACGATACCAACAGAACAATACGAAACCAATTAACAAGTTTTATGTTTCTAAACATTTTAAATTCACAAATTTAATTTATTTAAAAATATCAAAAACATTTGTTACATCTAAGTTTAATGCATACTATACTTATTCATTGTGGAACTGGCTAAATAGGCTACATCAGTATGAGACACCAACCGCAACAGTTTGAAAGTGCAGGCCAATTGCACGAAAGAAATGGCATTTTCCCAACGTATCCTGTCAGAGTTTTCAAAAAAGAGCAGGAAGCTGGGAAAAGGATAAGCAGATGTCAATTTTATTTTCATCACATCTTGGGCGCAGTTTGTTAACAAAGGTTAACGCTTTAACGTCTGCTCGGCTCATCTCCTGTCTGGCGTTCGCTCTACTAAGTGGAAAAAGTGAAGGGCTTTGCAAGAGGCGCTCGTCCCTCCTTTCTTTACATGAGACAGGGTATAGTAGCGCAGCAGATAGCACTTGCCCAGGGCCTCAAACTTAGTGGTGTTGTATCGATGAGCTTTTCTGTTCTTAAACACCAATCCTCTTCTAGCAAAATAAAGTTTTGCCGCGCTGTGCCTACACTTCGTGTTGCAGTCCATCGAACATCTCTATAAACAGCGGTGCAAGACAAAAGTGGTCTTCATCGGGAATGCAGGCAACAGCGGACTTCCCCACTAAGACTGCTATACTCCATTTGCCGCCAAGATGACAGGGCGGCGTAAGCTTCCTTCTCGCTAAACCAATAGACCTGTTGCAAAACGTACAGCACCACGACGGCAGAGAATTTTGGGAACCCTCGGTACAGATCACGCGCTTTCTCGTTGCGCCTCCGCGCAGCGTCCCGGCAGCTACCGCCAGCAGCCGTTGCAGTCATCCGCCATCCTGCCCACCTGCCGAGTCATACGTCGTTGGCTACGTACTGTATCTGTGTCAGCGTAAAGTCATCGTGACAGGCGAACTTATTTGAATATGTTATTCGTCGTAACTTATTTTCACGTACTGAAGTATCACCGAATCCACTTATTTTGTATCGCAACCGTGGCAGGTTTCGACCAGGTTCAACAAAGCGTTGGTGCAGCAGACGACAGAGCTGGTACAAGGGAGAGGGATGAGAAAGGGGCAGCCGTTGGCTCGTCACTCGCCAAACCAACGCCAGACTCAGCGGCTCAGAAGTTGTTGCTGTGGTAACCTGCGCCTGCTCGCTTATGCCAGATAGTCACGTGGTAGCCGGAGGAGGGGCATACCGAGGACTCCCATTATTCGTCGCACAGCGCGCGCGGGGTTTTGGAATTTTTGCAAGGGGTCTATTGATCACCTGCCTTTGATCGCCTTACCCCACTCTGTGCAATGCAACGTTGAGAGAGACGATCACGGTTCGCGAGAGACAGCCGACCGATACAAGCGTGTAGTTTCCAGCGAACAAAGTTTAGTGGATGCAGCCATGAGCCACCAGGTCGCCCTTCTTCGCGAAAGACTTCCCGCACACACCGCAGACGTACGGACGCCCGTCCGTGTGCTTTCGCATGTGCCTGATGAGCTGGTTTGCAGCCGGGAACCTCTGCCCACACACTTCGCACCCGAACGGCCGCTCGCCAGAGTGCCTCCGCTGGTGCTCCACCAGGCTTGTCTTCTGCGAGAAGGCACTGCCGCATATCTGGCACCAGAACGGCTTCTCCCGCGTGTGGACCCGCTCGTGCCGGGACACGTTGGTTCTGTCGCTGGTGTAAGGGCAGAAGCGACACTGGTGCTGGCCTCCTTTCCACCGGTGCGTCAACCTCCGGTGCGTCGACAGGTGACTCCGAGAGGAGAACGTTGCGCCGCACTGGGGGCAGGTAAAGCCGCCGCCCGTCGCCGCGCAGGCGGCGTCTCCGAGCTCTGTTGAGAGATGGCAAAGAAGCAAAGTTGCTCGTTCAAGGCTCTACTGGAAGGCTGTTTTCTGCCTTGCAGGAAGCCTTCCCAGAGTGACTGAATTCTCGCACTATGCTCTCCCGCTTGCCCAGAAGAAGAGACTCTGAGGGTTAAACGCCTCTGATAACAGGTCGTAGTCCTGGATTTTCAACCTCACCTAAAGAAACAAATACATGAATAGGACGCTAGGGCTGAGTCATCATTCAAGGTTAGAGTGTGCAAAAAGCTAGCGATGCCATTCGGTGCTTGGCAAGTGCATCCTAAAATGGCACAAATTGATGGAAACAACCTTGCAAGGGTGCCCATTTACTTTACGTGCTAATGAATGTAACTGCAGGCTTACACTTTTTAAGTGCACAACTTATTTCAACAATTAAGCGATGAAAGGTGGTTACAGGATGCTCGACTGAATTCACAAAATAATGTTAGAATTTAGCCTCTTCGAGAAAGTTGCAGACTAATCCAATACGCTTGTTACGTGACAAATTGCTAGAAAATTGCTTCTTCGGACCAGCTTATAAAAATACTTGCACAAAGCATAACAACTATGCATTTGAGTTAGTGTCAAAAGGCATTGTTCATTGTTGCAAAACCCCAATTCCTACTAATTCTATAAATTGTCAATAAAGCGAGACAAAAATAAATGTGGGCAGCATAAAAACAACAGCAATATAAAATTAAATAAATAATGTTTCTGTTGTTCCCTTATAGAAACATTACTAATTGCAATTGATTCTATGCAGGAAATTGTTTGGAAACAAAAGTCAGCTTTGGAAATGTGATGCACCATTCAAGAAAATTTGCTATCATAAACAGATTTTATTTAGCTGAAAATACTAACTGTATCTTCACAATGCCCATATATCCCTTGTAATTCATCAGCAACACAAAGGCGGCAACTGTACAAACCATTGACTCAAGAGGATAGACGATTAATCTAACTTCAGAAACGTAGTAAATGCTAGATTTGTTCCTTTTATGTCATTATGGGTAGGTCTTTTTTCTCATTATGGGTAGGTCTTTTTTCAATTTGTAGTGCAGCCAGCCTGCTCCTACGTACGTGAAGGCATGAACAGCTTATGACACACCAGAACAGTTTGTGTTACAGAGGCAATTTTATGTCTTCTGTATTTACAGTGTTGTAACTGCTCAAAATAGGGCAAGAACAATTGCACAATTTTTCACATTAACAGACTTGCACCATTCTTCAGCCCCTTCATATTTTTCAATACATGCAAACGAAGCAAAGCCAAATTCATTGAGACAGCTCATTGTCATTATGGGGTGGAGGATGTGAATGAAATCATTCACGTCCACCCCACAATGACAGAATGTAAAAGTGCCTATACTCCCTTGTGTAATGCCCCCTGGGCCTTCAAGGAATAATAAATGATGATGATGATGATGATGAACTGTATATGCATATAACTGTGCCCATAATCTACTCCACAACTATCAGACATTGTGACAAGGCTTTCCAGCAGTTCATTGAACAAAACTACATTATTTCCGAGCACTTGAGACTCGAGAGTGCTTTGAAGGGGCGGTGCAACAATTTTAACATTGCAAGGGTCTGCAGCATGTTACTTTTATCTTGTTTATCTTGGCACAAGTATAAGAAAGTGCTTTGCTCTCTCCTAGATTACTACGATTCCACTGTGCATTCACAAAGCAAAAAAAAGTTGGGGCTCCAATCCATGCTGCGAAGGTGGTTGGCCAGCAAAGCTGTGGTATCACCTGCAATGATGACAAAAGTAAATGCGCTGCACCAAAAATTTATTATATTTATATGAACGACCTCATTTGCCCCCATTGCCGTGGTAGCTTATGCAACAGCAATTTTTACCGAGAAACGCAGGCGGCGTGCTTAGCATCGTTTGTGCACGCCTTATCATCTATCATGTGGTTTTGACACTTGCTTTGTGGTTTTCTGATTCAAACAAGTGTCAAAACCAGATGATAGATGATAAGGTGCACATGAATGATGATAAGACGCGTGGTGGTTTTCCGTCGACTAGTGTTCCCGCTACGGAAACAAAAAAAACCCCGACCAACGAGTCATATACATACACGGCATCATGTCATTATCACTACACAACCAATTCGTTTCATTTCTTTAAATAAAAACTAGCACACATAAGGAGAAATAATTTTCTGTTCTCCATTCTGTAAGTGACTAACACTAATGGGCCGAAGTCCAAAAATTGTTAGGTTTGAACTCGCACCAGGTTTACAATAAATTATGCTGGTACTGACCAGAGAAGCTTTCGTCAAACATGCCCAACCATTCAAAAGTGCTTGATTTTCAAATGCGCATGCAGAGGGAACACTTTAGAAGCCAAGTGCATCTATTCTCCTATGAATTCAGTGACTTTACCATATAATGTGTCCTGTCAAGTTTAAATAACATAAGTTCTGGACAAACTAATATCAAGACACTAATCCCTCCATTACCCTGCTTACACTGCAGATTATTGAAAACTGTCCTAAAGTAAAAAATATCCATACAGGATTAATTCTTCTACATGCCAACTTATCAGGTTTTCTCGTTCTTTTCAAACAAACCATAAAACAGGTAATTTAACCTTGCACCTAAAGAGAGATAGAAAATAATGGACTGTATTGAAAGCAAAGGATCAGTAGCCAAAATCAAATCCACAACCTAAGGTAATGCCATGCAAGCCTTACATTGGCTTAGGCAGACCTGCTCTTTTGTAGAACCTTATTTGCTGAATAAAGTGATTATTATAAAAGCTATAGGAGATGAATCAGTTTAAGAGTAATCTAACGGAATATGTCAGCATGTGTTGCAAGGTAAAGTGCGACAAATACAAAAAGAAATGTTCAACAGATCATACAGCATGTCAGAAAAATGACCCAATCTGACCAGTCACGCAGTTACGGGGATTCCAAGGCTTGATCTGCACCTGGTTGGTTCAAGTTTCCCAAAGATTCTATAATACGTTGCATTGTGCTTCGCCCTTTAGACACTACTGGCTACACAATAAGTGCAAATGGTGCCAAAAGCCCTTTCCAGATTGTTCTGCCATGCAATCTTTTAGTACTATGGCATCACCTGTGGGAATGAAAATATCACGTGAAAAGTACCAAAGATGCACATTGATCAAATATTTAGGATGCGTATACAGTTGAACCTCGATTAACGAAACCCGATTTTATGAATTTCCCAATTTAAGAAACAAATTCGGATTCCCCGCGCTGCCCACGCCCGAAGAATGTCTTTCTCGATTTTACGAAGTTCCCGATTTAATGAAATAATTAGTGGGTCCCGGTGACTTCGTTAAATCGAGGTTCAACTGTACATCTCTTTGTTATGCACAGAAATACAAAGCTGTCATTTTACGCACAATCCACGCTGCTGTTTGCATCCATTGTTAGGGGCCCTGCACCTCTGAAGAGATGGAAGGGTCTCCAGAGGTCCCGACGAATTGTTTGTTGAGCCGAACTATGCAGAGCAGATGCAGACCTTTTTTTAAAAAAAAAAAATATGCTTGTTTTTTTTTTTGCATTGCAATGCAACCGAGCTTGAAGTTTGACTACAATCAAAGAGCTGGAAATACAGTAAAACCTCGTTATAACAAAGTTGAAGGAGCGGTCGTAATTATTTCGTTATAACCATTAGTTTGTTATAGCCAATGTCCATTTCTTCCCACTATTAGCAAGCAAGGGGAATTATGATTGCTTTGTTATATCCATTAGTTTGTTATATCCCGTTTTGTTATAACGAGGTTTTACTGTATTTTGAACATTTCTGTTGTGCTCCCTCTGCACGAAAGTGCAATCTCACATGGATGTGCGCTCCATCGACTCTTGTTAAACATGTCTTTAGTTAGCGACAGGATAAGAATGGCAAAGAGGTCTTTCGGTCGTCCCGCCTTCCAGCACAAGCTTCCCACCCTCGATAACACTGCAGCGCCTCGTACGCGTCGAGCATGCAAAACACGGGGGAAGGCAAGGAGTGCACGCTGGAGGCTAAACATCTGAGAGAGGTACCCTGCTGTGCTATCCGGCCAGTGACTATCGGAGGAAGGTGCTTTACCACACCGGGCGTCCGATTTTGGTCACCGCCGGAGTGAGATCGAGATCTAATTCGCCTCTCGTGGTGCGAGCAAAGATGGCATTCACAGATGGTTCGTCTGGTAACGCGAGTGAAGAATGCGGTTTGTCTGCTACGAAACTCAATTGCAGACTGAAATAAAAAGAGAAAACATTATACATCGTTGCTAACAGATGGAGAAAAAAAGCAGATGGTTTCCTACGAACCAAGCGCTGCGACGAAGCGAGATCAGACGCGGGCTTAAATTATCAGCAGCCGAGAGCGCTCTTGCCTTCACCGAAATCGAACCCCTGGTTACAGCATAGGTCCTCCTTGGCACTAGCAGAGTGCAAAAATTACAACTATCATGTGGCAAAGAAGACAGAGCAACGAAAAAACATATTCCTTTATTGTGGTATTTTTCGTAGGAAGGCATGACATGAAGCTAAGTCATTTTTACAATATCTTTACGTGTTCTCCATTTAGGCACAGCTCTAATTGAACAATTCCAAATCCTGCTAGTTAAAGACCAACAGACGAAACAGAGTCGTAATTTCGGTCAGGAATACTTGCAGCAGTTGGGTCCAGTCATCTGCAAACTAAAGACACCTGTTACATTTCCCACAGACGTGTAGATTTCATGCAGTACACAAACAATGACTTTTGTACACCTAACTGTTTCATTACTTTCAAACAGGGATGGGCAAAATACATGTAAATATGTATCGAAATACAACTACAAAATACTTTGTCAAAAATGTATTTAATTACAAATCTAATTACATTTCCAAAAAAGCATTTAAATACAAGATACAAATACAACCAAATGTATTTGGTCTCCTCCAAATACTTTTCCAAATACATTCCTCAAAATTTGCGTCAGCGACTTCAGGGCACCTGCAACGGGTTTCTGGGTATCTCATTTTCATTTTGCATTGCACACCCGGGAGTTAGTGAGCGAGGCTCTAGTAACGTAATAGAAATATAATCACAAAAAAATGTAATCAGCTTGGACGCAATAGGTGAAAAAAGTACAGAGCTTCAAGCAGCTTTTTCTGTCGATTACATTTTGATATAGGCCCACAAAGAACCGAGACGACCAAGACGCGCAGCACATGCTAGAGAATTTTTTATTGTTGGAAACTCGCACCAGTTACGAAAATCTGGATGACCCGCCCATTTAGAATGTCCAAGGCAAAAGTATGGATGGAAATCCGGCTGGAAAGGATCACAAGTTGTCACAGGCACTTAATAAGCCAGTCTGCCTGTGAACGTTGATTTCGTCACTGTTCTTGCCCTGGACTAGCACCGTAATCACAAAGTCACTAAAGGCTTGTGCTTGATTGAGAGACACTGCATTCGGTTCAGAACGTAGTTTTCTTCCTGCTCTGGACAGTGACAATAGATTTGAGGGATGTATTTTCGCCCACAAAATTGTATTTAATTACAATTGTATTTAAAATACCCACGTTTTAGTATTTAAATACACATGTCGAATACATTACCCAATTTATAATTAAATACAAATGCAAAATACACAAAGTATTTGAAATACGTATTTCAAATACTTGTATTTGAAATACTGCCCATCCCTGCTTTCAAATAACGTTGCCTTTAAAAGATGTATTAGTTCTTAGAATAGAAAGATGACTATTGGGTGGTTCAATTTTGATTTCAACAAACATCTCGGGTGCGTGCTGGATATGGTTCGCTATTGTTTACTTCAGGTTTCAGCTGGGCTTCAAAGAAACCGGGTAGTGCCAGCATCAGACGTGCTGCGTCATTTAGAACAGGTCACTTTTCAGTGCCTCCAAGAAGGAATATTGACAAGACGTACAGATAATGCACTGTAAATTTATACAATGCCTCGTGTATTGTATTAATTTATGCAGACCTTTTTGCCAACAAGCACACTTGCACTGTGTTGGGAATGTTTTCTCTTTAGTTTCTACTTTGGCAAGCCAGACATCCACCCGGCTGCTCAGAGGATGTTCCATGGGAAAGTCGATCAGACAGCAAGAAAGGGTACTTGGAACAACATCCATTGCAGAAATCTGCAACTCTTACCAATTCTGAAACTGCTTTCTGCCCACAGAGAGCAGCAGTATGCGGAGAGCAAGTCATCTTTTTCTTGCGTAAAGGTCGCG